AAAGGATACAGAAAAACTACTCTATCTAACAACTGTGTTGAACTGCTTAAGTATACCGTTAGGAGGACAATCGGACCCGGAGCGGTAGACTAGCTTATCGTGCATGCAGGTGCCAACAGGGGCTCAGATAGTACAGCAGCGCGATGCCTGCCGACATGTATGCAGATAAGGAACGACTCGGAACCGTACCGGTGGTCATTCGGTTGCGGTCGTTACAGTTATCGGAGCGCTTTTGATTGAAGGCGTTACAGGAAGAAGGGAGTTCATATATCTAGATGGGTGGCTAGCTAAAGTGGGGGTACAGGGATGATGATGCAAGATGACAAATGTGAGCTGACAAATGGCTGGGTGCTGATACAAGTATAAGGACTGGGAGGATTGTTGTTGGCTGCAAGCCATGTCAGGATGACAGTTAGCCATAGAATTGGCGCGTGAAGGCCGTCTAGCGTGTTGATTACTGAGTGTGCTTCAAGGCACTTTGTAAATGACTGCAGCACGTCACAGAGAGAGTTTGCATCCTGTTTAAGAGCCTGGAGCACAAGCTGTATTTGACGTTCCTTTGACATGTCTAACTGGTGTTGTTGGGCAGGCATTGGTGTAGTAAGGATATTGTAGTGGGGTCTTGGCAAAAGTGTCCAACTCGCTCGGTGTCCGACTCGCCCGTGAGGTACGTTACACTGCGTTGAAGTTGTAGGTTTTTGATGGTTTTACTAGTAAAGCCATGGGCATTATGTGTCCACCTACGGTATCTGGCACGTGCACAAGCTGGTGCTGATTTAGTCTCGCCTTAATCACTCGCTGCCAGCTTCATGCGCCGTTCTTGAATATTTTCGTTTTCGTTGCCTCATGTTTCAAAGCACTGGTGCCTGCCACAGTCTAGGGTCTAAGCATCGCTTGCTGCAAGCAAAGATTGTATAAGTATACAGCTCCGACAACAAATCTCACGGTTGCCTACACCCGATCCTCACCTTGGAGCTACAACATACGCACTGGCAAGCCTGAAGTTCAAGCAAATATTTCGCACTGGGTTTGAAGCCGACAATAAACTACCTTCATCATGGTGAAGTCTCCGGACCCCGTGCTCAGAGTCGCACCACCCCTGCACAAACAGTGCATATCGAACGAACTTCTGGACATCAGATTGGCGGCTATACGTAAAGCCATAACATCAGGGGAAGATCCGAACGAACTTGGAGGCTGGAAGAATCCTGGTGTCGGTCGTCCATTGCATTATGCGCTAAACGACTCTGCGCAGCATGATTACACACAGCTGAAACAGAACCTTCCTGTCATTGAGTTGCTACTCGAAGCAGGAGCAGACCCAAGGCTTCCATCCCTGAAACCGGGGCGCCGGTCGCCAATTGAGGAGCTCGAAGCGTGGTTCAGAGAGTACAATAAGGGCGACCACTCAAAATGGGCCCCAGAGGACCTTGAATTGCAGCCGTTTTACGAAGCAGCGTTGCAGGCCATGAAGAAGGCGGCGTTAGCGCTCGATGGTAAGCATAAACCGCACTCGACCCGAGTCGAAATGCTAATGCTACGATCATGACAGCACAAGATACTGCTTCGACTGCGCAAGCTCTGAGTGAGAATGCGCCTATTTTCTCTAGGTCCTGGTTCGAGAAATTAAAGCTGTGGTAGTCGTTGTCTCTCGTATTTTTCTCGGCGGGACGTTTGGAGTATGCATGTACAGACGCATGTCTGCATCCCATCGACGGTTCTTGAGATACAGGCAAGATTTAACATGGTCCGCCCTCAACACTGAGCTACACTGCAAACACAAGGCCATAGCTAGGCCATAGTGAGGCTGGTATGCTTATACGACAGATTGATTGATTGATTGATTTTAACGTCCTAGCTGAGTCCTAGACTAATGAAGATGAGAAAAGCAAACTGCTCCTCAGGCAATACAGTTGGTGGTTTCGAGTGGGTTGAGGATCTATTCTAGTACAAGAGATGATGTGGGTTGAGTCCCAGGGCTTATACGACAGAGAGGTGTCGTGCTCTTGGCAAAACCTTAGATATGGCTGGATTCAATCAGACCTGCACACCGTTCATACGGTATTGGACCTATCCTTAATCTCAGCAACTCTCTGTATTCGAAATCTGACATACGGCCTAGCACCTTGACTGCAGCATCAAGAATACTGACAATCTGAACATTTGAGGCCCACCTCACGCGCTGATCTCACTCAGCATATATCGTCCAAACTCACTCTGCGCTTGGTTCGCTCAAAATTTACGCTATTCTGGTAGCGCGGCCTGGATGGTTTCATATGTATATGGAGCATGTTTGGTCACCGTAATATTGCAGCTCACAATCCGTATAAGGAAATGCTGTGCTTCTTTTCTGTGAAGTGTTTTTCAATAACCAACAGCAGGAACGAAACTTCACAGCACGCATACAGTCCGTTTTTGTATCATGTCGGTCTGGCAATCCTTGCCTCAACAATTGCAAGTCAGCAGCTGTACGCACACAAACGAGCGGGCGGACATAACGCAAGGTAAACCAGGCTATTACTTGCGTTTGTAATCTCAAACGCGGCTGTAGCGCTCTGCCAGCTGATCAACGCCATGACAATCTACGTTGAGTTGGTCTCAAACACGACAATTAATGGCCAACTCTACTAAAGCATGTTACTTGTAAGTATTGGCACAGTTCCAGAGTCATCTCTAACATGGACAGGCATGTACAATGACTCAACTTTTCTGCCCTCTTGTGTACTGCTTGGCCGAGTGGCGTCCTGCCAAGAGGAGTCGATAAGAGCAGCTAGCTCGGGCAATGATGTGAACGGTGAGAGCGATATCAGGCTAAATATTCATTGATTGTGTTCTCAAATACTGTATTGCAGCATATTATGGATTTCTTCATCATCCATACCACTGTGGTCGTACCGATTGCAGTGGGAAGGCATGCGTCAATGTTCTTGTTGGCGTTATAAAGTCACAGGATGGTAGAATTAGATTCAGTGGCTTATTATGTTTCTGAAATTTGCTCAGCCGAGCTCCCATGTCACGTAAGTATTCCTTCATCCTTCCCTCTCTGTATGCACCCCTGCCAGAAAACACTGTTTTGTAGATTGGATCTTTTAAGGCGTTTTCTGGCATTGGCGTCAGAGCACAGAAGATGCTGGTATGCAGGGATCAGAAGTGTCGGTTTGTACTAAATCAAGGAGACATCAGCCTTGACAAGCTGTGCGCTGGTCGGGAATGCAACATCAGGGCTGTCGTCGGTGATTGGAATCATTTCGTTGCCTGGAGGGTTCATCGAAGCAAATCGATTGCCATTATCCCATATATACCGGACCTCTGAAAGAGCAGGTCGTAACCGCTGCATCACACCGCCAGGTACTACTGAGAAAAGGTGGCAATGCGTAAGTAGCGATACGAAGAAGGAGTTATCATCGTGATTCAAGCTAAATAGTCACTAGTTTAACATCTACATTACAAACGTACTTTTCTAGTGTGACTCAAAAAATAACTTGCTTGATTTTAATAAATGTGAATTTGCTCATGAGTACTGTAGCAATGATCTTACTAGTCGTCAAGAGATGTCAGTACGTGCCCCACCGTAACTACGATATATGAGCGCTCACTCCACATCCTAGCTGCATTCTTGATTGACAGAGGACGATCGACACTGTGTGACAGATGTCATCTACAAAGTTCTGATTACAGCACACTTCTGTCCAGACTCAAGTTCTGCAACGCTAATCCAGTCTGTATATAGGTGGTCGTATTGCTATACTTTCCATCCCTGAAAGTAAAGCCTTGGAACGTATACTCCCTCTGGCTCAGCTCCCATCCTTCACTACACACAACATCAACAAGCGGTGTAACGACGCAGGCCAGTAGGGAAGATGTCCGAAGTAAGTGTGAGTCCACTACAAGGCATATGGGAGTGCTGGGACGTTGAGAACACTAGGATTGAATTCCCTACACCTATAGGTCTTGTACAAAAGGATACAGAAAAACTACTCTATCTAGACTACAGTATCAAAGGAGAGGGGTATACTGTCATGGGTATATACTGTCATGGGTATATACTGTTTGGCTCTCAGAACCCATATCTATTGGGTTACTGTACCTTTTTGGTTGGTGTAGCTCAGGTGGGACCAGACCAAGCCAAGCACTCACTGCTTCAGGAAAGCTGAAGTACCTACAAGCAGTAATCTATTGATCTTCAGTTTCAGTTTGGGAAGCATAGAAAGTCATACAGATGCTTTTCTGAATATGAAGCAAGCGATTTTGACGATGTATTTCGGAGAGACAGGCATAGTACCTTGACATCCTTCGTTAGTTGAGATCGAGGGTCAAAGAACAAGACAGTGAGCGCGATTCTTGACTTGCTCACCACGGCTATGATCACGAAGGGGCAAAGAGGAAACCGAAACCATGCAATGTTGCCGTGTTTGTTCTAGAACCTGATGAATAGAGATGGAGTGAACAGCTCCACCCATCATAGCCTTGATGCCTTCTTTGGTGTGGAAGAGAAGAGGCAATTTGAACTTTGTTGGAGCAAAAAAAATTGTATCTCTCCGACGGGGAATCGAACCCCGGCCTCCTGCGAGTTGTTCCAGAGAATGACAAGCAGAAATACTGACCACTATACTATCGAAGATATCCAACTTAAAGTTGGGAAGAAATGTGATCGATAATGCAGTAGTGGGATAAGTAAAATATATACTGGATTATTGGGTCAGCACCTAACGTACCAAGGTTTTTCCTCTCGAGCCTCCCACGAGTGGAGACAATCTCGACAAGTGTGTTGGGTGATTCGGCTAGAGCTCGCTAACATCATGACAAGACCCTTGGGACTACTTGTTCGGCCGAACGTAGCCCTCTTCGCTTCGGTCAACGCTCGCTAGCTGAAGACCTCTCCATGTATGAAAACTTGGTCATTGCGTAGCTGCTATCTACCAGTACCGAACGTACATTCGAAACACCATGTCAGGCGGATGAAGTTGCCACCTCCTGCAGCTTCTCTGGCACACCATTCCCTGAGCCGGCCGAGATCGACCTCTGCACGTTCTGACCCTCGAGAATCTGCTGCTCCTCTCCATGCGTCATGTGCGCGACATTGACCTTCGGGCCCTTGAACCACTTCCGTGCCGATACGACCCACCAAATGCATACTAAAAGCATGGGTACACCATACACGACAGCCGTCCAGTTCATAACATCCGCGCGCAGGTCTGCACCCGTGACACTGGGGAAACACAGAACAGGTACCATGAGTATGACGAACGCAGAGGCGATGGTGCCAGTGGGGATGGAGAAGCGTCCAAGGTTCCAGGGGCCGGGGCGGAAACGGTTGCCGACGAAGAAGACGCGGATGAAAATTGGTATTGTGAAGGCACTGATCGTGTTAGCATGACTGTCTCTGAAAAGTAGGTGCGACGGAACTTACACAAAGGCAGCGATGGCACCAATACTGAACAAGGCCCCAATCGCTAGCTCTCCTCCAAATATGAGCAGCAAACAAGCGATGCCCACTGCACAGTTCAACCAAACAGCATTGACTGGCGTTTGTGTATGCTTGTTGACCTGCCTCCAGACGTTACTGAATGGGAAGCAGTCATCACGCGCATACGCAAAGGTGACTCGACTCGCCGCGATCATGCACCCTTGACCCATCGAGAAACCTGCAATGATAGTCAAGGCGAGGATGGCAAGCGTCATCTTTTCGGTCATGCACTGCATAAGATATGCAGCGAACGGCTGGCCTAGTTCCGAGTTCAATACCGCATCGATATCAACAACGGTGTATGCAACCACAAGCTGCAAGAACCATCCGAAGATGCCACCAGTCGCAGAAGTAAGCACGATAGCGCGAGGCGCAGCCAGGTTCGCATTTGAGCATTCCTCTGCCAGATGGAATGGGCTATCGTATCCGCTCATCGTCCAGATCACACCGATGAAACTCATCAGTACGGAGATGCCTGGTGGGAATGTTGTACCCTCGTAGATAGTGCCCCAAACTTCGCGGGATGGTGTGAACTTGGGGAGGCCACGCTCTTCGCGGTCCGTGCCAGCCGGGATCATAATGATCACAATGATGAGCGCGAGGAAGTTGAATGTTGAGCCGCCCGAGTTGATCTGCGCCAGCCAGCGAGTTGGGAGGGAGGACATGATGGCGTGCAGGATCATGATGAAGACGGTGAGAAGGAAGGTCTGGTACTCAGTGGGGATGTAGGTCGGATCACGGATGGACGCTGCGGCGAGGACCATGGCTGCGATACCATAATTGACTGTATATCTTGTCAGTTCGCTATCTTGACCCGATAGGCTATGTACTGACCGGATGGCGCCGCAGTGACCTGAGACAGCCAGTTACTCCAGCCTGTGATCCATGCAGCGAACGGTCCCCAACCTTGAGGTGCAAGAACTGCTGAAGCATAGTACAGTCCTCCGCTTGTCGGCATGGAGCTACACAACTCTGCCATACTGCATGCCACGCACTGGATCCCAATCATGGCTATGATCCATCCCCAGGTCATGCCTGATCAAGTCAGCACATACTGTTTCAAGACAAGGAGAACAGTTTAACGCACCAGCCGTTCCAGCATATCCCATGCCATAATACAGTGTACTTGCGAAACTCGGTAGTAATCCTAGTACCGCAAAACTCACGCAGAACGTCGTGAACAGACTGAATTCTCTCTTGAATTCACTCTTGTAACCCAACGCTGCCAGAGCCTCCTCATCGGCATTGAAGTCATGATCCGGATCATACGGTATATCACCATCAGGCAGGACGCTCGTGACCGGTTCGTCGGCGACTGCGTGCTTGTGTGTCGATGACATAGTTGTGCATGGGCGTACTCAACGGTGTCGGTGGCTGGCTGAACACAACGTGAAAGCAACAACGGCGTCAAGCACAAGTTGAACAGTAGACTGCGGATAGGTTGAACAGCTGAACAATGAGCGACGTTGGCATTATATCAAGGTCACTTGCCAATCTTGCCCCCAGTCGTTACTACAAGCCACGAGCGGGGAACGTGAACCGCCGTTTCTCGCAACAGACGCATGGCGAAGCGCGATACAGTGGTACGCATGCACGCCTATCTGTCCGTAGTGCTGGGTACAGCGTAAACTTGCTGCGTTAGGGCTTTGGGCAGCGAATGACGGGCGGAGATGGCTTAATGCTTATCTCTTTATCAGGGTGATTGGGGTTGTTAGCGTGGATGTGGGGAAGATTCGCGCGCCGGGGTGGCAGGAACGAGGTTCCCGTTGATGCAAGCAGATGCCCAGACACCATACAAAAGCAGCCTTGCAGCCACAATAAGAGGCCCAGAACTTCGAACAAAGAGATGACTTGGAGCATGATGAGGAGGGTGTTCAGCTGCAATTATCTGCTATGGTGCTGCTATCGTGTCGTATTCTGCTACGTAGGTTGTTGCTGTTCTAGATACGGAATTCCTCCGGTATCTACAAGCTAAGCATGAATACCCAGGCTGATCTCATTCCGCGCGGCTGGACCTGCTCAAAGGGGAATGGATTAGACTCTGCAAAGGTCCTACCCGTGGCTTAGAGTTGGCGATATGCACCTACTGCACGATCACGTAAAGCGCGTATCAAGTGCTGTGTCAGTTGTCTGTCACTTGAATCGGCAGCGTGAAGGGCGTCAAACAGTCGTGGGGTAGCATCGTTGTCACCGTGTCCATGGAGATCAACAGCCTCTCATCCAACAGCAATTGTGTAATCGAGATCGCGACCAAGGAACAGGGTGCCTTGGTATCTGAATGCGTGACCAACACAGTCGAGAAAGACGGAGCGGTACCTCAATAGTAGCTTGTGCTGGCAGTATGGGCAGGGAAGGCTCCTGGAGCTGTCCTCTGGTCTTCGTCTGCACTGTCATCCTCTTCTCCTTCGAACGCTTCACTAGGGTCAGGAGGTGCCCTCATGCGGACGAGCGAGTCTTCAGCAAGAGCTGGCACGATCCATATCTTCGTCGTGTGATATTCTCGGCCGGAAGGCATGCTTGCCAGTAACGGCTCCGAAGGCGGAACCAACTGGACACCCACCTGGTGTGGCGTGTTAGCGATGTACCTTCTCCAAGTTGATGCCGTTCTTACCGTATCGTTCATCTTTTCCCATTTCTTCATAAGCATATCCACAATGCGGCCTTCCTCGAACTTCCCTGCATCGGTGCCCCAACCTTCGCCTTTCTCGATCTTGCGGTCTTCCTTCTTCTCTTGAAACTCTTTCTTGAGCTTCGAGAACCCGAACGATTTTTTCTCTTGATCTGTACCCAGAGATGCAAATCCTAACTCTTTCTTCGCGCCGCGCAACCAGGCAATACCTTCACCAGTCTTACCACCAGCTTCGGAGTCGCAAGCTAAGAAGCGGCATGCCTTGCCTTTTGCGGTCCTTCGCAGATCGTCGACGTATTTAATCAGGTCATCGTTGACTCTGGAAGACCGACCAAGCATGGCTTGAGCTTTAGCTGCGTGCTCCGAGGATGCAAGACAAAGGCGGGCGAAGAGGTGCGCGCGCACTTTTGGTATCTCAACACCTCTGAACATCCAGTCTTTGCTGTCCTTGTTCCTGTCTTCAATCACGACAGCTGGGTATGGGTCATCCTTAAGCACCGTGATCAGTGTAGCTTCAGCCATGGTGAGCTCAGCCAGGGTACCCATCACAGCTGCCGAGATATCTATCGCTGCAGGCTGAGTATGCCATTGTGCTGCCCTGTTGACCAAGTAGGTATGGACCGAATTTGCATCAAGGAAGTGCTTCATAGCAGCTCCGATCGCAGTTGCGCGCTGTTCGGGGCTTGGAAGCGTGGCATTGTAAAGAGTGTGTAATTGTGCTCGAGCTTGCAGACTGTACACATATGCCAGAGTCGAGAGCACAAAGCAAAGCTCGCTCTCAAGGCTCTTGAGCTTTACGCGAGCTGGCTCGCGGCCAGGTATTGAAGTACCAAGTGTTGAGCGCCATTCAACTTCCAGCTCTTTGACCAGGACCAAGTCGATCTCTTCCCCAGCGCAAGCTGTACCACTGAGGCCGACGTCTAATGCGAATAAATATGGGATGTAATCGTTGAGTGCGGACAGTACGGTCGAAAGGTTTGAGGTTTGCGAGGAAGGAGGAATGCGCTTATGTCGTTTCAGGACATCGCGAACTACGCCTCGCGCTGTTGTTGCGCAGTTCGGCAACGAAGGATGTGTGCTGCTATTGAAGTAGTCGGTAAATGCTATGCTAGAGGTAGTCGGTAATGCGAAAGGAAATGGCATCTTGTGGAGCGTCGGTGTTGTTTACGGAATGATGCAGGTACCCCATCTATGGTGGGGTTCTGAGACGCTAGTCTTGGCCTGCATCATGTTGGCTTGGATTTGTTTAACGACTGAACTCAGTTAACCTGTGTACCGTTAGCAGATACATGTAGTATAATATTTTGACAGACAACACAATGGATCTGGGATGAAATGTGGTCTAACTGGTTTCAACCCAAATCATGTAGGTTCATCCTCTCTGTCTGCCAGGTATATGTACAGGTCTGCTTCTGCAGATTGACATGAGCAACCCTCCAGTTGTAGTGCTTGACCAACGCCTGAATTCGTATCATCACAAGTGCTCGCGCTGCAGTTGATCTTTGCGCAGAGCCCGGTGTCTGCTTTCCACTTGTCTCGCCCTCAGTTCTCCGGGTATAGCTACTCGAATCATCTAAGCAGCCGGCTTTGATGCCGGAATATCGTTGTAGTTCTGCTGGGCGAACAGGTAACCCTTGACCTTCGCGCTCTTCAGGAGCTCAAAGTAGCGCTCTGTCAAACCTCCGTTAGCAATGACCTACTTCAACGCGATTGACCTCCAAGTTCCAGAACGCCACCACCTGACTCTGTTCAGAATGGAAGAAGAACAGCGGTCGCAGCCAGAAGGTCGCAGCCAGACGATCACAAGGGCACCATACCTCGCAGGTGACCGCACTTCTCCAAGTGGTTGACTCCCTCCCTCCTGTAGCACTTGCCCATCTCTTCTCTGACTAGCCTCGCCATCATGCTCTGGACCCACTGCTCACGGATAATGGCGTCCTGTGCAGCCTTCAGGGCAACGTTGTCCTCATAGTCGATACCATCGAAGGTAGGCGCAACCTTTGGCTTCTTAGCCAGGAACATGGCAGACTCAGGTGTAGGCATTGTGGCGGTTCGGGGCTGTACGGCGTCGGTTGAAGCGTTTACGAGAGACTCCGAGGAGGTTTGTGGGTTGTGGAACGGTCAATTGGCGGCGGGAGTAGCTGATCGTTGTTGCGCTTGCTGTGAGGTTGAGCTTCGAGATCCGCAAGCCGAACCACGCTAGTCCACGTGATCTTGAATCATCGCCATCTTCATCTCAAAAGCCTGAACCACGATAACTTCAATCGACGACATGAGGTTCTTGACGCTTCCAGTCCTTCATCCAACCTGAGCTACCGGTCACCAGACCATTCAATGTGGTAGTTACGTCCCATATGCTTCTGTTTTCCGCATTGAACTCTGCTACTTTTGGTGGTCCCTTCTGCTGCGTTGAGGTGCTTCCGCCCTGGTACTTGAACTGCCATCGCCAGGGCTCGAAATGAATCTCGCTATTGAGTGACTCGAGGGCCTTCAGCCTCTTGTTTCTTTCATGCTGACAGATTGCACACAACCGTTCTAGTCGCCTGGTTTGCAGTGGATGTATCTGACTTTCAGTGCATAGCTGCATCGCTTTCATCGCCGAAGTAGGTTTGGAATCTCTTCGTTCCTCAGTTTCCATGCTGTCTGTTCTTGATTACACACTAGACGTAGTGGACATCGTAGACACTCTTCGCTGCCTTGAACCTGATAATCGAACAGAAACATCCTTCGCCGCTTTACAAAATCCAACAGGCATCTCCGAAAACATGGAATGACCGCAATGAAGGAAAACATGAAGTCTGTAGTAGCACATGTTGTTTCAGAAGTTGTCTGTGTAGATTCTTGAGTTGGAAATGGTCCCTTGAACCGCATTTACCACCTGAGCTGTCAAGTTGCGCTGGTTCGAGGCTCTTTGTTTGCTATTAACAGGTTGCAAGCTCAATTTGCTCCCTATATATAGCGAATAAAGACGGGCGAGCCATACACTGGCCTAGTCCCATGCCACGAAGGTCATACGGAAGTCAGCAAGGTTGTGAGAAGTGAGGGGTGGTAGCTGATGCATGCTGGTGGCTTGCGGTTCCTCCGCTATACACAATAAGTTGATACATGGAGGTAAATATCAAATTGAGACCATGGATCAGGTACATAAAATAGATCCAATGCATAATTGCACTCTATACATCACACATTTTCGCCCCTACTTGAGTTGGTGAGCAGATGGTCCACTGCCTCGAGGATAGCTCACTAGCGCGAAACTGCATCACCGAACAATGAGCTCCAAGTCCGTCACGGTGCAACCTTCACGAACCGCCCGCGAACTACGAACACAAGTCCAAATACTTCCCGGTCACGCGATTGACGCGCCAAATATACCGAACGCCTACCTAGACCAAATAGACAACATGCCAGAACCGACACCAGAGGCCGCGCCGCAAGTCGCAGGAACAGAACCTACGCCCATCACAAATGGCACCACTGCTACTGAGGCAGCGGACGTAACAATGGCAGACTCCACAGAAATACCCATAAGCACAGAAGTACTTCACCTCGTTCCTCCTAACTCTCCTTACTGAGTCTCCCGCAGTCACAGCCCCAGACAGCACCCCTCCCAGAAGCGCAGCCAGCACCCACCCCGGCACCCGTCTCAGCACCTACGCCAACACCTGCGCCCACAGCGCCAGCCTCGTCGCGCAACTCACCGCATCCCACCGCACCACAGCAAGCACCCACACAACCCGTACCACACGGTAGCCCGACACGCGTGTACCTGAATCAGCATGTCACCCCACATCTGTTGGAGGCAATGAAGCATCTGGCGACAAATGAGCCAGAGAAACCATTGAAGTTCTTGAGCGAGTTTTTGGCCATGAAGAGTGCTGAGATTGAGGGGTGAGAGCACTGCGCATGGAGAGCAGCAATAACAGGGTACAAGGGCACACGAGCCATTGGAAGAGCGATGGCAAGGGCTGGTTGCTACAAAGATACAGTTTGAGAGCGCTGCTGTAACGACGCCACCGTAGCAAAGGATGAAGAAATGCAGCTAGGCTATGGACGGCATGCAGTATGCAGTTGGATCTGTTCGTGAGGGCAGCTTTGGAGCAGGGTGTATGGCGCATGGGTTCCACATAGATACCCACACGACTGATATCACGTGCAAAGGATGAGGAAATGCACGAGAATGTGTTTGAATTGATGTAATACTTTTCATTCATTCCGGATCATGCCCAAAGCTCCCTTTTATGGGTAGTCGTAAAGCATCCATGCCCGTGAAACTCCGTTTGGATATTTTCTACTTCCACGCCCACTCATACTAGTTCCACATGCGCTTATGCGACAAGGGTGGAGGCGGTGGCGCTCTCGTACCTCCAGGTAGGGGGGAGGGCACCGACGGTCTTGTAGTAGCGGGAGAGACGGTGGATACGGGACTCGATGAGAATGAGGCGGCTGCGCGATGTTAGTTCAGTGCCTTTTCCTCCCAGATCTTGTGCAAACGTACAACTTGGAGTCCTTGTCCTTGCGGTTGGTGGAAAGGTGCTTGCGGACGGCAACAGCCTTCTTGATGAGCATGTAGAGGTCCTCGGGGATCTCGGGGGCGAGGCCTAATGGCTCCCTGTCAGCTTTGCACTAAACAGAGGCAGTCTTATATAGCGCAACAGATGCACGCGGGCAGAGCTGTCGTTGACTTGCGCTTCAACATGGGCAGGGTACCGTACCGTTCGACTTCAAGATACGGAGGATCTTGTTACCGGTGACAACTGCGAAGAATTAGCGTATGCGCAAAGTCGCTCAAAATGCGCAGAACGTACCCTTGACTTGAGCAATGCCGTGAGAGTCACGAAGGATCTCGCCAATCTGGGAGGGAGTGGCACCCTTCTTTGCGAGCTTGCCGATCTGCTCAACAACCTGCTCGGGAGTGGTCTTCAACCAAGCGGGGGGGTTGCGAGAGTAGGGGATCGCGGAGGACGATATTCCCTTTCCGTTGCTGTGAAGACGACCCATTTTGGAGGATTTGTACGAGGGGCTGGAGTTAGTACTGGAGTCGAGACGAGGAAGTCGCGATTGTCAAGTGGGAAGTGTGTTCACCCAAAATTCGCTTAGGCAGACGCTAACGGGGTGCTCGAACAAATAGCTGGCGCACGGTTGCCCGGAATCTCGGCGCCGCGAGCCTCAAATAAAATCTTCGGGTTGCACACCACAATACACTGGCAGATCTTAACACGTCCCACGCTTCTGCGTGATATGAGGATCCTGGCTGTTGTGGAGATGTATTGATCGCGCAAGCTGCGGAAGCTTGATCACAATCAAGGGTAAGTTCATCTCGTTTATCTACGTCTCTTTTACTACAATGATGATTTCTCGATGCTCTTTCTGGCACCTCTTATATCAGTCCCTTTAAGGACGATGCATTCAACTCGACAATTCTGATATTCTTGCAATCGCATACACTCTTGTTTTCTATTAGGAGTATGAACAAGCGCTAATTGCTCGATAGACTTTTAACTTCAACACGTTGATCCCCGGTCACTGTTCTTTGCGTTGTGCGCCTACCTATCGGGAAGTCACGAAGTAGATAGCTGTGTTCTCGGGGTCATATAGGTCGTGTAAGTGACTCGTAGTCTAACAGTAGGTACGATGGACTACCTGCCAACGTACTACAAAGTTCTTTCTTCCTCTGCTCTGCCGCTTCCCCAAGCCCATGCGCATCGTACGAGTGCCACGCATAGCGTGGTCAGGCATGGCATTTACATTGTTCATGTTCAACGAAGTTTCATCCAACACCATCTTCCATTTGCTCCACATCCGCTACATCACATTGCTTTACGAGTACAACTACCAGATCTATCGAATATGAAGCATTCCATATATCTCGCCGCCTTCGCGTCGCTCGCCTACGGCAAGACTGCTGTCCAGCTCTGTGCTGGTACGGCTGAGCGTGCTTCAGATGGCAACTAGTACTGCTCTGAAGTATCGGCGATCACCTACTACAATATTAGCCAGCCCGGCGCCTACAACCGCACCACCTACGTCGATCCCAGTACCGGCATTTGTGGTCATGAGACGGTTCGATACCCAGCGATTAGCTCACTTGCACCATTGTTTGGCGAGGTGGTTGTATCTATCGTACGTTCTCAGGTATGGCATTGACAGACCTTATAGGTGTCGGTGCATCTCCGTGGTCCCATGAACATCTCTCAACTTGCTGTGTACCAAGTTCCTACCGAAGCTTACAAGATGCGAAAGCGAAACACTGTACCATTCTACAACCGCCGGCGAGCGCTAAAGCAGCGGGACATCCACATCGACAACGCAAACCATGCACTACTTGACAAGCGCACATGGGCAAACACCACTAACTGCAGCTCTGTGTCCACTGTCACCTCGACTGTTACTGCGACAGACTGTGGAAGAGGTGTTAGCAGCATTTCTACAGCATTGCCCAACATCACTTATGTTGGCCCTCCTTTACCGTGTGTACCTACGCCAGACGCTCCATCAACGACTACCGACGTCTTGTATACGCTGGCCACTAATTTATCGAGTTCCAATTGTACATGTCAAAGCCCACCAACAATCACTCAAGATCTTGAACGTCATCCTAAGGCTGTACTGAGTCCTATACCAGCGCAATCCTCAACCCCCATATCCGACAAAGCGGAAGTTCGCAAAAGGGCTGCAGCCTGGGATCGTGTCGCATACTATACGTCGACAGCACCAGCTCAAGCAACCGGCTTCTCGTTTCTGGCCAACTTAGGAGATCCACAGAAGTCTGGTACTTTTGACTAGTATGCTCCCGTTACAATCTCTACTTCTAGAAGTAGGCAGCTTGTTAACAGTTGGCAGTGCGTTCGGCAACTCCCTGAGCTTCGTAACTCCTGCTGGCAACAGAGTCGCCTCAGAAAGTGAGCCTTTCGATGGCACCTTGGATACCTCGGAGTACGAGATCGCAGTCTTCTCTGATAAAGAGTGTGATCTGAATTGCCCATACTGGAGACCGAATGCTACCTCACACTGTATGCATCCACATTTATACGCAGCCTCCAACACTCACATGTGCACAGATGCCTGGTCCGGCTCGTCGAAAGCCTTCTTCATCGAGTTCCAAATGGACCACTACCAAAACCGCGGCAGCGACTACGGCCTCATATCTGATGCACCAGCATGGTGGTTTCTCAACGCCGCCGTCCCACGCATCCTCCAATACGGCAATGACCGCAACAACATACCCTGCTCCTGCTGGTCCACCGGCTGTGGGGAGTTCGACGCCTTCGAAGTCTTAGGTAATGGAGGAGAGAGGGGGAAGAGCACCCTGCATCGACAAGGGAATCTTGAAGGAGGTGACTCGAATTACTTTAAAAGACCGGTGGGCGGGATGTTGAAGTTTGCGGTGGTGTGGCATTACCCACATATCACTGTGAGGGTGCTGGATGATGATTACGACTTTCCAGAGTCGTTGACAGAGGATCAGATCGAGGCTCTTGTAGCATATGATCCGGACAGCTGGGTGCACTCGTTGTTCTCTATTGGCGATTGACAGTGGACGCTCATTTCAACCGGGGTATTCTAGGGTCCCATATTTCGAAAGTAACTTCAGAATATACATCCACTTGTTCGATCAACTATCCCAGCCTGCCAACGTCCCTTGCAATGCGTCTCTGATCCTTGCTAGTGTTAAATGTGATAGCTTTTTGGTGGTAATAAGGAGCCTCAAAGAATTTCAAGTCACTGCAGAAACAAACGTCGATTCGTTATCTCTTCGCACGGAACGCCCGATCTGTAGAAATACTCCGAATCGCGAAGGTTCATGCATGCAGTGTAAGCGTTGAGTGGCGATGACTCGTGCGGCATGTGCTTGCCCAAGAGGGTGCCAGAAACCGAGGCAAGATTGCCGTCGGTCTGTGAAAGACCTGCCACATCCCGAGCGATCACGACCACATCATCGCGCGCTTCCACACGACACTCACGCCTCCCATTCTCTTCTTGATACCCTTTCATTTCTTTTGCAACGTGCGATTCTGTTCACCGTTCTCGCCGAACCACCTCAGCAAGCACTACGCACCCCGGCGAACCCCGCAAACTCGCTTCGCCAGGCCGGAGCCGCATCTCCCAGCCTTTTGACGTCGGTAGGGCACCCGACCTCGACGACACCAGCAGCGCACTCCACAGCGACAATCGGCCTGCGCAGGACAGAGTGGTGAAGAGGCACATCCCCAGACATGTCTGCGCCATCACCGCCAAAGCCCTGGGAAACGAGTGGAGGTGCAACGAGTGCCTCGGTTGGTGAGTCGCCGGAGAACCAATCCGCGCCGATCACCTCTAACATGACCGCAGGGTTCACAGGGTCGAGTAGCAGCACAACAACACCAGCGACATCATCGGCAGGCGCACCACCACCTCTGCCATCAGTACCAGACTCGCTCAGTACAGTCGCGAACAGGAACGCATCGACGTATTCGAACATGAACCGAGGCTATGGCGCCTCGCCGTACGGCAGCTATGGCGGTGGCTACAACAGCTACTCCACGCCTTACTCGAGTTTCGGCGGCATGGGCTCGATGTATGGCGGTGGATACGGCGGAATGTACGGTGGGATGGGTGGGATGGGGATGGGGGGTATGTACGGCGGCATGGGCATGCCTGGCGACCCGAACAACCCGCAGAGTCTCACACAGTCGTTCAGCCAGAGCACACAGGCGACGTTCCAGCTGATTGAGAACATTGTTGGTGCATTTGGAGGGTTTGCGCAGATGCTGCAGAGCACGTACATGGCGACACATTCCTCCTTCTTCGGTGTGTATCATGTTTCGCAGAAGGCCGAGCAAAGCTAACATTTAAATAGCCATGGTATCGGTCGCTGAGCAATTCGGTAACCTGCGACAAACACTCGGCTCAGTACTTGGAATCTACACAGTAATGCGGTGGATACGGACAGCGATCGCGAAACTCACGGGGCGACCACTACCAGCAGATGCGATGGGCCTGACACCCGCAGGCTTCCATGCATTCACAGGGAAGCTACCAGATGGCTCGCCAGCGCCGCCCAAGCCCTCGAAGAAACCCTTCTTCTTTTTTATTGCGGCCGTCTTTGGACTGCCATACCTAATGAGCAAGCTTATCAAGGCGCTTGCACGGTCACAAGAGGAGGCAGAGAAGCGACGCATGCTGGAGAACCCACAAGCCGGCGAGGCTATCGACCCGAACAAGCTTGAGTTCTGCCGCGCGCTATACGACTTCACCCCCGATTCCAGCATGTCAGGAATGGATTTGTCCATCAAGAAGGGCGACATGGTTGCAGTTCTGAGCAAGAGCGACCCCATGGGCAACGCATCAGAGTGGTGGAGGTGTCGCTCACGAGACGGAAGGATGGGATACCTCCCGGGCATCTATCTAGAGACCATCCAGCGCAAGCAGCCTGCTCAGATCACGAGCGGAAGTCAGAGCGGCAGCCCAGCAGGCAGCAGGGCGCAAACCATGACGAGCAGCAGCGCCGCAAGCCGGACTGCTACCATGACTGGGAAACCAGTCGAAGGACCCAAGGTAAAAGGCAAGGCTGGCGATATGGGAGTAGAGAGTTTCCAGAAGGGCGCTTTCTACTCCTAATTCTTTTAGCGATGTTTCTTCGGAGTTTGTTCCTCTGTACATTGCCATGTCAGGCGCAAACAAGCGCATGCGTCTCAGATTGGGTGTTAGTCATCTTGGGTGTATCCTGGAAAAAGCAACGCAAGGCGCATGGCTCTCGGTTTGATTAGAGATATCACATCACACGAAAGAATGCATGGCTTCTTTTACTCAAACAATGTATCACCATGAAGTTCATGCGAGGTCGGCTGATTGTGAGTGGTCAGGAACATGGTTCCATGGATGCATGTGGGTCGAGCTCACAGCTCAAGCTTCCGGACTTTGCGCAACACGTCGTGAGCTGCTCAGGGATCACGCCTCATAACAGCCGTTTCTCACTTCTTTCGCTCATTCAAGCTTGATCCCACAAAGATACCGCCCTTAGGCCAGCCTTCACTTCTACATTTACCCGCTTAAAGAGCGCCTGCCCCTCCCCCACCTCAGCAAGTGGCAGCTGCCTGATACACGGACGGCGCAGACTCACGAGTGCAACGCAAACAACTGCAGCCACGCCTGGCACTGCTCAAACATTCATCTTAGATTGCTCTATCACTCTACGACACACCTTCACAACAAATCCACCATGTTTGCATCTAGGCGATTAGGCAAGGTAAGGCGCTTCATCTGCGGAAGCCCTGAAGCTCGAGCTTAGTCACAGCACTGCGGATGGCTAATTTGTACACAGGAGCTTACGAAGGTATATTGACCTCAACTGTCGCCCTACGAACATCCGATCCACACTCGCACGGCCATGACATACCATATACTGATTGCTCGCTGTAGATGCAGGGTCAGCTCCCGCCCGGGATAACACTAGTAGAGGCAGACAACCTCGAGAACTGGCTTCTGGACATTCAGGTGCTTGATGCAAACCCAATCTACGCGGGTGAAACGTACAGGCTCAAGTTCACCTTCAGCCAGAACTACCCAATTGAGGTGCGCCTCCACTACCCTCCATGTCTCCTGTACCACATACCACAGAAGCGTGCACTGCATCATAGCTATATACAAGCTGACCATGGCTCAGGCTCCCGAAGTAGTCTTTGTTAAGGACGACACGCACTCAATACCCTGGCACCCACACATCTACACCAACGGCATCATCTGCCTCGACCTCCTCGACCGATCCGGCTGGAGTCCTGTACACAACGTGGAGAGCGTGTGTGTCAGTCTGCAGAGCATGCTCACGAGCAACACGAGGAAGGAGCGACCAGAGGGAGATGAGAACTTCGTCAGATACAATACTCAGAGGCCGAGGGACATTAACTTTGTCTTTCACGACAACAAGGTCTAAGAGCCTGGTGGCTGTCTAGAGGTGACGGCATTGGACAAGGCGTATCGGTGACTTTAGTGAACGGCGTTCGTTGGGTTGGGTCTGTGGAATTGTCATTCCATATTTAGAGAACTATGGCGTTATATGGCAACAAGAGCTTGAACACCCAGAATATACCCAGCAATGAACTTTTCAGTCTTTGACCAGTCTAAGCGTATTGTCATTCCAAGTCCCATGGTTCTATGAGGACTACCACAATACCGAGGGGCTCAACCAGAAAAAAAACGTAAGAAACAACGCACGAGACCTTGACAGCTGCAACTGCCGTCTGGAGCCAGTCAGGCTGACCACGCTGATGTCAAGCATACACAAGACCGTTGCATCAGGCCTTCAGCAGAAGCAAGGAGCCGCAACTCGCCTCGGTTGTCAATCATTGCCTATCGATAGGCCTACAATCGGCGAATTATTTTTGCGGTTTTGCACACTTGAAGTCTTGGCGTTGGGTTGGGCTTTAGTACGCTATGCGGGCGAGCCGCCCACAATTTTTCAGTCTATAAGCGTGTGTGAAAAGCTCCCACCGCCTCCCACCTCCCTCCACCACTCCTCTCTCCCAAAAGTTTTTCAGGTCGTTCCTGTAAAATAATATCCAACATGAGCGACGAAGTTTACGAGGGTGCCATTGGCATCGATCTTGGTGCGCACACTCGCATATCGAAAATTACCCCACAATGGCCTGCTAACTTTTCCCAAAAGGCACAACCTACTCTTGCGTTGCCAACTACGAGGGCACCAATGTCGAGATCAGTATGCGCCCACCCGTCTGAGCCCACCATGACCGCCGTCTAACGGTTTTGCCTATAGTTGCCAACGAGCAGGGTAGCTTCACCACTCCCTCGTTCGTCTCGTTCACCAGCGAGGAGCGTCTCATCGGTGAGGCAGCCAAGAACCAGGCTGCTATGAACCCTGAGAACACCGTCTTCGACGTCAAGTGAGTTTTTCGCCTGTCGAACACTGCACGAGTGCAATTTGCTGACCGATTCAGGCGTCTCATTGGTCGCCGTTTTGACGACGAGACCGTCAAGAAGGACATCCAGTCATGGCCCTTCAAAGTTGTCCCCGCTGGCGACTCCCCTATGGTCCAGGTCGAGTACCTGGGCGAGACCAAGCAGTTCTCCCCCCAGGAGATCTCCGCTATGGTCCTCGTTAAGGTACGCTCTGCGCGCGAACGAATGTGAAAGGGCATTCGCTAACATCCAGACCAGATGAAGGAGGTTGCTGAGACCAAGCTCGGCAAGAAGGTCGAGAAGGCCGTCATCACCGTCCCCGCCTACTTCAACGACAACCAGCGTCAGGCCACCAAGGATGCCGGTGCCATTGCCGGTCTTAACGTTCTCCGTATCATCAACGAGCCTACCGCCGCCGCTATCGCCTACGGTCTCGGCTCCGGAAAGTCGGAGAAGGAGAGGAACGTCCTCATCTACGATCTCGGTGGTGGTACTTTCGATGTTTCCCTTCTTCACATCCAGGGCGGTGTCTTCACCGTCAAGGCCACCGCTGGTGACACTCACTTGGGTGGTCAGGACTTCGACACCAACCTCCTTGACCACTTCAAGAAGGAATTCACACGCAAGACTAAGAAAGGTGGGTAGTAGCTTCTTCCGTTCGCGTTTTTTCTTATTACCCTGTTGTTGTTTCCTTGCTTTTCGCGTCTTGAGGAAGGGAAGGAGGCCGCGACTCGAAACTCACAAGACATCCAAGACTCACCTTGAAAAAGAGGCTGAGTCTCGTTGATCTTTGTACCTTCATCATCATCATACTCGGATCGAAGCTAACTGTCACTTAGACATCAGCGGCGACGCTCGTGCCCTCCGTCGTCTCCGAACTGCTTGCGAGCGTGCCAAGCGTACTCTTTCCAACGCCACCCAGACCACTGTTGAGATCGACTCGCTGTTTGACGGTGAGGACTTCAACGCCAACATCACCCGTGCTCGCTTCGAGGACCTGAACCAGAAGGCTTTCGCCGGCACTCTTGAGCCCGTCGCCCAGGTTCTCAAGGATGCCTCCATCGACAAGAGCAAGGTCGACGAGATCGTCCTTGTTGGTGGTTCCACCCGTATCCCCAAGATCCAGAAGCTCCTCAGCGACTTCTTCGGCGGCAAGAAGCTCGAGAAGAGCATCAACCCCGACGAGGCTGTTGCCTACGGTGCTGCCGTCCAGGCCGGTATCCTTTCCGGAAAGGCTACCTCCGCCGAGACCGCTGACCTCCTCCTCCTCGATGTTGTTCCCCTCTCCCTCGGTGTCGCCATGGAGGGCAACATTTTCGCCCCCGTCGTTCCCCGTGGTCAGACCGTCCCCACCATTAAGAAGAGGTAAGTTCACCCCATTATGCCCCTAACCTCCTCCCAGGTTCTATTGTGGGATTCTCAATCTCGCAAAATCGCAACTTCCAACTTTCCCGCTTGTGCGTCCTAGTTGGTACCTTGACTACCTCCTGGCTTCATCATGGGAGTTTCGATTTCCCCGAATTGGGAACTAGGATTCTCCCATTTTGGAGTTCGGGTCGGTGTCCTGAGTACCTTCATGGTCCCACGTGGGAATGTCCATTCCCCAGATTTGGTATTCTCGATTTTCACATTCTGGATTTCAGGCTGGTGTTCTGAATACCTCCTGGCTCCTATTTGGGGTTCTCAAGATCAGAAAATCTGGGATTTACGTTTTTGCGTTTTTGAGTCTCCTCAAGCCTCTCCGACTACCTCCACGGTCCCTTTTGGGATCCTGACCTCTGAGCACATGCTGATTGCCTCCAGGACATTTACTACGGTCGCCGACAACCAGCAGACCGTTCAGTTCCCCGTTTTCCAGGGTGAGCGTGTCAACTGTGAGGACAACACCTCCCTCGGAGAGTTTACCCTTGCTCCTATCCCTCCTATGAAGGCTGGTGATGCCGTCCTCGAGGTCGTCTTCGAGGTCGACGTCAACGGTATCCTCAAGGTCACCGCCACCGAGAAGACCTCCGGCCGCAGCGCCAACATCACCATCTCCAACGCCGTTGGTAAGCTCTCGTCTACCGACATCGAGAACATGATCAACGACGCCGCCAAGTTCAAGAGCTCCGACGAGGCTTTCTCCAAGAAGTTCGAGGGCAGGCAACAGCTCGAGTCCTACATCTCCCGTGTCGAGGAGATGGTCTCAGACCCCACCACTGCCATCCGCCTCAAGCGCGGCCAGAAGGAGAAGATCGAGGCTGCTCTCTCCGACGCCATGGCCCAACTCGAGGTCGAGGACTCCACCGCTGAGGACCTCAAGAAGAAGGAGCTTGCGCTGAAGCGCGTTGTCACCAAGGCTTTCTCCACCCGATAAGCGTGGACGCTTTAATGACAGGAATGTCGGGCAAGACTGGCCGCAGGTGCAAAGGGCATATACCCAGACTGCTCGCTGCCTCGTGCGCTAGCGCTGCGAACGGAGTTTCAATGTTTTGCGGCATTTAACGATAGACTTGGTGTGTTTGGTTCTACATCCTTTTCCTTTCCTACGGTTTTCTTCGGCATTTATGGGGGGATGCAAAAGTATTGTATGTACTTCTCATGACGATGCCCTGACGACTAATGGATGTCTTGCAAAAGTGATGCACGCCTGGCGGAAAGATACAGTCGAGAGCGAAGGAAAGGAAAATTGAATGAACGTTCGATGTTACAACACTTCACCTTTGAACTGTGATGCTATTTGACCTTCATACTGTGCCTCAAGAAAGTCAACGCCCAACATAGCTGACATATCTCGGAGTACTTCAGTATGCCATTAAGCTTCCTGACACAGAAAGTACTATATCTATCTGATCATAGAGCCATGCATTATGCTTTGAACACACCCTTCTCTATCGCCCCATCCACCAACCCATCCCCCGTCAGCACATTCGTAGCAGCAATCACAACCCTACTCCCCCTTCCCTCCCCCCCACTCTCCGCAAGCTTCCTCCCCACCCACCGCAGCGCCGCAATCTCCGCCCTCGTCACACCCCCCAGAAAGAAAACTACCACCGTCTTCCCTCCTTCCCCATGCCCACTCAGCATCTGCCTTGCCTTCAATGCTTTCTGAGACACATTGCCCGTCTGGACCTCGTTGAACGTCGCGCCGCGGATGTACTTACTGCTGTCCTCAAACATTCTCAGCCCCTGCGCGAGCGGATTAGAACTCAGTGGCGCGCCGGGGGTGGGGGGTTTGATAGTGTTGGCGAGGCTGTGTTTGTGGATGATGCTCTGCACTATTCGCACGCTTAGGGGGGCATAGCCAGAGAACGTGTAGCTGATGTCGTTCGGCGAAGCTTCGTTGACTTCGTCGTCCCAGAGGCGCAGCGTTTTGCGGAGCGGCGTGTAGTTCGTCACACTTCCCGGCTTGACACTACTTCCTGTGCCGCCCGCGAGGGTGGCGCCGCCGCGCGGGGTCAGGAGGTTCATTTTTTCGAGGGATTGCAGGGTGAGCAGGTGTTGCGGGCCGAAGGCTTGGATGATGGCGCGCTTGAAGGCGTCGAGGTCCTTGGGCCGGATGCCGGCGTTCGTTGTGCTTTCGAGGCATAGTAGGCGCAGGATGGTGGGCAAGGGCGTGCCGCGGTCGATCAGTTCGGTGATCAGGTCGTGTTGTGTCGATGGGTCGGCGCCGGATGTGAGGTTTTGCTGGACTTCGAGACAGCGTGTGAATGTGTCTGTGCGGGTGTTTTTTATGATCTCTTCGGCGAGAGAGGTGTGTAGTTTTAGGCTGGCTTGCTCGGCTTGGTATCCTGGGAGCCGGGCGACGAAGTCTCGAAGTTCCGAGGTGGTTTTGGCTGCGAGTGAGTTACGCTCTGTACTTGATTGGAGGCGGCGCGCTACTTTGTTAAGGAGAGACCCAACAATGGCGAAGTTGGCGTCACCTAGATCACTGTAGAGAGTGTCTTTGGAGTCGATCATGATCTTGCGCTTCATTCTGGTGGACGCTGAACCTGTCTGGCCGGGTTGCGGTGCCACACCGCCGATGACTGAGGAGTCGACTTCGGTTTGGTTGGCAGAGATATTGAACACTTCATCAATGAGGCCCTCATATGTCAGTTGGGTGAGCAGCACGGTTGGGAAGTCGACCTCTCGGTCAATGATGATGAGACTGTCGATAGTCGTGCTTGGAGCAAGACCGAGGAATGATGGACCGGTATTGCTTGAGGGCTCGCCTGCTGCTACTTCGGTACGCATTCGGATAAGGAGGTCGGCGAGACGCTTTCCGTTGTCTCCCTTGCCCATGATCCGTGGGAAGAGGCCATGTTTGCGTTGTTGAAGCATGAGTGCCTTTGCTGCTAAGTAAATTGAAGTAGGGTCCTTGCGCTGGGGATGGTCAGTCACGGTCGGCAGGATACAACGCGTAGAGACGTACGAGGTATAAGTCCGACACAGCATCATCGAGTTCAAGAGACAGCACATCGTCGGCCAAAGGTACAAAGAACAGAGGCCACTCGCTGACGCTTGCCTCACCAAGCACACCAGCGTCCTCGAGCAGTTGGTCTGAGACGATCGTGCGCCTCGGTACCCAGAAGATGGAGAACTCGTGCTCGATCTCACTTTCCCTTCGTATGCGTTTTATTTGGTCTGGGTGATTTTAGCTCCACACCCTGTAGACATCGAAACAAGAAGACATGGACGTGAAAAGTCGAAGGTGTAGATGGCGCTCAAGCGTGGAGTACGTGATGGGTTAGTGCTGCACAGTGTAGCGTTTTCTGGGTACATTGTGAGTTAGGCTATACATACCAGCAACTTTCATGACCATATTCGCCTTCTCTCCTCTTACGAGAAACACGACGTTCCTCTGACTAGCATCGACATTGTCGTTCTCGAGGAAGAAAGGCTTGTCGACACCGTACTCTTGAAGCGTTGAGAATTTGACCAGCAGGTTGAGGGGACCGGCAAGTGCTTTCTCGAGCACCAAGTTTTTCTTTCCTCTTATCTAAGCAGGTGATGTTAGTTCATGTGGCTGATCTCGCTGCATCATTGGCTACCTTACACCCTCAAGCAGCAGAAGCAGGTCGCGCCGCGCCTTCTCCGTGATTTCCGAGGCGTTGAATGGCGTGGCGGGCGCCATATTCAGATATGGTATTCTTGGTGATATCTGTGATTTTGTACTACCGTATGTACATCTTGATGGAAGATTCGCTTGTTGATTGTTGGTGCCGATGGCAATGCGAGGTTGGGGATACATGCACGTGCGCACGTGGCTTGGCGTTATCTACACGTTCACGCAACTAAGGTTCGTCGAAGGCCTACTCATCAGAAGTATGGATGAATTCATTCGTCTTGTTACTCATCGGTCTTTTTCTCTAGCTGCATTGCACAATCCAAGTTCAGTTTATTGCAAAGGACAGATACTAGTGAGATTCAAGATGTCGTTAACTCTGATAACATTCGTACTGGTAGATGCGATTCGCTCAGGCTATACTATGCTAACATGTACACATTTGTAATTGAAAACATGTCTAGAGCTCATTGTGCTCGGGCGCATCTTCAAGAATCTCCTCGACGTTGATCTGGATTGGCTCTTGTTCAGCAACCTTCTCCTTGACTGCTTCTTGCTCTCCAGACGCAATCAAGGTCTCAGGGAGCTTCTCCTTCTTGCCTTCTCCCATGCGGATAGCATCGACCCATGACTCAACCTCTTGAGCGCCAAAGGTAGTACCGGGGTACTTCTTGTACCAGGCACGTTTGCTGTGGGTCGCAATGAGATGGATGGTGTCATCGGTTCCGAGGCTTAGTTCAGATCGAAGCGTGGCTGCAAGAGAGTTCGAAGGTGGGACGCTGACGAAGGGGAAGAGCTTGCTTCCGTGCTTCTTGTGGATGGCTCCCAATGAGGCGATGACAGACATGGCAGACATGGCAGCATCAGAGGCATCGTCCGGAGGCAGGATGGCCAGGATGCAAGTCTTTGCATTCTCGTTCAGACAAAGTGACTGGAGCTCGGCAGCATCTGCTGCAGATGGGACGGCGGGCTTAGTATCTCCGACGGGCAGCTCAACAGGGTCTGGGGTATCCTCGGTCTTGACGTTAGGGTCAGGAGACTCTGTTGCGGCGATAGGCTCCACGATAGTCTCATCTGTAGCGGACGCAGCAGCCGAAGACGAGTCCGCAGACTTGTGAGAAGCTGATGCCTTGGCGAACTTGCTGGATGACTTCGACTCCTTCTTGCTTTCCTTCTTCGCCTTTGGCTTCTTCTCCTTGGGACCAGGGCAGTCAGGGTTTGGTGGCGCGACCTGGGACAGGAACTTGACCATGGCCTCCTTCTCGACCTTGCCGTCGTGCTTGATGGGTTCGTCCGAACCAGCTGGCACAAGGATGAGAGAGGGGAAGTCGGTGACACCATACTTCTCAACAGCGGTCTTCTCAGTCTTCTTGATCTGAGCCACAGAGATGATACCAGCGAAGTCAATGGCAAGGGCCCTCATTGTAGCGCTGACTACAGCCTTGTCGCTGAAGAGGATGGCCTTTGCACTGTTCTTGTTCTCCTGCAGCCACTCGTCCAGGTTCTTGTCGGTGACCCTCTTGACAATGTTCGGCACCTTGTCCTTGACAGCGTCTACAATGCCCTTCGCTGAACGCGGGCCCTGGTAGTCCTCGACCGTTGGCTTTCCTGGCTTCTTGCCCGGTCGCACAATCTTGAGGGTCGGGAAGCCCTGGACGCCCATCTGCCCACAGAAGGGCTTGTTCATCTCTTCATCGCAGTTGACGGCGGCGACCTTGGCGATCCCGGCAAGGGACTGGGCGGCCTTCTCGTAGGCGGGCTTGAGGTTCTTGCAGTGGCCGCACCATGGCGCGTAGAACTCGACGATCTAGCCGGTGGTAAGCTTGATTCCTTCTCCTCTGCAGTATACATCGTACTGAAGTGTAATTGGACTTGGCAATGACTCTGTCGTAGTCGGAGCTTGCGATGTTAAGGACGCCCGACTTCTTGCTGTACATGCTCTCGGCCTGCGCATTGAGAGCCAGCGCAGCCGTAGCGGCGAGGTAGGCCGACAGGCGGACCATGGTTGCGTGGGTGAACGACTGAGTGTTAGTGAATGAAAAGAGAGTCAGCAGCCAGGGCTTATATTGCGGTGCTCACATAACGTTAGCGCGAGAAGGCAAGTTGTCCTCAAGGCTGTCTGTAACTGAAGCTCGGAAACAGCTGCCCATAGCTCGAATGCGGGGCGAGCAGGGGTCCTGCCGCCTATGACCACATGCATCGCGCCTCCTACCTGGAGCTGCAACATCTCCAACTACTTCACGCCACCACACTCTCGACACATAAGACATCATGGCCGACGCGATACCTGCAAAGCTCAAATCGCTGCAGCTTGCGCCATTCGCGAAAAGAGCCGCGCAGCTCGAGCGCTTCAAGCCCATCGTCACATACTGGTGTGAGTACCCCCAGATGCAACACTGAGCTTCCTACAGAAGCATACTAACGCTGCCTGCCAGTACGCTTCCACATAGTGCAGAAGATCATCGGCGCTGGACTGCACTCGGCCGACGCAGAATGCACCGCCTACACCACCGATCTGATGGAGAAGCTGGAGCAGACCAAGGCAGACATGCCGGGCGAAGACGCGCTGTTGGACGACGTTGCGGCGGGCGCGTACTGCGAACAGTTTGCATTGCAGACGTTTGCAAAGGGCGAAAAGGACATGACAGAGAACAAGGTCACTGCCACCACGGCAGACACGCTCATGGCTGCATCAACCTTCCTCGACATGCTCAACATCTGGAAGACAGACGATCCAGAGGTGGCCTCGAAGACCAAGTACGCCAAGTACCATGCCCTACGCATAATCAAGGCCATCAAGGCTGGCGAAGACCCAAATGCTAGCAATCCAGTGCAGGAGCAGGAGCAACAGCCGCCTTCGCCGCCTCTGCTTGACCCAACCGATCCTGAGGTGCAGCGTATCAACCGGAGCACACCGCAGCCACCTGCGTCGAACCCATATCAGCCATATGTCGATTCGGCGCCCAACACTGACGCACAACCATCGCCGAGTTTCTCTGCACCGAAGGTGTCGCCTCCACCAAACCTACCCACAGCACCTACAGGTTACACATCGAACGCACACGACGATGTGTCTCCCATCTCTCAACCAGCAACGTCTCGCCAGGGATCTGTGGTGTCAGTGGGCGGAGGATACTTTCCTAGGACAGATGCACCACCGACGTTTACCTCAGACAACACTGCCCCTAGCCTGCCAACGGCACCTTCGACCGAGGACAACCCCTTGACGTCCTCCCTGGGAGGTCCAGGTGGTCCAACAGACGCGGCTCCGCAGACTTCTGGAGCTCCTGACCCGTCCACCCTCTATCAGAATCCTGCATCGCCTCCTCCGATTGCGCAGCCACCGCAACCTTCTCCGCTGAATCCGTATGCGTCTCCACCTCAGCAACCACAGCAACACTACCCTGCGCCATCGCCTCAGCCCCTTCAGCAACCATACCATATGCCGCAGACCACTCTCCCTTCTCAGCAGCATTCGTCTGCGCCACGTCAAAACCCCTATGCCCAGCCAGCACCACCACCGCCTCCACCTGCATCGTCGTCGCAAGGACCTTTCAGAGACGACGAAGAGTCGATCAGGCAAGCGCAAAAACATGCCAAGTGGGCCATCTCGGCGCTGAATTTTGACGACTCGGCGACTGCAGTCAAGGAGCTGCGGATCGCGCTGCAAGCGTTGGGCGCACATTGATCATCATTTTCTCAGTCGATCTGTCTTTGCACCGAAGATCATCTCGCGTGCATAGGTAGAGGGACTCGGTTTGTTGTATACCCCTGATGTCGTATAGAATATATTCTTAGGCCTCGACACGAGAAGGATCTCCGCATGGACTGCACTTGGTGACGTGGGCCTTCTTGCTCGCCATGAGCAATGTTTGCAATGTGGCAATGGAGGGGAGATGTGCCCCTCTTGAAGTCCGGCTTGACCGGAAGCCACACTGCCACAGTCGCACTGACAGAAGTCACAGCAGAGACACGGCAAAGTCATTGCACTTTCTCGATCTGCTCCACGGACAATCGCCTTCTCACACAGATCTAGGCACTGCCGGCAAGCTCTGAATCAGCAAAACCTGCAGACGCCAAAGCAGAGAAAAATCGAAGACATGGCCAAGCGTGTTGAATCTTGTCTTCCTTGGCCCGCATGTGCAAATTACAGGAGGTGACGACGCTTGTGAAGGCAGCCAACAGCCGTTCGGTTCCTGGCTGCAAAACCGAGGGCTAGCAAAGTTCCAGCCCGGGTACCTGTGGTTAGCTGCCGGTGGGTCTCCACTGACAACCTTCCGCGCGTCTGGGCTGCCCCACACACGACACGACTTCACAACTCGAACTTTGCATCGGCCGCTGCACAGGAAGGTATAGCGTGCGATGCGCTGTTGCACAGCTTGAAGTGCCATGTCTTGTACTGACAGCGCACATGACCGGACTGACGTGCGTGGTGTGCGCAGTGCGATAATGGAGATGCGATGCGAAAGCCGGTCCTGAAAGCCGGCTGGTTCCTGGAAAAATGAGCTTGTTCCTGCATGCAAGAGACGGAAAGTCAGCGAATCCGAAGTCGAGAAACAGCAAAATCCCTCATGCTACCTGCAGATATGACTGCGTCAAGAGTCGCTCATGAACTGCAGTTGAGCGGCATGCATAGTCGGACTTTGCACGTTTGTTTTTGAAACGACACAAGCCGCCGATGGCTTACGCCTGTCCACGCCAACACTCCGCGCGGACAACGTGCAGGAGCTGGACCTGCGGGCCGTGCTTTCATCTCCGATTCATGGCAACTATATAGATACTGTGTAGGTACTTTGGAGTTCGGTTCGAATTACAGCAAGACGCTCGTTTGTCACTACACTCATTCCCATAAAATTACCGGTGCTTCACTCTTTTCAGCACCCGTCAATCCTTTCAAACATAATCAAAAATGTCTATCAAGTCCACTCTCTTCCTAGGCCTTGCTGCCCTCTCCGCCATGACTGAGGCTGCGCCCACCAAGCGCGCCTCCGCTGGCAAACGTGGTCTTGCTTTCCCAAAGCAGAACAACGGCGTCGCTGGATCGACTTACACTCAGTTGTTCAAGAACTACGACCAGATCACCTGGATGTACGACTGGGAGGCTGTCATCGAAGGCACTCCTGTCACTGGCCTCGAATACGTTCCCCTCCTCCACTCTAACGAGGACTGGTGCACTGCTGGCTGGTCTGCCAATGTTGCCAACGCCCAAAAGGACTACAAGGTCTCGCACGTGCTCTCCTTCAACGAGCCTGACCAGTGCGGGTACGTCTCTACCATACCCTCTTCATCCTATCAACGATGCTAATATACGCCAGTGGTGGTGGCTCCTGCATGTCCGTCTCCGACGCCGTCACAGCGCACAAGAAGTACATCCAGCCGCTCGCCAGCTCCCTAAAAATTGGCTCTCCCGCCGTCACAAACGGCGACGGCGAAGCCAAGGGCATCAACTGGCTCAAATCCTTCGTGTCCGCCTGCTCCGACTGCCAGATCGACTTCGTCGTCGCGCACTACTACGCTTGGGACAAGGCGGCCGACTTCAAGGCTTACCTCACCAAATTTCACGAGACCTTCAACAAGCCCGTTTGGGTCACTGAGTTTGGTGTTACCGAGGGTGATGCACCGACTTTCCTTAAGGAAGTGCTTCCTTGGATGGACCAGCAGAGCTGGATCGAGCGCTACGCGTGGCACATGGCTGCCCCGACCACCAGCGAGAGCAGCCTTAAATACTTGCTCAACGAGGCTGGGAACGCATTGAACGATGTTGGTACTGCTTTTGCTTCGTAAGCGCGCTCTGTGAGAGGTGTTTGGCGGGCGTGGCATGCACAGCATGGCGCTTGGCGAAACAATGCGCCTTTTTCTTGTTCAATTCGCACAAATACCCGTTTATAGAATCAGACTTGGTTACTTGCACATACCCTCGTTCTCGTCTTTGTTTGGTCTTGCGTGATGTTTCGTGACGCGCCGTGCCTGGGTCTTTGTTCACCACAGGCAGACACCCCGCTAAGCACATAATGTTGTCGGCATGATGTTTTACATACATGTATTAGTTATTTGCATCATTTGATGCGGTCATCCGAGACGTCCTGGGACATCGGCGTCCTCGGTAGCCGTCGTTGGACTTTGCACACTTGCGATGAGAGAAGAGAAGAGGAACAATCGGGCGTAAGTGTGCTCTTATAGACTGGTCGGTGAGGCGCCGCAACCAAGTCATGACTGCACTTTCGAAAACACCTGACACTGGATCTGGTATTCTTTTGTCTGAACTCAGGCAAGGTCAACAGGCACATGCCACTTCTTCTTCCATTGTTTTAGTCAAAGAAGCGCGAGAGACACATGATTCTTCCCTTGCTGTGTTTTGGACAGAAACCAAATAGGCACATGAATGCGTCTGAACCCGTTTTTGTTGTTTTAAAAGGAAGATATGTAGTTAAGAGGCAGGATGAAGCCGTAAGAGCAGGAGGTCTATACCCCGGAAGTCTAGGCAAGCATGGTCTTGATGAAATCAAGATTCTCGAAAGAGTCAGACATTTAGAATGCATCATTTAGCTTTGGAGGAACAGATAACACCACGTAGAGCTTTTACCTGCTGGTTTTGAAACTCCCTCTAAGGCACTTGACATGGCCAGAATGAGCGTGCTTTTGGAATGTCAGATCTTGAGTAGTCGTGTAAAAGCCAGGCAAGCGCATAACCGCTTTCGAAGGTCATTTTGAGATTTGCGCACTCCCAAGGGTCGGTTTAAGAAAGAAGACCAACTAGGTGGAGGCGCGCTTTTATGCATCAGTACAACGGCAACCGAGCGTCTTGACTAAGTACCAATCTCAAGACGTCGATCATCAAAATGCCATGAACCTTTGTGCTTTTATTTTAGAACATCAGTTCGACAGACACATTGGTAGTATTGTTGGCTTTTCTTCGGGGTAAGGCGGCGGTGCTTCACATGAGCACAGCCTGAGACAATTTCTGATCTTCGAAGATACATCTCAACGTGGAAGGAAACGCAAGAAGAGGGGAGCTGAGAAACTCATTGCTTCCGCGTAGCGGGAGCACATCGACTGGAATAGGGACCTTGAGAGATCAAAAACGCAACCTCTTATTGGCTAAACGAACCTTGATGCTGATTGACTCATTAGGACGCTGCAGGATATAGATAATCACTAACAATGCTAGTAAGAAGGTGCTGTAGTGTTGTTGAGGTTGTTCGTGGGGAAGGAGGAAGTGGCGTGGTTGTGAAAGAAGCAGCCTAGAGCTAGTGCGCGCGCATTTTAGAAGGAACCTCTATCCTAAAAGGAAAGAAGGAAAGCAGGTGTGCTACATTAATTTGATTAGCAAAGCGAGAGAACCGCAACACTGGATGAAAGTACATTAATCTAGCTAGTTCGGCTGAAGGCTCCGCGTGCGGAAGCACCCTTAGTCCTAAGACTCCCAGAAATCCTCTGTACCTGACAGATATACGTAGCCTTGGTAAGGCACAAGAAAGGTGGCAGAAACATAGTCGCAGCTCATGGCGTTTTTCGAAACAGAAAGCGGCAGGATGCTCCATACGGGCCCATGTTTACAAATTTGGTGTATTTTCAAACTCTTTGTGGTTAGCATAAGGAACGATCGAGCGGAGGGGCGCTTTTATGTATGTCTCGACCCAAAAGCAAAGCTTTAATCATGTGCCGGTACCATACATGTTTCTTCTCCGAAGCATACGCACGTGCTTTTCTTCTTTTGCCAGGCTCATACACCGTCGACGGTCACATGGGATCAGAAGGTTCTGATTTGAATAGGAAAGAGCGAGGCTGCTCGACATGAATATCTTGCCGATAACATTTGGACTTTGAAAGGTGAGTGACGAGAAGAAACACTAAACCAGTAGGCACAGGATTGATTTATCCGCATTCAGTGCAAGCGAGATTCTCATACGAGTTGATGAGACGGATTTTGGCCTAGCCGACGACATGTAACTTGTTCCACTTCATTTGAAGATGCAGAGCACACAGATTACGTTTTTGTCGTGATATAATGACTTTCACAAGTTACTGACCCCTCTCTGTCTGGAAACTATGATATCCTCTACCCACAAAGTTCTTCGGGCCATGAAGCGATATTTCATCACCGTTCCAATTAGGAAGGGGGTCAGCAACTTGTGGAAGTCACCGATATTGCAGGTATAGCTATTGGAGCTTTCTTACTTTTAACAGGTATCATACTTGGCCTGTGGTTTTGGCGGCGAAAGCAGAAACGGGAGAAGGCGGCAAGATATCCTGGTGCACTGCAAGCAATGCAGGAAGCTGAAGGAAGGGAAAAGAAGGGGCCTAGCGAGCTGGGGCTCGGAAACCGTCGCGAACCGGGCGTTGAGCTTGAAGGTGTTCAGCACCATGTTGTGGAGATGCATACACCATTTAAGGCACACAAATTGGCATGTGGTACTGGGGGGAGTGTTTGTGTCGAGGCAGATGTGCCGCTTGTCATGTACGAGATGCTTGATACCAGTTCGGACCGGAGATAATCACGAACATGTTAATTAGCCCTTGCCATGGGACCGTACATTGTAGTTCTACGCATTTCGTATCTAGAAGATGCTGAATTTTTGCATCATGATGTTGTTCTGGCACCAGCGTCGTACGGCATGGATGGTAATTCTGAAAAGCGAAGAATTAACATAGTGGCCATACATAATTCACAATTTGGAATTGAGCTCAGCCACAATCCATATATGGACTTTCACAGATAAGAGCTTTGAGCATGGGGCATATGCCATAGTATTAGAAACACAAACTGATCTTCGGACGTTCCATATTTATCCTGACGTTCTGAACCTAAAGGCACTAGAGCAGTGCTGCACACCATCGGCAAGTTCTCCTTGTCTTCTGAGTCTGTGGCCTCGCTCGCATTCACCGCCACATGCGCGGTCCTAAACGGCCTTTTCAATATTTGCTTTGAACACAGAGAAAGGGGGCACTGCTTTGTATGCAGGCAACAGAGCCAAGAGTGCTTCACATCGCTGAAGATGCAGTTGCACTTGAGAGCAGAGACAGGTCCTCCATGGTATCATAGGCTTGGTACTTTTCGAAGATCCAAAATGGCTTCATAGGGAGAGAGCTTGTACCACAGCAGTATTCACGAAACAAGCAGACCGAGACGGACATGCCACGTTGTCAGCGTGTCTTTGGTGAGGCAAGCAGAATTCATGTTTCCGTGAGCCGATGACTTTGACGAAGACTGCATCGTGTCAGGGAAGAGTGAGAAGAGATAATATCGTATGTTTTTGAGTTGCTGAGACAGAAGGCAGTAAGCATACTGTGGACTGCCCGTTCCGTTTGGAAAACGCAGGCTGCGTTCACATGCTGTCAGAACTAATACGGTTCTGGAACATCGATATAGATGTGTGTTGAAGAAGTGGGAGCGTAGGACAAGGCATGGTAATGTATACAACAGGAAAGTGCGTTTGTAATCTTCACGTGCTTCTACATCCCAGCGAACACGCGCACACCTCACATGCATCTCCAATCAAAACCACGATAGTAAAAGTATCGTGCCATCGCATGTCTTGCATCTATTCCCTGTACCTAAAACCCGGTCTAAGATATCATCGCTACAAATCACATCATAACATGAAGCGCCACTAAGAGCGCGCAAAGCGTATCAAAATCGTGGCTGAAGTCGTGGTCGTGGCGCCATATCGCGCGATCATTACGCGACCCTGTGCCCGTTTTCCCATATCTAACGCCTGAAAAGATCCTCGTAAATCCACTTGAGCATTTCTCGAGCGCTAGTGCCCTCCCATCGCTAAAACGCTCGACATTACATTATGCAGTACCATTGACTGCGATGTTTACTGTGAACAGGGTGAATGCGCACCACTACCTGGTCGACTCCCGTACGGCGACTCATCATCGAAGCCCTCGAAACTGGCGCCGTCGTCGTTCATGTGAACATCTTCACCCTCATCGAACTGGGGCTGCCTCATAACAGGATACATTATCGGCGGTGCTGGCGGTGGAACGCCAACCTTGCTGATCTGCTCTGCTAAGCTAGGCTTCTCGGCCAGGTTGTTCAGCATAGCACGGCTTGCATCGAGCATCGATACCGCATACTCGAGGAAGTCGGCGCGCTTGGAAGAGACGGAGAGTGTCCAGCGGTATTCGCGAAGTCGAAGCTTGTAGAACTCGGCTTCTTCGCGTGCTGGTGCTGTGGCCCACAAGAGAGAGCCAAATGTGCCGATTAGGGTGAAGTTCACCTTCGAGGCGAAGAACCAGAAAGCCTGGAGGTGTTCCGGTTTCAAGCGGTTGACGAAGTCCATGGCGGAGATAAGGCGAGTCTTCGCTGCGTTGCGGCACATGAAGAGACCGTAGTTGTCCGGCTCCTTAGTATCGAGGGACTGCACAATGCGGCGGTGGAGGGTGATCTCGGTCGCAAAATAAGCCAGATGCAGGTACCCAGTCGAAATGAGCTTGCTCTTGCTCGGCGCATGCATCTTGACCTCCGCAGGTAGCCTTTCATGCCACTGTCGCAGCTTGATCTGGACCGGCTTCGCCCTTGCCAAGATCAACTCTGTCGACTTTCGTCCGGCGTTTGCAAAGTCCTGAATTGCTGTCTGTGTGTAGAAGGTGTCCATGACCTCGGCCATAACTTGGGTAAGACTGATCATCTGGGCGAACAGTATCCGACTTCTGTGGTTCTCTTCTTGTTCCTCTTCAGTCTCTTCCTGTCGCGTCGCGTATCCATCTCCTTCCTCGTTGAAGTCGTCTTCTATGGTCGGCTTCACCGCCCAGTTTGCGTTGAAGATGTGCGATGGCCGTCCGTGGATGAGTGAGCTCCACTTATCCTGCATGTACAGCGCCCACGCAATACGCTTCCTCAAACCACGCTCCCAGTGAGGAACTGACCACGATGTGCAGTCAAGATGAAGACCCAGCTCTTGCCCGATTGCTACCAACTGTGTTGTTAGACTCCACGAATCGGCTTCTGGACGTTGCAAAAGCAATAGTCCTGCCTGAACTGTGGACAACTTCGGCCTCTCCATGGCTACCGTCAGCGATCTCATCGCGATAGCCTCCAATCGAGCGGCGTCAGGCTTCGAGTAGTTCGCAAGCTTTGGATCCAACGACCACCAGTTAAGAGCCAGAATATACATTCCAGCCAGCAGCGCTGGCGAGAAACTCCTGTCACCACTTCGGTACCGTTCAATAAAAAGGTGCTTCTGGATGATGGGGTAGCTCGGGTGGACCACCTGGAAATAAATGTCAAGAAGGGCAGGGCCATGAGGGTGAACAAGCTGTTCGACATGGCTCAAATAATTGGCCTCTTCAGCATGATCTTGTGTGTTTTCGTCAGGAAGCATAATGAAACATTCATGATCATTAACTCGTCGCAGTGTTCCAAGGTCGAAAGTGGACTCGTTGCGAATATCGAAATGCGATAACCCGATAAGTGTAGGGTCGAACGGTGAGCTTAACCCAATGTACCTGCTGTGCTGGCGACGCTGCAGACCCAAGGTCTCACCCAGTTGAGGCAGGTGGATGTTTGCCGCCAACAACGGCTGAGGCGATGGAGGACTTGGCGCAGTTGCAGTGATGGTGGGCGTTGCGAGCGCTAGTGGGGGTGGCTCTGCACCAACAGACCTGCCGACGATATTAGCTGCATGTTCTTGTGCGACAACATGTACAACGCGACTCAGGGGCTCTGAAGGGTGTAGACAACATGTTATCAAGTCCCATGCTCGACTTGGTGTATGAAGTACGCTGTCGCGTGCGCACGTGACGCCACTTCAGAGCGGATGCGGCGTGGTTGACAGCACCTGAACCCTGGAACGAAGAGGCACATTAGTGGAAGGTTTAAACACACCTCTTCTTCGATACGTTAGGTGAGCCCTTCTTGTCGCCGTCGACGACTTTCCTCTTCCTGGGCAGTGGGCTCTGTACGAAGGTGCACTCTTGCTTGTGGAACTCGCACAGAACACACAACGCAGCACCCTCGTGTATCACACACCGGCTCTTCCTCCTCCTGCACGCGTCACAAGGGCGTTCCCTCCGTGAGCGTATGTTAGAGACGGGTCCGTTGGTCGAGGTAGGTTTGCCGGCAACGAAGTTCTCTTTCCCTGGTGAGAGCTTCTGTTGCTTGCGTGGACGAGCGGCAGCGATAGGCACCGGCGTTGGGCGTGGCATAGCAGGCTGTATAGCCAGTATGGTCGTCATATCACTATCGGATGGCACGAGTAGTGCACTGGAGATAAGGGCGGGTATCGTAAGAGGGTCGGCGTAGGCCTAGGTACAGCAAGCAGGCAAGGTCTATGCTGCTGATGGACGACGGGCCGTTGGCTGGGCGCCGGAGAATAGGTGCCGGGAAGAATGCCAGGAAGCAAGAGTGCCACAGTGCACTAGTCACACGATGTGGTGTAGATAGGGTCCAGATCGGGTAGTTGCTGGGGCTTATCGCGTGGGAGTAGTGTAGATGGCCCACAGGTTATATCCTGCCAGGATGCGGAAAAGCAAAGAGAATTGAGTAATCCTGATTTCTGTGGAGAGATTGTTCAGAGACAGCCTCAAGGGCCTAGGTTGCCGGTAACGGCTGCGAGAAGTATGAGATGTTTGGTGGTGCGTGCCGTCATTGAATGTTTGCGGTAACCTTTTGGAGGCGGCGGACACGTGCGGCGACGACGGGCAAGGCCTGGGGTTGCGTGCTGGAGATCTAGGTCCCTATACGAGGGGAGAACAGACACATAATTCGGTGGAAGTCGTAAAAACGTCAGTGTCAAGTGCGTTGTCGATGTCTTTTGAGGTTTACGCTTCACACATCTGCGAACATGTGCCTGGATGGCGTGTGCTTCTGCCCGTTACGTGATAGCAAACCGAATGCGGCTAGGTGGCAGACGAGTAACCATCTGCAGGGCGGCAGCCATCTGAGCACCAGCAGATAAGAATATACGGAACCAATAAGAGTGTCTTTGTCCCGCTGATGCTTTGATGCGCGTAAAATTATTATGCCAACTTTTGGAGGCTATCGCTGGATCATCTCCGGCACCTAACCTCACGACGTGCTTCCCAGCAACACCAGCCAAGCAGTGAATTACTGTTAGGTACTCGGTATTGGCATCTGCACGTCACCCGCGGTTCGAGCGACAACGTTGCCCTTCTCAAGTACCTTGACGCATCGTAATCTACCGTCCATCACTCTGCGCGGACCGTTTGGGAAGGAACTCGCTAGACCGCACCATGCCGTTTGACTCCTAACGCCGGTGTTGTTACTGGATGAAATGCGTCTTTGTAGGTAATGTTCATGCGGAGTGATGTTGAGCCTGCGTATGTATTCAAGGTTTCTTTGGAAATGCTCGTAAGGTCACCGTACACGGGCCCATCATGGCGGTTCTCGAATCTGCAGCCTTGCGACCACACGTGCCCCTTCGCGATATGATCTCCGCTCCGCCCCAGCCTCCGTCGGCCCTCACCGCTCACACTTCAGGCATGGCTTCCACCGCTCCGAGACCGGCCATTGAGAGCCCGAGAATCTCCGCCAATCCTGGTCGTGTGCTTTCCAAAGGCTCACCACTGCTACTGTGCAACACGACTCGGACCATCGGTTACAGATTCAAGCCTTCCGCGGCAGATTTGGGCAACGCCAAACCTTCCAAGACATCGCAATCTGGCAAAATCGATACCTGTACGTAACCTCAAAGCTAGCCCTCTACAAGTCAGCAACTTCAAACTTGCTGTCGTTGAGCGGCTGGAGCTGCATGCAGCAAAAGGACCCATAAGCGATATCTCAAATTCCCAGCCTGCTGTTCCTGCTGCGCCTTTCGAGCGGTATGTGTAATCTGTGCGATCTTGGCCCGGTACTTGTACAAGGTAAAGTCACACGCGGCTGCAGTCAGTCTCGAGGCTACGCTCGTCACTCCGCTTGCTGTAGCCGGTTCAAGATCTGCCCGCTGGACCCAGAGTTGCAGATGTTGTTACGAGAGAGTTTTCCCGAGATCTGCATGTGATTGACAGCGGAGGCCTTGAGGTTTTGGCGCGACGGCAAATGGATGACATCTCAGCCCCAGCATTGGGTCGACGCCGGGCCGATTTAGTCCGGGGTACGTACCTGGGTTGGTGTTAGGGCGATGTTGGAGAAAGCTCGATTCGAAGTCTAAAAGTGAAGTATTACTGTTACATTATGATGTTGTTGTGCAAGCCTTCACCATTCACTGTATATCCATGTCTCAAAGGTGTCGAGGACATTGCAGGCATGGTATTAAAATTGAACACTCTTGCCCTCCTCGTAAGGTTATAGAATTGGCATATACCGCGCGATATCCCTTCCGCAATACTAAGTAGTCTATACCAGGCTCGCCTCCTTCAAATTCCTTCTTGTCACGAACAAATAGGTCAGTACGATGAAAAATGAGGAGTTCACATGACCTGCCGTGCGTGGTATGACGCTGGAAGGACTGATCGTAGCAGATGGGCGGATTGTGTAGATCGATCAGGAGACACGGGCGAACTGCATCTGGGACCCTGATGCAGGTGAATCCGGATCGCGGGCAGGAAAGGGTCCAAAAGTGAACGATGGGCTTCCCGTGATCGTCGTGACAAACGACTCCTGGACGGTAAATTTTCTCGCGATATGGTAGGAGATGGGTCCGAGGAGCGTTCGAGGATGCGTCTGACTTTTCGAAGGTCTCTGAGCCGTTGTACCTGTGTGTGGGGCGCTTTGGTGAAGTGATGCTTTGATATTCCCTAAGAATTGGCGGTAGCTAACATAGATGCTCTCTGCTGAGCAGGGGCAATGAGCCTAAGACACTCTTTCGCGGCCAGATGCCTCACCGAGCTTGTGCAACAGCCGTATGTACAAGGTGGGCCTTTCTACCAGCCCATGGTGGTACCGTTGCCGTGGGTGTCCAAATGACCTGTATAGCTCTAGCTCCAGCACGTCCTTCGTTCCGCCATGATCATGTCGTCGTTATATCTAACATGTCGCGCTCAAAATAGACAAAGAAGCTGGATTGTGTCGCTGCAAGGTGCCATGCCCCATCGTGGGTCGGTGGACGCAGCGGTTGCGATCGTCGAATCGGCAAGGGAAGCTGTCCCTATGGATGAATGGAGTGCACATTATCTTAGTGCATAGGAGGCTGATAGTTGATCGGTCGCCTAGAGATGCTCTATCAGTGCCATTGTTGTCATCTGCAGATTGGAAAAACATACTTGAAGAGGAGAATATGCGGCTCCGGCTCGTGTACTTCGTAGTGCTCCCACCCTAAGCTCTGCGCATATATTAGCACACTGTATGAGTTTACCGATTGATTTCGCATACCTGGGTGATGCCTAGTGCCCTCCATTCCTCTTCCCACAGCAGCTTCAGTGTGCCTCTAGCGCCATCAAAGTAGTCTTTAGGGATGATCTTCAGCATCTGCTTAGGCAGTTGCACGTGGCGATATTCGAACTGGTCGTCTGAGTATCTGTTTGCAATGTTAGCGGGCGCGCCCGCAGGGTCCCGAGTAAACAACGCACCTTGCCGAGTAGTGGATCGCGTCAACAAACTCGTCTAGCTTCTCCTTCTCATGCTCGGACAACGGGCGAGGCTTCTTATTGCGACGCGTGAAGTCGATGTCCATGTCTGCGGTCATTTTGAGGATCGGTGTGCTGCGATGGCGAAGCTCGTGTGCTCGTGCAGTGTGCTGTGCGAGGGTGAATGTAGTGGGGCAGACGACGAAGACTCGATTGGCGAAGAAGCGCGGTCGTAGCGCGACTTGTAATGCTGTGTTTGTGTGACGATGGCGGTACTCTGAGCTGGTAGAAAGAGAGAAAGGGTTCAAGCGCGCGAGGACAACAAGCAGTTGTTTACAGTAGTCATGGAAATTTGGACACCGCCGCACCGACCCCGCTAAGTGCCTAGCGTACCGGCTCCACCGCGCCTGCCACGTTCCTATCACAACCACATCTCATTGACTGACCATGCGGTCTAAGCGAGCCATGATGGACTGTCTCTTACTTGCTGTACAGCACACTGCTGCCCGAGACGCCCTGGTCTCCGCAAAAACAGAGTCGTCTCATGACCACTTATCCAGCCTCTTGTGCCCTCAAGGAACCCGCCAACAAGTTGAGCACCGAACCCAGATCTTGGAGGCCCTCAGAGACTTACAATACAGCAACGCCGGTTTAGGAGGTTTTCCTGATGCTGCAATTTGCTTACGCTCGAAAGTGACAAATGTGTCGCTAGACACAAGCTCTTAGACACTGCTCTAGCGTAGTGCTACGAACTACTTGTTGGCGACTTTCAGCGAGGTACAAACGTCAACATGGTGACGTCCGGACTGAGTGCAACTGCGCCATGGTGTTTTATTCATAACTGATTGACTTGCAAGTCGACGCTGCATTCATAGCAACCCGCGAATTCGCGTGTCGATTTTCTCTCGATTCAATACCCATATCGACAACCTTACCCAACACCGTAATATCCAGATGTCTTCCATCGTTAGTCAGGGGCCTCATCCAAAACATAGCGTAGTTCTAATAGATTACAGTCCCTGTTTGCGACCTGTGGAATGGATATAAAAACGAAAGTTTCTGTTATATCGAGACAGACTCGAGTTTTAGTACGGTGCGCGAGTCCGCCGGAGCAGGGTGTGTCGGCTGCAACGTCTTGTGGCAGATCATCGATATTTTTGTTAAGAAATTTGATGATAACCCACCCTGTCGAGGAACACTGGTCATGCTTGACCCTCATGATGGTGCCTTCGGCCAATCCGGCGAGATCATCCTGTCGTATTCGCATGATTGTGAGGGCTGTCATCACACCACGAACGGAATTGGCATGCACGACACGCCAGCTATCAATCTCTTCAGCTCTGACGGAAATACGTACTTGCTAGGGTATGTTCACATCACACCCGCGCTGCCTTTGAAGCAAGATGGGTTATCTCTGGCTCACGGTCAAAAGCTCGTAAGTGGCTGGCAGAATGCTGCGAGAACCATACGAGCTGTTGTGATGCCGGCGATGCACCTACTCGAGTGTTGCCTAATCGTATCTTGGACCTTGGCACCCATGAAAACGCCGATGAGGATATCTGTCTCCTTGAGCCGACTGCTCTATACACTGGACGGTATATCTGCCTTTCACACTGCTGGGGTTCAAGTGGTTGCGCACTGAAAACGACGACGAGGAACGCTGACGAGCACAAACTACGGATACAGTTTTCCGATCTTCCCAAAACATTTCAGCATGCGGTCAATTTCACTCGATGGCTTGGAGTTCGCTATCTTTGGATCGATGCCTTGTGTATCATACAAGATGATCAAGACGACTGGTGCCGAGAATCACCCACTATGGCGAGCGTGTATGCAGATTCGTGCCTGACATTATCAGCAGCCAGTGCAGCTTCTGGCGACGGTGGATTATGTCAGCCTGGCCACAAACTTGTACAGAGGAAGTTGACCTGCAACGGCATTACGGACCATCTGTTTGTACGTGCTGATATCTAACATAAGGTCATTAGTGCCTGGGGCTCACCGTACCCCGAAAAGGCAGATCTACCTGAGGAATTTCCCCTCTTGTCTAGAGCATAGGCATTTCAAGAACGAGTTCTGGTCCCTCGCATTCTATACTTTGGCAATATGGAGCTCTTTTGGGAGTGTCAAGAGGATATGCAGTGTAAGTGCATCCAGAGCGATGGTTCTGATGGCTGTAAAGAAACGTCCGTAGTCATGACTCAGCCGCACACAGCATTCGGCACTGGCGACGTTGCTCTGTCCGAGCGTCTGAACTGTTGGAAAGGTTGGTCACAATATACTCTCAGCGACTTTTGACATATCCAACAGCTCGTTTAACAATGAACGACAAGATCAAGAATCTGATTCGTAACTGTACCGGCCAGAGCCAGCCTTACGTAAAGCCTCTTCAATCTCCTTCATACACTCCTCCTTTCGATATTGTTCCAGATTAGGCCAGCCATGTTTGCGATAAATAGGCTTGAGCAAACCCACAAGCATGGGCTCCTTGCTATCACGCGGCCAGCCTTCAAGAACTTCCTTTGAGTTCCTTGGAACGAAGTCGAGTTGTCGATAATGCTTCTTCATCTTCTCGAAGAATTCGGGAATACCCCATTGAGGGAACCAGAAGCCTTGTATCCATTCCGGTCCGAGATCTTCCTCTTCCTCTCCTAACTGTTCCTCATCGTCGTCGACTTGGTCATCAGAGCCTCCTTGCGCTTCGTCATCGGACGTGGGCAGACTTTCTTCACCAGAGGTACGGGACTCGTTGTCTTCCTTATCAGACGTCTGTTCGTCATCCAACTCGATACCAAACCCGTCGTCTTCAACTATCACGGGTACATTTGCCTCGTCTCTTTCTTCTTGGGTGGTTGGAGTTGTCAAAGCTCGAGCCTACGCAATCTCGTGGGGACACTCCATCCACCAGATGCAGCCTCGAAAGGTGTCCAGAAGCAAATGACGTCGTCGCGGGCAGCGATAGTCAGTCCAACACAATATGGAGGTACTCCTCCTGCCCACACCTCTCCACCTCCATCATCGCCGTCCGTACAGACCAACACACTCGAGATTTGCGTATTCCGGCTAAACAGCAGTCTCCCCGTACGGCACAATTTGAACTATGTCTATGTCGTTGCTTCTGATGTAAGGGAAATGGCGCAACAAGTTGACCACCTCGTCAGTCTTTTCCAGAGGTCGCATGGTTTCTGGGGTGATGTTCGGCCAGCCGCCTGGTGGTGGCTCCATAATACGGTCTTCAGCAAGGTACATCTTGGCGAGGAAGTGGTAGTAATCTCGAACGGCAGCGACTGTGTCATCACGATCGAAACTCGAAGCCATAGTCAGAGAAGGTAGGATTTGAGCGTGAATTGAGAGAGTGTGCGTTGAAGATGATATGTAAAGGGGAGATTATGCCCAGGTGCTAACTAGCCTCTTCCGGGAACTGTGCTGCAAAACCCTTGGTCGTTGCCTGAAAGATGTACAGAGGTTGCTGCCTCGCACACTCTTGTGTTCGCCTTCGCACCTGCTCTACCAATCGGATTCGTCAACCACAACTCAGCCATGTCGACTTGCCATACTCGCTACAACCGACCTCGTTTCACTTCCTACGAACAGATCATCGACAAAGATTCCAATCACTCCAACACCGGTGTCCATCGAGTCTTTCCACAGCCTTCCACAATCTACCCCTTCGGCCTCCCACCAGTCATATCCCAAACCCCAACATCCCCTTCTCTCCCCCAAACCCTCACTGTCCTCGTACCAAGTGAACCATTCTCTTCTTCAGATACTTTCCTCAGATCGTCCCTACTAGCCCCCCTCTTCAGCCAAACCTCCGCCTTATCCGCCTCCCCATCTCCCTCCCTCTCATTCCCTCTTCTCAGGTCCTTTACATGTTGCAACTCAACCCTTCCATCATGGCCCGCGCCGTGCGGTGTACCGGACGGCTGGTATGTGCAGTGGAGGTGCACGCGGCTCTCGTAGTTTTCAGCCGCGCATGTAGCTTGTTGGTCGAGTTGGAGAGGGGATTGGGTGTGCAAGTGGGTTCGGGTGTGGCGGGCGCGCCGGTCTTTGGTGTAGCTGATGAATACCCAGAGGATGAGGAGGCCGAGGATTGCTGCGGTTAGGACGGTGAGGGTGAGAATTAAGGGGGTGGATGTCATCATTGCGTTGACAGAAGGCGATCAGTCGTTGATGAAGTCCGGCGATGGGCTCTTCGTTGATGTTCGTTTCTTGATGTAGATGCGACAACCAGCGAAGTGGTCTTCTTTACTGTGGTCGATTGATAGTTGTACGATGCTGTCCCGTGCTGTTGGTGAGACGTAATTTCTTTGTCTCATCTCGGCTGGAACGTTTGCCCTTCTTGAAGTGCTACGAACTGGGTACAAAGGCTCTTGCACTACGCTGACACTTGAGTGGAAGGGTTGGCCCGATTCAGAAACTTATGAGACGAGACCAAGGGAACAAAGACATGCAAGAGAGTGATGAGATTGGCTAGATATCCAAAGTAAACAAACATTTGGGATATCTCGAAGAAAAGCTATATACACCATACTCCAACTCCTTTCGTCGACGATGCCCTGCATACGACTGCGCTCAACGAGATTCCATCGTTATGTCATCGACTCGTCTTCACTCTTACAAATACACAATGATATAAGAAAACCCTCTGAAAACCCAGCATCCATGAAATTATGCCAACACTGCGCGCAGCGCAATCACTCTCTCCAATGCCCCACCCTTCTCAGCACCATATCTCTGCGCGTCCCGTACTCCGTAGACAACGAGATTACCCACAACCATCTAGGCAAAGAAGCAGAACACCGCAGCAACACCCAACCCCATCACAACCGACCACTTCCCCGTCCCAACAGTATTCTTAGCACCAATCGAGAAAACGGACTGCGTCGGACTCGGCGCTCCAGTAGAAAGTGTGACATTCGTTGAGTTGTCGCTTGGTGAGCCTGTCGAGAGTGTCTTGTTGGCGGCCGCCGTGGATGTGGGTACGAGTTCCAGCGTTCTGGTGAGCGTCGTCTGGCTCTCAGACACACTTGCTGTCTTCTGCACCGCAATCTCAGTCCCATTCAAACTCGCATTCGTAGTCTGACTCATCGCAACTGCCACAGTAGGAGTCGCGGGATACATCTGCGCCAGCAGCACCATGACATCCGCAGGCAGATCCTTGTACCACTGCGGGGCCACATCACCGGTAGGCAAGACAATGTCGGTGCCGGTGCCGGTGGGCATTGCTGTCTTGAGGACGGAGAGGACGGAGAGCTTGGTTGGGTCGATGGTCGCTGGGTCGATGGCGCGTGCGATGAGGTCCGCAACGGCATGGATGTTGGGGTGTGCGGTGGCCATGGTGGTGGCAGCTTGGGCGCTGAGGGAAAGAATAGCTGTTGATTTCATGTTTGCGATGTTGATGTCGTGGTAAGCGTGGTAAGCGTGGTAAGCGTGGTATTGTGCTATCGTGTGGCGTGTTGAATGCTCGTGCGCGAGGTGCGTCGTGTCGTTGCTGTTGTTGACAAACAAGGCAAGCGCAACTGTCGTAGGCAGGTACCCACGAAAAGTGGAGACGGTGAAGGCGAAGATGAGTTCAGAACCCTTTTTCCGCCGAACAAGCTGAAAGCGTATGCAAAACCAGCTGAGGATTCAATTTCCCAACCCAGCCGAATAATGGCCTTTTTGTCGTAGTCACTTACACAGAGGTAATAACAAAGAATTGGTTGGATGTCCAAGCCGGGTTCCTGCGTGCCCATCCAGGCTATAAGACCACTGGTACCTGTCGCAAAGCGTCTGATGGGGACTGAGACGGTACAAGTGTAGCGTTTCGACCAGTCGTTGTGGGGCGTTTGATGAACGATCGTGCAACCACGGAGTGACAGGTGCAGAATGTTTGACAAGATGGTTAGAAGAAGTCCGAAAAGAATTGATCAGCGCACTGCGCATTGACACATAGAGTGAGTAAAAGTTGGAACGGAAGGTAGAAGGGAAGGTGGCAGCGCTCAACGAGGACAACGATACCCATGGCAAGCCCAAGGTTGCGAGGGAGATAGATCAGAGTCCTTGCTGAACCTTCAAAACTGTCACTTGAGCTAGGTGTCAAGGCCAAGAACTTGAAGCCATATTTGTGAGGTTGGTGTTCGAGTTTACCCCTGATGTTTAAGTTCGTGGTTGGAGAATCCATGCATGTTTGGCGCTACACCAAGTCTTGCGTTCCGTGACAGGACCGTGTTTCCCATGTTTCAAACAGCATGGTTTAAGGAATTGATGCGCAACTTCATTGTGACCAGAGTCAAAAAATAGAACTCGCAAACCTGATGCACATGATGAACAGCAATCTCGACTTTGACGGAAGGTACGAAATAGGAGGTACTCACACCTACGCCAACTCACCAGCAAAATCATACACAAGCCTCACCCTCTTCACCTCATCCTTATCCGACTTCCTCACCACAACGCGTCTCACAAACTTCCTCTCGCCTCCAATATCTGCAAAGCCCCAGATCTGCCACCCCGTCCACTTGTTCCCCTCGTTATCCACAAAACTCTCAATCACCTCGCCCTCTTCAATCTCCTTGAGCCATCCCTCGGTGAGATACTTTGCATCCTCCTCTGTGACGCCTTTGCCCTTCGCCTCCTCGAGTACGGCAGCGAGTGTGGTGTACCGCGAGCGACCTTTGAGCGTGCCGAAGAGCCAGTCGGAGTGTCCGCGCCATTGCCAGTCGAGTGTGCGCTTCTCAGAGCTGCCCTTGAGACCACCAGAGATGAGCTGGTCGATGTCGATCTGGGCTGATGTGCCGTCTTCGGCGGTGTGGTGCTTGAGATGCTGGGTTACTGTTGCGGCGCCCAGGGCTTTGCGGGTCAACCAGCCGACGCCTTGAAGGGCGAGGACGGGGTCGAAGGCGTCAGAGAGGCTCTTGTTCTGGGATGGTGACTTAGTGGGGGTACGGGCAGGTGATGGTGGGTTTGATGTACCATGACCCATTTTCCTTGGAGGTTCTTGACGTTGACAGATGCTGGGGCGGCCATTGTGACTGTATCGTGCTCTGTCTGTTCTTTTCACGAATTTGTTATGTTCGTAGTGGTGATGTGGTGTTATACAATGTAGTTCTCGAGTGTGGGTGGGGTACTCAAATACGTATCTGTTACCTCAACCCAGAATAGCATTGCAACAGGACCGTGAAGCTTTTAAGTATCTCCCCACATGTGTCGCCCAGCTCCAAGCCCCTCGTGCCATGCCTTCGTTCACATGGCACACCGTCTCGTACCTGCATGTGCGCGTCACGCCAGACAAATTGCCTAGGTATCTTCTCCATGCGGTTAGCTTTTCCGCGGGGAAGCCCTGCACCGAGCGTCGCGAGGTGGAGCTGCGGCCCTTACCCCACGGGTATCAACCCCATCCTGGTAGAGCATCAACGGTGCGAGAAATGGTACCATAGATGTGGCTTTGTTCGTCTTGGGCCGAGGAATCCCATGTGCGGTCTTCGAGATCATTGGGTCAATGCAGAGAGTCTATGCGGCACGGTGCTCGGGAAAGGAAGGCGCCGTTGTTGGTGGGAGGTACTGTGTCCATGCACGGGATGCGCGCGTTTGCCGAATGCATGCGATGGCCAACATCCGCACCACGCAAAAATGAGGCTGTAGAGCCACATACAAAACCAATTATCACGAGATTTTTTAGTGGAGTGTTCTATGGGCCTATACGACAAACTTTGCTCATATAAACCTTTGCGGAAGTGTGGAGGTGCAGCCGCTGCGTGTGGTATTGACTGGGGCCGCCGGAACTGGCTCTGCGGCAGAAGGACTACCCACAGCACCCACAGCAGCACACTTCTTCGTCTTCTTTACTGCTGGAGGCTCTGAAGCCTTGCGCTTGCTCTTGTGAGATAATTATACAGCTTTTACAGCGTCGTGAGCTTGCCTATCACGCTCTCTTTGAGCCTTGCATTCCTCAATCACTTTGTACTCTTGAGGCTTCCTCCGGTCACGCTCTTCCTTCTCTCTCGCTCGCTTCTCACGCTTCTCTTGCTCAAGCTTTTGTTGGAGTAGTTGGGTTGACTCCTTCAGCTTCTTGGCATTCACCTTTTTGAATTTCTCTGCTTCTTCTTCTATTGCAAATACGCGCTGACAAAAGCGAGCTTCCTGCACCTTACTCGGAGACCACCACTGAGTCTTAGAACAACTTTCCTTCCGCTGAATTAGAAGCAGAGCTTTGCCCTCCTTGCCCTGCTTCTTCTTGGCCTTGACTGCCCCTCTCAATCTCTCATTCTCCATCTTCAGAAGCTGGTTATCAACTGAGAGGCGGTGGAAAATTTGCCTCAATGCGCGCGTCCTTACTGTTTGGATCCTTCACAGAGCGGCGAAGAGTTCTGTCAGTAACACGCCAGCTCTCTCCGCTGTAGCATGACGTAGTAGAGCTGCTGGAGTCGCTGTGTGGCATATTGTGGGTGAATCTTAGCAAGGGAGATCGGAAGATCAGGAAGAAGATAAGAAGAAGAGAAGGTAGAATTTTGCTGACATGAGGTCGCTTCTGCAGATGCAAACAATCCACGTGAATCGAAACATATGGTATAATGCATCTTTGTACCTCGTTCAAACTCGTGGCCCCCAGGCGCTTGGACAACCTTTCCTCAGGCGCCGCACAGTACATCCGCAACCCTAACGCCCAGATCCAGGACCGCGAGATGCTCATCTCCACCGTCCACGAGCCTCTTGTCTGTCTCGCTGAACACGCCAGCCAAGCGCACCTTCTTAATATCTTCCACCCTCTCATCAAACATGACCTGCTCATACAGCTGTCCAACAGTCTGACTTGCGCTCCACCCCTCTGCAATCATATTCTCCACCACCTTTGCGATCTCATTATACCGTATGCTCCGACTTGAGCTCTTGGGAAACAGCGAGTCCGAGAATGTGTTGAGCGTAGTCGCGGGAATCACGCCTGCAATTTCCGCAATAGACTGCAGAGAGACGGTATTCTTGTCCACAAGAGTGGTGCCGGAGTCGACATCCATCTCGTCGCCGTCGATCACGGGCTTGCCTTTCCGACTTGACTCCTTGGTAGTCTGTGTAGCGCTCACCAGTCTCGCTGCAGACTGCAAGAATGTGATGGCTTTCCTCAGATCGCCATCTGCGACCCGCACCAACTCCTCGCTGACGCCCTGATCGAGTGGCACCCCTTCTAACCTCGCGATGTCCTCCACACGCTTCACAGCGTTTCCTTGATCCAAGCTCTTGAAGCGGAACTTACTGCATCTCGACGCAAGCGGATCAATAATGCGCGTAACGTAGTTACACACAAGACAGAACCTTGTCATCTTACTATACGTCTCCATCGTTCGTCTCAGCGCAGACTGCGCATCCTGTGTCATACTATCCGCCTCATCCAGGACAATGATCTTGAACGGCGGACAGGGGTACTTGTCCCTATACCGCACCATCTTGCCTTCGCCACCATGCTCGTCTTCCGTCATGACGTTGTATGTGGGTGCGGAACTGAGCTGCTGGCGCGCAAAGTCTTTGACTTTCTGACGCACGATGCTAATGCCGCGCTCATCGGAGGCGTTGAGTTCGAGGACGCGCGACTTCATGAGTTCGGGGCCGTAGAGCTGTTTTGCGAGGGCGAGAATTGTGGATGTTTTGCCTGTGCCTGGCGGGCCGTAGAAGAGCATGTGTGGAAGGTTGGAAGATTGGAGGGTGCGCGAGAGGATTTGGATGGTATTGTCTTGTGCCGTGACTTCTGAGAGTGTCTTTGGACGGCTGCGAAATTGTTAGCTTTTGTTATGCGCAGATGGGACGATGAATGCTGTACTATTTCTCGACCCATGGTTGCAGGCGGTCAGGCTGTTGCTTTGTGCTGGGAGCTTTTGAAGAGCTGGCTTGAGCAGCAGCTTGTTGCCGCGCTTTTAAATTGAAGAAGTCCGCCATCTTGTGCAATCCTGTGTTGTGTGATTGAGATGTTGCGGGGACGAGCAGACAGAGCTAAAGTGGAACACGCGACGCGACTAGCAAGCGCGTTCTCACGTTCAAGCAGGCGCACGGTCCGCCAATGACAGCATCACAACGACAGGTCAGGCGCTCGAAGTCAGAGATGTTTCGTTCCTTGTTTGTGAAGGTCTAGCATGCTAACTGCTCGTCGAAGAGCTTCCCCATGACGCCAATCCATGCATGCCCGCAATGTCAACCCGTCCACCCCACAATACATGCACACGTTCGATCGATCGGACCTACACACCAAAGGCCTAACCATCAGGGAAGTTTCTACTTTCCCCTCAAGCTACTAGCCTTGAGCCTCTTAGCCAGCTGTACAGAATCGGAGTCGGAGCCATTGGAGGGCTGTCGCGCAATGTTGCGATGAGCCGCCCCCCAACTGGCGGAATGCGAAGCAGAAGAAGACGGATGCGAGGTGTAATGAGATCGTTTAGGGGGGCGCTCACCACTTTCTTTTAGAATCGTTAATAACGTTGCCCAGCCTCCTGTGTGCTGGAGTGCTGAGCCTTCTGATGTGTCGTGTGTCGATGCAACCTTAAAGAGGAGAGATTCTTCATCCTGTAGCATGCGTCAGTACACGACCTTGTTTAGTAGAAATGTTTGACGTACCTTCGACAGTATTCCTAGGTTGTGAACAAAGCAAAGGAGGTGGAAGTTTGAGATAGCGTTGAGGCCGCTCGTAGTGTTGAGCGCAAGCCCATTCGCCTTCGCGTTGAGCGACTTGCTCAATGTCGACACATCGGCCATCTCGCCCATGATTTCGCGGTTCTCGATCGGGAATTTGCCGCCTGTGAATAAAGGATTCGGTTGTTTGGGGAAACCGTGTGTAAGTGTGAGCAGCAGGTACTCGACAGGGAAGTCTGGCTTTGCGTTCTCCTGCACGTTCGCGCCGTGCTCGTTTATCCGTCTGTAGAAGACTTCGGGGATGTATCGTGATCGGTTCAGAGTCTCGTTGTCTGCCTCGTCTTGTACCAACATGACCGAAGGCTCAGCTGATGGCTCGATGATGTCTGCGCGCACCATCTCTACCGCTGAGTTCGATGCCTGGTACGACGAGATACCAATTTGCCCTTCCGCATCGCCGCTGATGACGCAAGTCACAAAGTTCGATCCAAACTGCCCCGTCTCGCTCCACTTCGATGGCCGTGGATATCTCGCCTGGTATCGTGCTGCGAACGTGATCTCGAGGGAAGACAGGAAGTATGAGTCGGTGTGACGTTTGCAGATGACAGAACCGTCGCCCTTGTCAGCATCCAGAAGATCTGTGAATATCACGCCGACCCTCTGAAGCCCACACCGCGCAGCAATCTCATCGATCTCCTTCTCGTTATCCCAGTCGCCAAGTGATATACCGTCCAGCTCGTTGACCTGTGGCGGCTCGTAGATGGTCTCGACGACAGCCTTCGTCCCCAGCGGCACCTCGGTGTACGCCTCGTACCGGCCGTACAAGAAGCCTAATCGCTGACACCCTGTGTTCCTCCAAAAGTTGATCAGATCGTCGACGACTTGTATCGATGCGAACTCGACGTGATCGACCATGCGGTACTCTTGTGGCTTTAGCGAAATCGCGCTGGGTTGACACTTGGTGCAGATGCCTTCTGGGAACGGCTTGTGGCCGGATGGGCAGTCTGGTCGTACGCGGTAGTATGGTTCGTTGAGCGGCGGGATGTACGAGCTTCCGAGCTCTGGCCTATTCTTTGCAGAGTTGACCTTGCGTAGGTACGAGTGGAACGACAAGTGCTTGATCTTCTTCTCGGCGAGGTACTCTGCAGAGTAGGGCTCTAGAGGCATGCAGTAGTCGCACATGCCCTTCGGCCCGTGTGTGCACATTCTCACATCGCGCTTGCGTGGGATCTTGCCATCCAGCTTATCGAGCTGGTCGTCGAGCGGTGATTGCTTCACCACTTCCCATGGGTTCTTGATCAGCTGCGTGGGGCCGCCGAGGGGCACCGAGGGCATGTCGGACTGCTCGACGGCTTTGCCATTCAGGCGAGCTGCTCCTGCTGGAGCTTCGGGTGTACCGTTCAGTGTCGTAGACTGCTCGTCGAAGCTCAGGAAGAGTTGTGCGCCGTGTCTGTGGGCATGTTAGCTCTGGTAGCGGTACGCAGCAAGCTACCTACGATAGTCCAACTTGCTGGAAGGTCACACCCTTCAGCGAGGCAATCTTCCTGGCGTCTCCTCCCTGGGGCTTGTTGCTAACAGCGACACTCGCGAGTTCGACATTCTTAGGCAGTTTCTCCGCCACCTGAGGCAGGATGTCTGGGAAGGTAGTCGTGGGCTCGACAGTGAGGCGGAACTGACCCTCTTTGCTCACGAACCGGAGGATCATGATGTGCGGTATCTGTGTGGAGTTGAGCAGAGGGCAAGAGGCTGACTATAAAGGTATAGCTAAGAGGGAGAGGAGGTGGAAGTGGTTAGGTGATGGTGCTCGCTACCATGCGCGTTCGAAGCTCGCGGAACTTAGTCGTCATTAAGCCCGGGCGGCAGGCACGACCGACAGGGATGTCCCGCCGCAGTGTTAGCGCGCCTGGTGAACGAACATCTGGCATCATTCACAGCAAAAGTTGTCCAGACATTCACACTCACCGTCCGGACCCTTTCTATAGTCGCTCCTTTGCCTCCAGTCGGTCTGCACAGGGGCCTTTCACCCTCGGAGAATATCCACGGATTAATTACCCATAATTGAAGAAAGCCTGCACAGCAGCCCACCGCCAAAATGTGGCCCTTCGACGCCGTCGACTGGCTCATGCTCCTGGTCCCTGTCGCCTACCTCTTCATCATGATCGGCTCGCTCACAGTCTTCTTGTCCCTGTACCGCAAGCGCCAAGCAGCCGCCGCCTCGTCTCTCGAGCCCTGGTTCCCGCAACATCTCCAGCGCAACATCTACCTGTCGCTGCTGCACCAAGAAGACCCAAAAGTCCCGGACAGCATCCTGAAAGCTGCACTCCTGCGCCGCGCAACCGAGGACATCCACCGCATTGTGCAGATCAGGAACGCGAAGCAGGCACTCCAGGTCCTGCTGCAGAGGGGCAGCGTGGGCGATGATTTGTGGAAGCGGTTTGAGCGCGCGGAGAAGGAGATTGAGGAGGAGCTGAGGGATGTTGTGCAGGAGGTAAGCCACAAAACCACAAACATCAATCGGACGTGCCCTGCTAACACAACGAAAGGCCAACGCATTCGCGCCCAACTGGGGCCAGTCCATCTTCCAATCCGCGTCCGAAATGGCCCAGAACAACCACATCCGCGAGTGTCTCGACGAGATCCTCGCCAAAGCACCCAAGGAATCACAGTGGTGGAACAGCCGCCGGGCCGAGATCCAGGGCTCCTTCATGAAGGAGCTGGACGAGGAGAAGATCAGGAGTCGCGAGGGCAGCGTTGCAGGGACAGGGAGCGTTGTGGGAACGCCTGCGGCCAGCGTAGCGGGGAGTGTGATGGGGGAAGATGCGGTTATGGTCGAGAGCCCGAGCGGGAAGAAGAAGCGGAAGGGGAAGAAATGAGCGCGTGCTGATGTCGTGGTTGCGAGCTCGAGGGATTGAACGGGGAGCATGTTTTTTTGTGGCGACGGAAGCAGGGTGCTTATTACGCGCATTGCATGACTGGCGTTGAGGTGTTGGCAGGGCCACAGTATGATACTCATGGGCAGCATTGAGAAGATGCGTCTTCACTCAATGCCATGCCGATTTCAACTCACCATGCCGATTTCAACTCACCATGCCGATCTCAACTCAGAGTCTTAGCTCGTTCATCACTCTCGGAAATGAAGATCAACTCTGTGCTCATGTAATAAAATGCAATGCTACAGCGCCGTACCCATATTGACCCAAACAGCCAGTCTCATCGTACAAGCTCCCTTCGCTGTCTAATGAAATGGCAGTGTCAAGCACCAGATATACAGTTCCTCCTATCTCGCTCATCCTCGCCGACTTTCGTCTCATCTGCATCTCATCTCATCTCATCTGCATCTCCTCTGCATCTCATCGGCATCTCCTCTGCATCACATCATCTACTTCCTCGCAGGCCCACTAACACCAGCACCAATGACACTCGGCAGCTCCTCGCTGCCAACCGAGTACATCATCCCAATGATAGTCGAGACGAGGAAGGCCAGCGTAACGCCGGTCCCAACGAACAACCAGAACGGTGTGGAGATGTCCTTCTTCTGGCACGCCGGGCCGCCCCAGTTAGTAACCTTGCGGCTGTTGCCCTTACCAACGATGGTGGGCGAGCAAGCACAGCCGTAGCGGTCCTGCTGGGTCTTGTCTTGAGCCTTGTGCAGGAGCTTGCACTCGCCGTGGCCGGAGCAGTTGAGCGTGGTCTTCTCGCACGAGGCGAGGGAGTTGAAGAAGGGTGGCAGGATGCCGCGGACGGTGCCGTTGCTCTTCTTGGACGAAGTGTGAACGGGGAAGTCCTCGAGGTCGGGGTACTCGGCCTTGGGGGAGGTGGAAGGCTCGGGGGTGAAGGAGAGGAGTGCCTCGGGGTTCTGGCGGTTGCGGCGGGCTTCGATGGCGGAGGGCATGGCGTAGGTGCCGTAGGGGGAGACAACGCGGCGCTTCGAGTTGCCGGAAGAAGGCGGCATGGTGACGACAGTGATATCGAGACCGCGCTGAGCGAGGCCGGGAAGGGTGTACTGGAGGATGTTGCTCTTGATGTTGTCGTTCTTATCGGCGCGGAAGACGGTCAAGCACTCGTTGTGGAGGGTGGTCTTCTTGAGCACAGACAACGCAGCGTCAGCGTCGATGCTTGCAGAGTACGTCTTTGCCTTGGGGTCGGCATGCTTTGGCAGGGACTCGGCCTGTGTTGTGAAGTCCTCAATGAGGCGCTCGTTATCTGCTGGGGGCGGGGGGCTCGACATCTCGAACGACGAAGTGGAAACGTCGCGGAGTTCTGTGCAGATATTAGCCCTCGTCCGTAGACCACGCTGGCGGCTGCCCACCTGTCACAAGGCTCTCATCGGCGTCCTCTAGCCATACGAGCAACTGGGCCCTTGATGTGTCCGCCTCCTCTCCGAACAGCTGCGGCTGTCTCCCTCCGTATGTGTTGATGTTCTTGATTGCCTCGGCATCGGCGTCCTTGATCGAGTGGAATCGCGACAGGCCGAGTCTCTGGGCGAGGATCAATCGAGCTGTTTCAGGGTCGATGGGCGATGACGCTGGCGCGGCGTGGCTCTTGGTTCCATCAAAGGTAAACACGTGGCCGTTCTTTGCAGCTGCCGCGGCGCAGTACAGCGAGGAGGCGACAAAACCCCAGGATAGCTTCATCGTGGCGGGAATGGATGGAGTTGGGATGCGTGCTGCGGCGAGACAACGTCAGTGTCGAAGGTCGCAGCTTCCAAGATTCAGTCCGTGCGTTGAGAGGCGTTCACCTGCTGTGATTCGCCATCCCCCGTCCCCCATCTACAATCGCAGCCCTACGAACCACACCGCATGACTTATTGATACAGAGGGACACTACATATCGCCGCGACTCGACGAGTGCTGCCACTGCTCTGCACGCCTCATGTCTCACCACATCGCCTTTCACCCCTCATAACGCCTGCTGCCTCCCCGCAGATCGGCGCCATGTTCAAGGCACAAGTGCTGCGGCGGAGCTTCTCAGTCTTCAACCGAGTGCCCAGCTCGAGAATAGTACAGTCCGCGGCACGTGATGGCCACGAAAGCATAACGATACACCGTGTACGGATACGAAGGCCCTTCCTCAGCAGACAGCGACTCGTTGGCGCAGTGGCTATTGCTACAGCCACCTACGGACTCGGACAATACCTCGGCCTTGAAGTAGAAATAGAAGAGGAGGATGTGCAAGACCATCGGAAACCAGGGCGTTGGAAGAAACAGGCTCGCAAGGAAGACGGGACTCTCGAGGAGGTAGACGACGAAGAAGCAAATGAGGACGAAGACGGAGACGAAGAAGACGAGGATGAGGAAGAGTACGATGACGCTATCCTGTTTCTTCCCACTGGATTCTCGCGACTGAAGCCCAAGACCTTCTACAAGGGATCAGACCCAGAATGGCAGGAGTTCAAGAAAGTCAGCCAAGACAAGGCGAGGATAGAGAGAATACGGCAGGAGCTCGTGAATCTCGTCCGCACCGCATGCAGCACACCAGCATATGTTGCAAAGATTGGAGAAGTCGATCACAAGAAGGGTCGAGTCTGGATCGAGTTCAAGTTTCCGGACGGACCTCCACCCGAGTACGAACGGCCAGGCTATGAATTGACAGAAGCCCTAGAATGGCGCAAAACCACACGAGACGTCGAACCTGCCCTTCACCACCAACTCAACAAAGTCCTCTATCCCACCGCAGCCGCCGGCGCATTGTACGAAGACACAAAGAGGAAGGCGGAACGATCATGGAATGACTTTGCTGTGTACATGGGATGGGCAGAAGAGAGCGAACACCTTACAGTCCAGCAAATGATGCAGCAAGTCGGAACCCCTTCGAGGCCTACGAGTCCCGCTGCGCCTCCAGCAACCGCAGCCTCTGCTTCACCTTTTGGTGCTTCGTGGCCTGCGGCCACACAGCAGCCAGCTGCGCAATCATCTTCACCAGCAGCTGGCTCTGCAAAGGACCTTGGTTTCGCCCTTCCAGATCCCAAAGCGCTCACGCTAGACCTCGGACAGTTTCGACAGGACTTCCAGAAGGCGAACAGGGGCCACGTTCATCACCTGCCGCGTGGTGCGTTCGGCGTCCATGCCCTGATTGAGGTGTACGGCAGCAAAGCGCGCTTGACGCTGAACGTGATTGGTGTATATGACCCAAAGGTAGGACGGTATGTTGGGCTCCACGCGAACATCTGGAACCAGGCAGCGCACCGACAGCCGCCGAGAGGGGGACCATAGACTGAAGGACGATTGGAGTACAAGAGGAGACAGCATCAGCGATGTATATGGGTTTGAGCGTGTTCGTTCTGGTTAAGCGGCATCATGCAGTGAGCACGTCTGGCGTTTCGGTGTACTATACCTTGATGATTGTAGAGCACGGACAGAGTCAATCAGCAGCGCACATGTGACATAGCCGCGGCGATTCTGCTCAGTCAGGTATATAAGTCCATCTCCCCCCCCCTCCCCCTTCCCTTTACAATCCACACGTCTCTTCTCGATCAGTGATCCAAGATTAACAACCTTCATGTTCATGTGGCAGATTGTCTGCTTTCTTTTCCACAAACATGCTCAGCGTCGCGCCGTGCTGCGCGCCTCGCCCTTGCCTTTTCAATATCACCCTGAGGAACACCACATGTCCTGCGACAAACTTCTTCGCGCTCCTCTTCATGAAGCTTGAGTCACATGGAATAATCATATCGAACTGACAAAACCTAACTCGGTACATGTGAACCCTTCGAAAATCATTTCAACTCACATCATGCCGCCCTCTCGCTCTGGATCCTATGATGCTCTGAAAGGCCTCCCAGTGCTCCACTCTACTCTCTTTGCAAACGCCAATCTGGAAGTGGATATTTCAAAAAGCCTGAGACCATGATTCATGTCCGAGTCACTCATTCAAAGTTGATCTTAACTTGAGACTTGGACAGGGGTTCTTTTCATGCTTTCTGGCGCCCCTATCCATCCAGATACCCTGCAGTCGTCCCCTTTCTTTCCTCGGGCCTCAAGATACTGCCTGGTACCTCCATGTTCGACATTATCTTATACTTGACCAAATCAAGACAGCTGTCTGCGAATGGAGCACATCATGTTCGTAATGGCAGGACCATTGAATTGGCCTACCAAACGTATACTAAGATGCTTAGCTTCCTATCTGCAGAATCTGGAATTTTCCATCTGACTCGAACGCATCTCAAAGCAAGTTGATGGCTCTTCTGTCTGCCTGCCTTCTGACCAAGAATCGGCGATGCATGCCATACGATCCGTGGTCGTCCTGACCGAAATGCAAAATCACTCAACTCTCGATGTTTCTGTTACTCCGCTCATAAAACCTGCCTTTTCCGAAGTTCCAATTTCCAGTTTCCAATTTCTAAAAAAAAAAAAAAAAAAAAAAAAAAAACTCATATTCTCGAAGAGCTGTATGCTGGTTGAATCGTCGACAAGCTCATAGGACAGGACATCGTAGTAGTACGGCAAAGCAATTGTATTGTGGTATATGCATGAATGACAAGGGCAGGTATCATGGTATCGTTCAGTAAGCTCAAAAGAACTTGGGCTTGAGATACCTCAATAACGGGTATGTCCAACCAAGAGGTGATGGCGACTGGTCCCAGCATGATAGTATTGCCGGTTGAATCATCGTTTGCCCAAACCGTACTGACCAACTGCCCATAATAGATTGACATGCAGGCACTGGCCGTGAGTGTACAGCTGTCGTTGGTCTGGTAGTGTATACGTAGCCACTTCGAGTCCTCTGTCAGTACGGAATCATCAAGCTGCCCTCCCCCGATGACCATATAGTTCACGACTGTAGTGTATTGATCATGCCGTGTCATCTGATCCACATCTATTTTGGTCCAGTTGAAAAGATAGCGTTGGACACCACACATGTACATCCAAGTGCCAATCTCAATGCCCATCCCGAAGGAGCAACTAAACTGACCAACTTTAGGCACGAATTCGAGACCGGCAGCTTCAGCTTGGTCCAAATCTGCTGTTCGATTGCCGCTGAACTGCGACTCCTGCCACCATGTTGCGTTGATTCGAGGCTTCACACATTTGGTTCGCAGGAACAGCCCACTAGCCGTACCAGAGAACGCGCGAATGAGCGAGCGACGCTCAGGTTCGGCGATCGGAAGGAATTCCCTCACTTGTAGACCAGCATCGTACACCCGCGGCAGAACGATAGGAGGCTGGGAAAGCTCAACGAAAGCTGGAAATGGATCCAGCCTATACCTCCGAAATGACTCGGTTTCAAGAGTTCCAGTCAATCTGTCCGCCAGGAGGTTGGTCCAAACAGGGAATGTCTCAAAGGGCAGAAAGTGAGCAGAATCGTGTGGATTAGTACTACCTATGGTGGTGTTTATCTATACAGTGAAGCGAGCGGGCGCTAACTCATATAGGGAAGGCGCAGAGGCTCTGAGAACAGGACGTAGTGAAAGTACGGGCTGACAGAATGGACTATTCCAGAATTTCCGGGAAGGACGTCCAGCCTTAGATCAGAGAGCAATGCTGTCGAGGTTATATTTACAAGGGCTGTGGTCAACGCGAGGAGATTGCAAGCACGCCTGCTGTAGGTGGGACTTGCATATGTTTTCTAAGCAACGAGAATACCAGTGATGAGGGGCCTGAGTTCGCACAACGAAGGAGTGAGACAGCAGCGGCGTCCGGTAATCTGACCTGCCGCCACCGAAGCGCGAGAGCCGCTGGCATAGCTGAGGCTACCAGGGCTTGAGCTGCAATCGAAGAGCGAATGACATGCGGCCAGTGTAACAGATCGTGTCGCCCATCCGTTCGCCATGATCCGTCGCCATGTCTCGTTGCTGCTGTCACTCCACCACAGGAATGAGATGAAGCAGAAGGAAATAAGAATCGATAGCGTTCCGATGACGAGGGCGCCGATGGAATAACGACCAATCCGAGCGATGATTGCAGGTTGTACCCTTCGCTCGTGTGTGACCTCTGTAATCTCGAGCTTGTCTTAAGATTGTTTGAGTGGAGTGTCCGATCCTCAGGACGGCGCCATCTGTAGATCGTTGGTCATGCCAGGCTGCTCTTGTCTCGAGTGAGGGATTTAGAGTCATGTCGAGTTTCCAGCTCCTTGATAAGTTGAATCCCTGTTGGACACTGCCGATCCGTCTGTGACGAACTAGCAGGTGCGACACCCCTGAATACTGACACAAGCTCCTAATTTGCCTTGCTCACCAGTCCATTGGTGATGAGGTGGTGGCATGGAACAGACTAATGTGAGGAGGGGGCCTAAAGTATGCACGAGAGGCGCTACCTTCACAAGGCTGTGCTTCTGGGAGGGGTGATCCCATCGTTTACTGCATATAGTAGGAGGAAGTAACGGCTGAGTGCGCTGCAGCACGGTGCACCAGTAAGACGTGTAGCTCAAGAAGAGATGTGAATACAGAGTCCGTTGAGGTTTTCGTACTGTGCAAGTTCCAGCAATTGCAGGTGTACTCGCGGACGGCAACTACCCACTTCAGCCTCACCTGCCGGGCGTAAATTGCTAAGGTGTGGAAGTAGCCAACAAACTCTCAGAGGAACCAGACTTTCTTGTTTTACCATTTACCATTTACCAATTTTGGAAGGCTCAGCCCTAGGAATCAGCGTAGAATACCAAGACAGGTCACTCAGTCGCTATACATGCCTAGATCAGCTCCTGCTTTGTAACCGCCTTTATTGTAGTTACCATGTTGCGTTCCTGTGTGAGGTAGACCGATTCGCCTATGCCTATTCTCGCTCTATCGAGTACGCGCCCAGTCGTGTGTACGTCTTCACTCAACGCCCAGCGCCTGACAGCAACGCTCATCTGTTGTGCCATATCAACGTCCGTAGGGAGTCCCAATGATCTGACTGCACATAACTGCTCCTCGTTAGCAAATCTTCCCAACCAAAGAATTGGGAATATCCACATGTAGCTCATACTACTCCTCAGACTGCTCTGCACACTCTCCGGATACCACCTAAACAAATACATCACCATCGCCCAACTCAAACTCGCAAAGGCCGGCCATCCGTTCCTGACTAAACTCCTCCTCATCTCTCCATCCCCAAACAACTCCCAGCCGCCTCCACCGCCCGGCGTCCCAGCAACATGTCTCGGCTGCACAGCGAGTTTCGCCAGCGCTAAGCACACGCGCGCAAAGACGTATATAACGATCTGCTGGGAGACCGAGTTGTGGATTGTGCGCCCGAAGACTGTGTAGCCGCCGAGAAGACCGGCGAGGAAGGAGTCGTAGTGGCGCTCTTTGCCGGTGGGTGAGGTGTGGCGGAGGAACAGCATGGTGGTTTTGTATACGAGGGCAAAGAGACCGAGGTTGCGGGCATGTTGCCGTGTCGCTTTGTAGACGAGTGTGCATTTCGAACGTAACCTGGTGCTGTCAGTCGCTGGGTTTGAGGGAGGTATAGGGTAGAGGATTGAGGGTGACGTACGTTCCTGAACGGAAGAGGAAGATCATGCTAAGGTCTTGTTAGCTTCTGCATTCAAAGTGAGGTGGTGAAGACATACACGAGTGCGTGCGGGAAGCGCACTTTGGCTCCGTAGACGATGCCATTCCGTACACCTTTTACCAGTGTGAGGATGTCATGGTACTTGGGGTCGAGGACGATCTTCTCGAGCGCAGACTATAGAACATCAGTAACCACATTTTCTATTGTATTGTGCGCTTCCAGACCTCGAGCGCATGTAATTTGTCCATGTCTCGTGGTCAGAGACAGGCTCTGTTGTGCCTCGGTACGCGCAGATGACGCGCTGCTGCCTCCTTCAATCACACCTCGTCAGAGCAACAACGTCAGGGTCGAAAGGAGCGAGAAGTGAAGAAACGGTGGAAGAGTAAAGTGTGGTACATTTGACTGAGTCGCAAGCTTGAGCGAAACAACCGGCTATCGAGCTGGGTGCGGTCGATTAGCATTTGGCCTCGGCATAGCATCACATTATCGGCGAAAGCTTCCCCACATTGGATGGATGCCCCAGATCGCGCTAAAAGTGACAAGGGTTGTCAACATGTGAGATCCTGATGCATGTTCACATGCTCGTAGTTCTACTATGCAATAACGAGGAAGATGAATCAATTCCATGTGAGTACTTGATCTAGCTGGCTCTGAGATATGTAATAACTACATCATATCGCTTCGTAATATGCTTTTGCGAACTCCATCCAACGCCGTTTGCTACCCAATGCCTCTATAGGGTATCGCGCAACAGTAAACAACTCGTTACGCCCAAAATGATACTGTATGGTACCTCAATCGACCCGTCTCTCTGGCCAATGCTTCTTCAACTCCTCGTACACTGTGAAAATAAACGCAGAACTGGGTATCGAGCGAGCCACTGTGATACCGCACCCGCGATACATGCCCTTGATGCCATGGTCTCTCCACAGCGCTTTGCCAACCGCGCCGAAAGTGGAACGGCCGCCAGTCAGCTTGCCCACATCCTCTGTCTGCATGCGCGACTTGATGGTGTCTGCGGGGTAGAACGCGAAGTTGTACGCCGCGCCAGCGATGGACCCGGAGGCCATGCGCTGCCAGATGGGCAGATCCTCGCTGGATGATCCGTTCACCTTTTTGAAGACAATCTTCATGCCTTCGTAGCCACCGAACCATGCTGCGCCGCCGCCGGTCTCGCGAATGAAGGTTCCAAGTTGGCCGTGCCAGTAGCCCAGGATGCCCTGGTGACGATAGACCGAGACGATACTACTGAGTACGGTTGGACGAGCAACGATCCCGCTCGATGTCTCTACAGGTACCTGCACCTTGCACTTGACAAGCTCGATCGGCGTGAGGAAGAGTGAGGTGATAGCTCCAGCGACCATGCCACAGCCGAGCATCGCTGAGTAGGGTAAGTCTTGATCAGGATTTTTCTTCAGCTCTGGATAAACTCCAGATGCCTTCAAGGCGTCTCCAGCAACACGGTACTATTCGATGGTCAGCTCAACGCGATTGAAGCATTCAACAAGTGGAAAACTTACACTGAAGAACAGGGTGCTTGTCTCGACAGCAGCACCCACCAGAGGGGCGCTTATGCCCCTATATATGCCGAGGAACCCATCTCGCTGCAGCGACTTCTTGAAGCAGTCCAATGGCCCGTTGTACCGCAGCGGTAACGTCGCTGGCTGTGACTGCAGGCGAACCTTGACTGTGTCGAATGGGTACTCGATGTATTTGCCAACAATACCTGCAACTGAGCCGCACACAACATCCTTCAAGGCCTCTTCTCCTTGCCCACTGGCGTTTGTGATGGCTGTGGGACGTACTTCCTCCACCATGACTGGTTTGTTGAATCCACCTCTTGCCCCCACCACCGACACCGGACTCTCGTGTAATTCCATGGGTGTGCTGGTGCTATTGATTCGTATGTATGTGTATACAGGATATATTGGTCAAAGCTATGTCATGAAGCAGTGAGCATGGTACTGTACGAAGCAGTAATCGTAGGCGGTGAGGAGGGCGAGAGGTGGCTGCTCAAGCTGTCAATCCCATGAGCGCGGGCACGGTATTATGTGATTTCGTGAGTGGAGAAGGAGTCGTGTGCACGACGTAGCACAGGGCGACTAAGGCCTCAAATCTGCAGCGGGCCGCGGGGTGGGTTCTGTAACGGGGTGGTGGTGAATGCACCCAAGGCAATCGGCACCCAATATCGTGCAAATGTGTAAAGGCGTGACGAAATTTTCAATTAGCCTTGTGAGAACCCTGCATGAGTACACAAGCTGCAAAGAGCGGAAATGGCGCACAGCGCGTGGCTGAGATATGCAGTGTGAAAGACTAGATCGTTGACGAGCAAATGGCTCATCCAAACTCCTAGCACTGCGCCCCTCAAGATCTGATAACGAGTTATCTGATCCTTTGGTTTGCACCCTGTCGAAGCTTCGGGTCCATGGGTTGCCCCACCAGAACGGAGCGAGCACGAAGGAGGCCTAGCGTAGGACTCGGGCGCTTTATCGATATCGGCTCAGATTATTTTCGCTGGGGCGCGTTCGAGACTTGGGGATCGTGAATTTCGGTCCAACACCACCACCAAAGTCACGATATGTCAGAAGCAGTAGCAACAGAGGCGCCTGCCGCGCCGGCCACGGCTGCCGTAAAGGGACTGAAGAAGAATGGTAGGTTACACTCAGTGTGGTTCCAAGAGTACAAGAGACTGACCGCACATTCAGGCAAGCAATGGCACGACAACAAGAGCGCCTTCCGGCCTCGCGCAAACCAGACATCATTCGAGAAGCGCACAGCGGAGAGGAAAGCGCTCGCCGCAGTCAAGGCAAAGGAGAAGGAGCTGAAGGACGAGAAAGCAGCAGCAAAGCAGCAGCAGGTCGACCGAATCCGTGAGAAGCGCGCAGCGAAGGAGGAGAAGGAACGATTCCAGAAGATGGAGGAGAAGATGCACAAGAAGCGCGTCGAGCGTCTCAAGAGGAGGGAGAAGCGCAATGCCATGTTGAAGTCGTAGAGAAGGCACGTGGAACATGGACGAACGAACGAGCTGTGCGCGCCTTCCTCCTGCGATCCTGAATGAAACGTCGATTCGAAGGAGAACGGCAGCCTCGATCGCTACGCTTAGCACAGAGAGGTAGCAAGTGAGGAGATTCAGATACCAGAGCCAAAGCTCTCGAGAGTGGGCGCATCAAGCATGCATAGTCTACGGCGTTAAAGGAAATCTCGCGGAAAGATTCAATGTTGGCAAATTCAGGCTGGTTCATTGTAGGACAGCATCTCGCAGTACTTATGGATACCAAGAATACGATAATCAAGACGATAACAGTGCATATATTCTGCTATGTACGCGTTTGAGTACAAATCCGTACACTGCTGGTTTGTACAACATTTGATGATCAGGTGCCACATCTACAGTACTCGCTTAGCGCAAAGCTTAGGGTGCAAGTGACGACAGCCGCGCCTCCAGTACCTAGCATCTCTCAAGCTCGCACCAGCCCTCACCACCACAATGTCCATATGGACAATCTCCACCTGCACTCAGGTTACGCGCGGCCTCTGCGCCCCAATGTCTATGATCGCGAATCCCGACCGTCTGTCCGTGTGAGCTCGGATCCGGACTCCAGCAGCAGGAGATCGCATCTGCACAAGCACAAGTCCTCGCACCGACACCACCACCATCACGACGAGCACCGCCGCCATAGCTCCACGCGACACCATGCGAAGGAGGTCGTACAGTCTGCGCTGCAGCCACCGACGAGCTTTGGCGATCTGCTGAAGCAGGCACGAGGTAGCAAGGAGAATTCGCCGAGTCACAGTCGCAGTCGCAGTCGTCGACGAAGCCCAGCGAGGGGTGAGAGCGGCGAGCAGCAGAAGACAGGCGAAGATGTGGGACTCACGATACCACCACCGCGACCACTCCGCCCAGAGGAGATTGAGCGAGAAGCCAAACGGGTCGAAGCTAGGGAAAGGCGCGCATCACTTCAATGCAAAGCTTATAGCTATAGGCTCTAACACAAAATACAGAGACCTCCGCGCCGCCCTCCAATCCCTCTCCGACCAATCCCTCAAAACCTCCCGCCGACTAGACGACACCTACTACTCAATCCTCGAAAAAGTCTCCACCCTACGCCAAACAATCGGCACACTACAGGAACTCTCCGGACTTACGAAAGAACTCCACGGCAACTTCGAGACTGACGCGCAAGACCTGCTCAACGACGTGAAAGGCCAGTTCGAGAACTCAGACAACTTCGATGTGCAGCAGAAGCAGGTCGCTGTGCTGGAGGAGAGGATAAGGGTGGGCAAGGAGAAGGCGGATGCGCTGACAGCGAGGTTGACGGAGGTAAAGGAGAAGGTTGATAGGAGGGCGAGGAGTGAGGCTCAGTGGGAGGCTGACACGAATCGTATGTCACAAGACAATCCATCTGGAGTTGCACGTGCTAACGTTGTTTGCAGGCTGGTGGCAGTGGTTTGGGTGCATAGTAATCTCCATCATCTCGCTCGTTGTGATACTGGTCGTCCTCCATCACCTCAAACCTACGCACGTCGAGATGAACCCCGAGCCCACACTTGACACTGCTGTCGAGGCTAAGATTCGGGAAGCTCCGATACCGAAGATGGCAAAGGAGGATATACTGGAGCTAGCAACATCAGTACCAACGATTCGGCTACAGACGCCATCCGCTAAGTCGTCTGCCGAAGTAGATGATGTGCTATTGCGTAAGTTCGATGAGCTATAGTTTCATTTGTACAGTACACAGTAGACTGGCGCTAGAGATACCCATAGATAATGTCACGTGTTCTTCATCGTTGCAAAGCTACTGTATGCTACATTACCAGCCGATCCACCTGCCGCTTGTCAGGTGGATAGGGAAGCGGCTACGGAGAATAGGGTAAATGGTCAGTGACGGTAAACGTTGTGTTCGCATGGAGCCTACATCGAATTCGAATCACATGAAGTGAAGTGTCCAATCGTGATGTACGATGGTGACCTTGCAGCCGAGGTGCAAGCAGCTGCTTGCCATATGCAATTTATCCTGCATAAGGCTGCGTGTCGGTTGTATGAGAAGACTGACCGGAATGTTTTTTGCCTTGTCTATCTGGTAGTTAAGGTAGCGACCGGTGACCTGGTTCGAGTTATTCGTTCCGCAATCTTGTGATCGACGTGGTGTTGTATGTTGATGTGTGGGGTAACATGGGATAAAATAGGCACCTTACATCATAGGGCTGAACGGCTCGTGGGATGGGACGGGTCGCCTCCAATAAGGCGGTGCAATGACGAAAATATTTGACATCCCGCTCCACGTGAGGCATGATAGCTGAGATGTAAGGTTAAGTAGTGACAACGGCTTGTAGCGGCTGTACATGATTTGCTTTTGGTGGATACACATGGTTCAGCGCGTGTACTAACGCCGTTGCGGTGTCGGTCGCTATAAAATTCCATGATCGTCCATACGGAACCTAAGGCAGAGATGACGATGACCTCGTTGGTGTAGACAATGGTCTGAGTCAAAACTTCGGGGCCAATGGAGCTTGATTGAAGTTCAATTAGCGAATGGGATGCGGCTCTGCAGATCTGTAGGGCAATCGTGAGCTGTTCTTCCTTTCCGTTAAGGGTCGCGGTCACAGGACTTTGTACGTATGCTGAGGTGCTCCGTACCCCTCCTTTCACGATCCATAAAGCTGTGTAGATAGTCAGTATCAAACTTTCCCACCTTCTCGACCAACTTCCCTTACCTTTTAGCAACACTCTGTACTCTTAGTGGTCCACCTTACCAGCGGCATTGATCTGCGTTGGCTCTCTAGCCACATTGAACAGCGACAGACTACCGCTCTAGCAAGGGTAGCCTGGCGGACCACCGCACTATTGGTGTTCGTGCATACTCACCATTCTCCATTGAGGTACGCCCATAACCTTGCCCAGTTCATTGGCCCAATTGTTGCCTTGCTGGGCCAAATTTCGAAGACCTTCTTATATGGAGACAACGCTGATCAGTTGTGCTTTAAGCCTATCGCAATGGATCAAAGTTACGAGAGCCTCATGTCCATGAGCGAAGTCAGACCCATGATAGTGTCTCCGCACATGTCACCACAGCTGAACGAGACCATTTGCGGTTGTCGTTGCGGCTGTGGATGTGGCTGCGCCGGACACGGCAATGGCGACGACAATGGATGGATGAGTGATAGCGAGACGGCAAACGACTCGAATCACTCTGATGACGAGGGAGACTCTTCACCTGAGGAGCAGACACACTACCACGATCTTCGTGGACGTGGTCCCGGTCGCACATCCCACGAAATCTTGTCTCCACGTCCCTCGCCGTACCAGGAAATCGTGTTGCTCCTCGGCAGGCTGGAGAACCTGCAGATTGGCGAGCCATCGGTTGGCTTGGAGGAAGTATCCATTCACTCGCCGCTACACGACGGCTACGAGGACATAACAGAAGGCCTGTTGGACCAAGATTCAAGCCTGGAGAATCAGAGTAACGCAGTCCCAGGTCGTGCGAACGTGCAGATGGTTTCCCCAGGTCCAGGCATCGGTGAGTGGTTGCACGTAATCGCAGAAAAGACTTGGCTTGAGGATGTCCAACCGGTGTATATCTTCACACCTCTTCGATTGAGCGCAGAGTATCAGCATGCGCGTGGAAAAGCAGTTGAGCATTTGTTGGTCCCGGATGAGGAATCTGTCCCGGACTTGGAGCAGGAGGAATCCGCATAGTAGGACTCTTTCATTGTACGACGTTGTATCTATTACTTCTCCATCGTTAGTTCTGTGGCATGCATATGGATTTCGGGCGTTCGAGGATAGGTCGGCAGATTGTATTGCATAGCTGGTATACTGGCGTTCTGGAATTTGGAGTCCTTCGTGTACTGATCACACGTAAGCTCAGTCCGAACCATATACATACTCCTCACTATCACATGATCTTTCTCTCATGCTGCAGTCGTGGTCTTTGCAAGATCTCATGCAAACAAGAGCACTGCAATCTCTTTCACACAGTGAGTGGGCGTGCAGCTGTTAGCAGAGGTGGATGCGCCCGGGAGCCATGCCTGTGCTGCTGCATCTCGAGCCGTGTCGCATGATCAGGCCGACGATAATTTTGTGGGGAACCGGAAGCTTGTGGTCATGAAGCATCGCGGGTGACGCGATTGGTGTTCGTGTTGTTGTTCATTCGTTGCTGGAATGTGCCATCCCACTCCCGCGGGAAGGAACTGCCGCGGGCGCGCTCTCAGCCAAACATGTGCTGTGTGGAGGGCTCGGATGATGATCCGCAACAACCCTATTTCACCCGCATCACGATATCAAGAGCCTTGCTTTTCAGTGTGGAACTGACACAACTACGCTCCCTGGTGTCGAGGCGTTTCCTAGTGTGGAACCTGGGCGTTGAGGCTTTATCCTAGGTTTCGTGGTGTGGGGCCCTGGGCTGGCTCCTGCTGCTAAACATTGCGTGTCCTTCGAGCTGATGGCCGTATCAACATCGTGGGTGGTAAAGGGGTACCGAATCACGAGCGATGTTCAGAAGAACTGCGCATCCAGACCCTGTCGAGGCGCGGAGCTGCAACCGACTGCAGATTTGCAGATCCCCCAACGAAGTTTTCTCCAACATTTCGAGTCTCCAGGAATTGTTGATCTAGAGTCATTGCCACGGATCCACAAGACCGTTCTCCGCTCCAGCGAACCAGGCGCTAGTCAATTCGATGTTTGCTGACTGTGGCTTTGTGTAAGGTTGTGAATTGAAGGTTGAGTTGTGTGCCCTTGGCCATGCAGCGCAAACTTTTGATGAATGCACGCATGCAGCTTCGGTTCTCTCACCCTTAGACGTCCCCTTTTGCTATTGGATTGAACTTAGAAAACATATATATTTGTCGCAGTTGCGGTGAGCGAGCATTGACAGCCCAATCTTAGCCCATCGACCTCACTGGGCCTGCCTGGAAAGAGGCCCGCGGATCGTTCAAGATCTGATCCCAGCGCAATCCCTTAGCCCAACAAGAAACATCACCAGCCCATATCAGTTCATATACTCGGCGCAACAGCCCCGAATCTCAAAAAAGCCACGATCTCTTGATTCCAGCTGTCAAAAGCAACATTCGGCCTCCCACGCTCCTGTCACCGTCGACCTGACATTCACTCAACCGTGGTTCGCACTGAGGCTCTCCACGCTCGCTCCACATTGGCTACGTCATTCTGTCGCTGCATGTCAAACCCATAGCTCGACATCGTTCGATCTCACATGTTTCCGGAAAGCAGCTCGTTTAAAGGCCTTCCGCAGTACGAGTTCGACAAGTCTTTGGCAGTGCGGTTATTGGTTTCCGAGGGCTGGTGAGTCGCGATCCAATTGGCACGTGAATGCGCTCTGACACCTTGATAGATCCCGTCAGCTATCCCTGAACTTCCCACACAGCCTACTTCGACCGTCGAACACGCGACCACATTACGATTAGGTCATTTGCAGTGTGGAGGAACGGGTATCTACTGCAGGTTATATGCAGGTTCGGTTTGAACACTGAGATACAGCCTGAGCCATTCCGGAAAACCACAGTGCTCGAATTCGGATCGAGTGCGCTTTACAGGAAATAATTGCATGCTCCCGTAAAATCCCGATTTTTGGGCGTCCCCGCATCGAGAGTGCGCACCCGCACGTCAAACCTGCAGCTCTGGCGTGGCACTAGTCTACCCGTGCGAACGACGGCATCGCTGCGATTGGCAACACCACTCAAGTCAGTGAACCTGGGCCTCTGTTTTACAAGAACGTATAAGGATACTACATCACCCAGGGGTCTGGACCTTGTACACCATGGCATCTGTAGCACCTCCCAGACGATTCAAGGTGGAGCCTATCGAGACTACTACCTCAAGCTCCAAGGAGCGAAAGAAAGAGTCGGATGAATGGACCTCCAAACCTCCAAGGAGGTTCGCTCCTGAGCCAGTTGAGACGACAACCAAAAGCAACCGCAAGTTTGCCCCCGAACCTACCGAGACAACGCAGAGAACCAATCGCAAGTTCGCCCCGGAACCTGTCGAAACTACAACCAAGACGAATCGTAAATTTGCACCAGAGCCAACAGAAACTACGCAAAGATCGAATCGTAGATTCGCGCCTGAACCTGTAGAAACCACAACAAAGACTAACCGCACGTTCGCCCCGGAGCCAACTGAAACCACACAAAGAACAAATCGCAAGTTCGCTCCTCAGCCAATCGAGACCACACAATCGACGAATCGTAAATTCGCACCCGAGCCTATTGAGACAACACAGAAGAAAGTCCGCCGTTTCGCACCGGAGCCTGTAGAGACAACCACATCATCAAGTAAAAACAGTCGCCGGAAGTTCGCTGAGGAGTGGGACGAGAAGACTTCCCCTCGTAGGTTTAAGCCTGAGCCACTAGAGACAACAACAAGAGGCAACAAAAAGCAACCACCCAGCCCAAGGAAGTTTACGCCACAATTGGTAGAGAGCGCGCAGAGATCACGCAGAGCAGGCGATGCCACCCCGGCGCTTCTTCCTTCTGATAAGACAGAGGCAACACCCGAGTGCAGCGCTATCAGTGTCAGGAAGGCCCGGATTTTGGGCATCTCACCGATACCACCAAACAACACACCGACTATAGATCTTACGCAAAATCCGCTGTTCTTAGAGATTCAACGCTCGGAACTGCCTCCATCGAGACGGAGATCGTGGTTTTCGTGCTCGCAACACTCGTTCCGTGTTCCAGATTTGGAGCCCATCGAATCCTCTGAATCAGGAGAGTCGAGCCCTCCGTCACCTTCTACATCACCTTCAATAGTCTCCGACCACTCTTTCATGTACAAGGAAGCTACACGAAGAAGAGAAAGCGTTGACGGCAGTTCTTCTGGGTACGTGCTTGCCCTTGCCGCTAAAGCTGCCGAGAGACAACTGCGCGAACAAGCTATGGCCGCCTTTCCTAACGACGACTTCCATGAGCCTGTCGATCATTTCATAGATCACGAGACAGACGACGGTGAGACGCAAGACAGACGAGGTTCGTCTTACAGCGAAGTCAACTGGGACTTGAAGGCCATGCGAGAATACCAGGATATGCAGGACTATGAGAAGCGAAAGCTACAGAGGCAAGCTGTTCAGTCGAAGAAAGATGCAGAGACCCCGAAACCTGCATTTAACCCCTTCGGTAACCCAGCTGGATTCCTTGATGCATCGACTGCTAAGAAGATAGCTCAAGACCGCGAAGTTGAGCCTATGCGAAAGGGCGCGCGTCCTCCCATGCTCGGGAAGAACATAAAGTTCCCGAGGTGCGCCTCTCCCGAGCCAGCACGTTTCGATCCCACTCAAGGATGCGATGCAGTACGCACAGCGATGTGCTACTTGTCCGAGCAAAGCAAGGCTGCTGAAGACGGAAAGGAGAGTTTGTGGTGTGGCAAAGGCAACGGCAAGCAAACGAGCACGACACCATCCCTTTGGTCTACTGCCAATAGCCGAGCGTCCAGTACTCATGGGTTGTGGGGTGGAATGTGTGTCAATGGTGGTGACAAGTCTCCACGGGGACCTACCGGCATCCTGACACCCAGACACGAGAAGGCAAACCCCACGTCACCAAATCCATCTCCAGTTATGAGCATGAGTTTGTTGCCACCTACATCACCAACCTCGTCGACCGACTTTGGCAACGTCGATGAGAAACTCGCAATCGAACAGACCATCGAGGAAGAGTTCGGCGACAATTTCGTCACTCAGGTCTACAACTACCTGTCGTTAGGTTATCCGTCTATGGCGCAGCCTTTTGACCCGGAACTGTCCAAGATCTCTGGCATCCCCGTCTCTGAGCTAAGGCAAGAAGACCACCTCGCGAAGTCTCGAGGCTACATTCGCCTAGGCAAGGACGGCAACCTCAAAGACGCCGAAATTACAGAAGAGACATGCACGCGCTGGCGGGCTCTCCGCACCTACATCCAGGAATGGGCTAGGCAGCACCCCAAGATGAGCGAGCAGCCCTCTATCGAAAGCCATGGTGTCGCTGTGAGGAAGGGAAGTTGGGGGCTTTAGAAGATGTCTTGCTGCACCTCTTTCCTGGTGAGATCAACATTTGCATTTATTGAGCGATTTAGCGTATCCATAGCGATCTGGCGTTTTCCAAATTTGATAATTTCTTGCATTCCTCCGGTGGTTCAATGGTGCAATGTTCTCAATTTTGCATTGCCTTGATCTCAGGCGTCCACTAGTGACATGTAATCTGCGCATACGTAGCATATCAGCACAACTTTGCAATATATCTGAAGTTTGTTGTCGACTACGGCTCGCCTCGGAGCCGCTTCTTCTAGTTAGCTCCCGTCACGACCCATGGCTCCGGGACTCGTGAAGTGGCATAAAAGGCATAACACGCGAGGCGCCTTGGCGTTTCCTGTTGTTGCCTGTCGTTGATTTTCCTTTTTATTCACTCACCGTCGAGCTGCCGAAGTCCTCGCGTTTGAAACAGACAGTCCCCCGGACATCGATTGATTGATTGATTGATTGATTTAACGTCCTATGTGAGTCTGAGACTATGGAGGACGAGTGGAGCAGTAGCTCCACTGGTAATGCAAAGTTGTACATACAGGAGGTTGGGTTCAGTCAGAGTACAAGGGATGGTGAGGGCTCAGGCCCAGTCCCCCGGACATCATACCGCTGCATTGGGGGTAAGCACCTTGCGGACGGAGCTTTGCGGTCCAATAGGCTCGTCGCCATCCCACCTGCGACGTATCTCGATGGTACCTGGACGATGTACCCTGAATACCTCATCTCTCCGTCAGCCACCACCACCGTGCCCTGCCTCGGTGCCTGTGTGCATGTAGGGGTTTTAAGGTAAAGATGTAGGTGGAATGCAAAACTTTGGACAGCTTGCTACTGTCAGGCTACTCCGACCGTATGGACATCGTACATTCAATTGGCTGCGCCGTACCATATGACGATCCTTCCTCTTCCATAAAATCTACCGTTTGGCTGAAGGCGTGCGGTTGCGGACAAACCTCCCGTCGCCCACGGTGCCAACCCGGCAGATCTCATCCCGCGTCCACAGCGTCTCATGGTTCTTTTTCACTCCACTAAGCTTCTCGGCACGACCCTAGGGCTCTTTTGTCTCTTGTCCTGGCCATGATCATTCAACCTAGGCTACATGCGATTGTCTTCGGCCTTATTCCTCGCACAATGTCATGCACGGGTGCATATTGGTAATAACCGACGAATGAAGCTATCTGCCGACCGGAGACTAACATGGCAGGTATTGGAGGCTCATTGGAGGCTCAGTGGGAGGGTTGCTCACCCAAAGATGGCCAATCTACTGGTTGATATACATGTCCAACTCACGTTTTACCAAGAGTCTTCGAGCGTTGTAGATCTGATTGAAACTTTTGAGTGCATTTTACAGCGACACCTCGGGTATCTTCACGCTTCTATCCTTATCTTGGGTCCTCAGTATCAGGGCAGGGTCATTGCTTCGTATCTTCGAAAACATTCATGATCGGCACTCGAGCTTGGTTCATACCCTCTCATCTTTTCCTTTGAAGGACTTTACCGACACCGCTCCCTCCTGCTAGATCAACAGGAATGGCTGGTCAGGGCTTCGGCGTGGCTTTTTAATAGGAACTGGCGAGTCAGTCTTGGATACTCTATGGCGTTGGAATGTTCAGGATAGGCGTTCGAACGTAAGTTTACCTAGACCACGATCTGTCCCCAGAACTAACACTGAGTGCGCAGTATTGCACGATGGAGAAGAGTCCAGAGTCTTTTCCAGTTCGCAATAGATAACTGGTTGGTGTTAACGGCTGTATCACTATTCTATACGGGATTGATCGTATGCCTAAACGTTATCGCACAAGGTGGAGGAAGCAACCTGTTTCCTCCAGAACAGTTCTCTACTTTCACACAAGAGGAGATACAGGAGCGCACCAAGGGAACCCAAATCGTGATTCCAGGCTGGCGTCTTGCATGGCTGATGGTTTTACAGTGCATGTTGAATGTTATATGAGTCCTCAAGGCTTGTATGCTGCTTTTGTTTGCCCGCATGACATCAGGAACAACACATATCAAGTGGATCAAGATTGTTGTTATATACGTCGTTATTGGCTGGGTGGCTGTGCAAGTCGCCTTCTTCACTGCCTGCATGCCGTTCAGCGGCTACTGGGCTGTACCTGTCTCAAATCCTCAGTGCACCACACTTGAACACTTCGCGATCGTTCAAGCAAAATGCAACCTTAGCAGCGATGTCTTGATCATCGCCGTCCCAGTTCCCGTGGTCATGTCGTTGTCTTTGCCGACCAAGCAAAAGATTGGCGTAGGAGTAGCTGTTCAGCATGGGCATGTTTGTCGTACGTTCGATTCCCCACATCCGCTACTTCCAACAGCCACTGACGAAGCCTACAGATTATCGCATCAATCCTCACCAAAGTCTACAACCTGTCTGACGTATACGACAACACGTGCATGCTCTGGTACACACGCAAAGCCTCAGTTGCCGTCTACGTAGCCAACCTGCCCGGCATTTTGTTGAACCAGCACTGAGTGCAAAGATAGAGATGAATTAGATGATTCTATTTAAGAGCAGAATGCTGTCTATCTATAGGCAACAAGAAACAAGAAGAAACAAAGGTGCTTGTTGTATCTAAGACAACAAGCAAGACAAGCTGTTTGAACACGAGATGGAAACTGCTGGATGAAACCAACACATTTGGCCTCTGATGCGCGAGCACATCCGCTTCCTGCGCGACCACACCAACTCCTACATTACCGGGCAGTCTCGCATGCCGCGCTATGGCTACAGTTCCAACTACGGAAATCTTTCGAGGCATCAGCGCAGCCATATATGCGCGACCGTCACAAACGTCGAGCCGGATGAGGTGGAACTCAAGGATTCTTCGAACAAGTCAAGCGTGCGTCTGTTCGCTCTTCGTCCGAAATGCTTAGGACTGACTTCAGGTCTGGAAAGGCGAGACTTGATAGCGATGAGAGGGCTACCAATGATCTAAGTTATTGGAAGGGAATGGATGTTATGGAAGTGCAGGTCGACACCAAGGTCGAAATACAAAGAGTTGGATGGAACAGAGCTCCAGGGATTCCAAACAACGACTCATATAAAGGGCGGTAGAAAGTAATGGCTACTTCCACGCTCATACATTACGATAGAATACAGAGACGGCCTTTCCTTGACATTTGCACACCTGCATTACCATGACAGTCCACAAATCTATTCGTCTCTATTTTGGAGACGCCCAACCATCATGTCATTCCCCTTTCTCAAACCTCAAATTAGACATTGCCAATGCACAGAACTACTTTCAATAATGGTTCAGAACGGGTCGCTGGCCAAGCGGACGAACATGTGGAGCCTTGGAGTGAAAGGTACTTTCCGCATCAGATGCAGCCTAGTGCTCCCGTGACAGCGCGATGCGGAAGTCGCGTCTTCCCAGGCGGCGACATCCGCGAGTCGAGCATGCCTCCTCAACGACGATGGCGCTGAACCTGCGCAGCTCTTCAAAGCACAATCAAATGATAACGCAGTTCATAAAACATCCTAAATCTACAAATTTCGACGGCGAGAACGATTGGTCTCCTAAACGACGGCGAATTGGTGGCGTAACGAAGCCGCCGCCCACACCATGCAAGAAGCGCAACTACAAAGATGAGGTCACCGACTCAAACACCGAGAATGACGATGTCGTTGTCAAGGATGAGGAAAAAGATACAAGGACAGACCTAGAGAGTGCATTGCCGCCTATTGACACTGGCGAGGAAGCTGTCGAAGCATATGAAGCGTTCAAGGCATCACAGGAAGACAAATCAGAAGGCGCCGAGGAGCGCCTAAAAGATCGGTCATGGATCAGAGGGAAGAGCTCGCTATACGTCGATGCGTTCAATCTGACGCTAGATACGGTGTTAAAAGAAGAAGGCCACCTCTTCGACGAGGCTGAGACTGAGGTGTTCAAAATATGGAGGGATCTGAACTATGAAGCACAGTATCTTTATGTGCGCCTCTTCCTGCGCAAAACGTCTGCGTGGCATCGCGTCAAGGACCTTGGCTATCATAGCGATCTCTCGGACATGGACACGGCGGTCGAAACGCTACAACGCACGTTCGATTTACCAGCATCGTCTGCTGAAGTCAATATACATCCGGGCGAGCAGGAGGCGCCTACCGACACAACGCTTGTTAAAACTTTCACATTCGCCGATCGATCAGAAGATGAGATCACAACATTAGACGAAGCATCCTCACTGCTGCGTCTGGACGAGCTCAAGGCGCTGGCAAAAGATGCGAAGGTGCAAGGAAAGAACAAACGAGAGTTGTTGACAGCACTGCGACGGACGAGCAAAAAACAAGCTGGCTTGGGACATGTTGGTCTGAAGCGATCGGATACAGAAAGCTCGAGGCAATCAAGAAGGTCGAGGCAGTCTTCTGTTTCGGGTACAGCGACACCAGACGTGGAAGAGCCTGAAGAAGGCAACCAGTCTGATCTGTCCGACAACTCCAATCGCGATGCTCACTTCACCCGCAAGATCATGAGCGAGACTGGGTCTTGTATACGACTTTCAGCGGCCACAAGAAAGCTGTTCGAGCGTGTTCATCTCGTCTTCTATCGCTCAACGGAGTGGACCGAGAAGTCGCTGACGACCATCATCCTCGCAAAGATAGCACGTCGCAACTTCCCCGGGTACATTGTCTCCCGGTCCGCAAACATCTTCGCTTCGCGCTCCTTGCTTCTGGAATATGAAGCATCAATACGAACCCAATTTCGAATAGACAATATTCTAGAGTTTAACGGGAGGCCGATGGAGAAGGACTATCAAGACATAGTCGATGTATTTGAAGAAATCTATCCTCGATGGCAGACTCTTGTAGAAGAAGAACAGCGGAAGGAGGATGGCGTCTACCACAGCGGTGAAGGATTCTACCTACGCCGTCTATCGCCGGCTTGGGTATACACTCGCATCATTCACAAGGCGATGTATGTCATTGCTCGGCGCAAAGAGCACGAATGCGAATACGACGTGACCTCTGCGCTGCTTCGGCAGCGCCTCTTCCACCACTCTCGGCGGGGAGCCTGGTACCAGCGCAAAGCGCTCTTAGAGGAACACTACATGGCCGCCCTATCTCCCACCGAGAAGCGCAGCGAAGAGCAGCAGAAGAAGCACTGGAAGCGCATCGCTTTGCAAACCTGCGAAGACGGTCTCCAAGACAACCTCGTCCACATCATTCATCACTACGATCTTCAAAAACGTGTCACGAAGCTCGAAAAATCCCTCAACATCGCCAAACGCTTACAGCACGACTTCACACACGTACGCCTTACCAAACCCCTCGAGGTTACCGTAGAAGGAACACAGATCCTGCGCCCGCCTCCACTGAACCGACGGAACAGCTCTCCTCATCCTCAGAATCCCAACCGCCGTGGCGGGAAGACAGTATGGATTGACCCGCGCGAAACGGGCGAATGCAGCGTCGAAGCTATGTGCCTCTCACACTACCGGAACCAAGGCTGGAAAGGTTTCCACAGCGAAGGCGGGATCGTGCGCACGCTCTTCGCATACCTTTTTTACGACGTACTCTTCACATACGTACCGAATGTGTTCCAGACACAGTACCAGACATGCCCGCTTGATCTGCACACAGACGCATTCTACCCGTCGCGCATCTCGGAAATCAACGCTCGCCTGAACGAGATCTCGAATGGTGATGCGGAGAGCATTATAAAGAGGGTTTACGCCGAGCACCACGAAAGACGGACCTGTGTGGTAGGTCTGGACTGGACGTACGATGTCAACGACTTGCTGGAGATAGGACGGTGTTTTGAGGGCGAGGCGCTAGCTACAGTCTGCAAGGTCATGGCGCAGGAGTACGGGCAGCGAGGCGGCGGTGTGCCGGACTTGTTCTTGTGGAAGCTCGCAGATGAGGAGGGAAAGAAAGGTGAGGTCAAGTTCGCAGAAGTAAAGAGCGAGAACGATCGCTTGAGCGATACGCAGAGGCTTTGGATACATGTCCTTAGTGGAGCGGGGGTCAAGGTCGAGCTTTGTGCTGCTGTTGCTAAGGAGGTTATCCAGAAGTGAGAGGTTCAGGAGTGAGCCCTGTTGGATATGACTGGACCATCACTTTACAAAGATGCGACAACTCGTTCAACACTGAATGATGGAGATAGGTTTGTTGTACAATTCCAGAAGAGATTGTTGGCTAGTTGTCTTGTCAGTCAAGAACATTCAGATGTGTCTTCAGCGAAAACACACAACGGGTAGTAACATCAGCACAAAAGACACGACGCAGACATGGTATCTTCCAGCTACCCGTAACGACTGTCTACAGTTTGAGATCGAAACCTCGCCTATTCATTGCAGCAACCAACTTCTGAGCGCCCCTTGTGAAAGTACGCATCAGCCTGAAGATTATCAGACACGCTTCTCAGCGACCTGAGGCACCTTCTCATCCAAGACGTCGCGCTCCTCAATCTCCCTCTCCACCTCCTTCATATCAATGTGAGCAACAGCGGAATCGCCGTCGAAGATCCTGCCAATCTCCTCAAGCGTCGGTCCCTTAGTCTCAGGGTATACGAAGTACACCCAGACAAGCTCGACGCAGATCCAGAGCTACATCAGTCAGCGTTTGTCTTGTAACAGAATGTGTGATCGGGAGGCACTCACAGTGTAGAATAGTGCAAGGTTCCAGTGGTGCGGCAGCCTCTTCCATGCAACAGGGTTTGTCTGACCGCCCACAGCAAGGATAGCCTGGACCGTGATGTTCATGATCATCAGACCCTTGCCACGTAGACGGTAAGGCAGGATCTCCAGGGCGTAGGCGACGAGCAGACCAGACCAGGCGAGCGAGTAGAAAACGCCAAAGACCCAGATAAAGGGGATTTGCGCGTAGCCGGCGCCTGCGTTCAGCTCGTTGGAGTTCTCGTATATGGCGCTCGTAATAGTCCAGCAAATGAAGTTGATGACCATGCCTGGAGACGATCAGCTCATGAACATGAATCAAAGGGGGGCCGGCCGGGCTTACCAGAAGTCGCAATCAAGAAGAGCTTTCGGCGACCAACTTTATCAATGAGGGTAGCAGCGTAGACGGAGACACCAAGTTGCAGAATTCGTTCACCGCCAGTGAGCTAATACATGTCAGCAACCAACCCGTGCAGTAGTCGTTGACACTTACACCCATCTTCTGGCTCTGGCTCGTGATACCAGCACCCTCGTAGACAAGGTTGATGTAGTTGGAGAAAAGAGCGTTGCCGCTGTACTGTGAGATGATACCAAGGGAGATCAAGATGGCCAACCTCCAGCGGTTGCCGCGAGTCTTGATAAAGTCAAGGTAGCTGGAGTTCTTGGACGCATCCACCTCCATCCTGATGGTCTCTTTCATCTCTTGGTATTCGAATTGCACAGTTGCGTCATTCTGGTTGCCGTTGGCGTGGTAGTATGCAAGCATGCTCAGAGCCTCTTCGTAGCGCTCTTTGGAGATGAGCCACTGGAACACTGTCAGGATTGGACGGTATGAAGGGTAATTGTACTTACTCTAGGTGATTCTGGAACCCACCAGATGAGGGACAACTGAATGAGCGAAGGTAGGCCCTGAAGAAGGGTGATGGACCTCCAAGACCACTCATTGTCAGCCTGGGAAGTGCCCCAAGCAACCCAGGCGACGAAGACAGCTCCCAAGTTCCACAGACAATTGTAGATAGCCGTGAACCTGCCGCGATGCTGCGGGTGACAGATCTCAGTGAGGAGAATGGGCGAGCACATCTGCGCGAAACTGTTGCCGAAACCGAGAATGAGTCGACCAGCCAAATAGATCTTCCAATTCGTAGAGAAAGTTGAGACGAGAGCACCAGCGATCATGATGACGCAGCCGATAGCGATGGGAACTTTGCGACCCCACCATTCAGCGACGAAAGGTCTGGGTGAACGTGGTCAGTGACTTGTGTCGCAACCCGATCATTGAGCTGTCTCTTACACGATGAAGAAACTCGCGATGGAACCAATGTTGTACGCATTGTTCATGATGCCCAAGCGATTGTCGTCCGGCTTGTCAAAGTAATTGGCCCATCGCTCCATTTGCTGCGACGAGTTCAACATCATACTGATCAAAGGGTCAGCGAATTGCCGTCATCTGACTTCGTCCTGAGACGTACCCATCGTAACCAGTTGTGGCTGAAGCAACGCAAAGAACGCAAGCCCAGAAGTATAGCTTGCGCATGTTAGGTTCCTTGCGCCAGTTGACTTTCTCGAATTGAGGTGCTTCTTCGCGAGCCGCAACAGCATTGCTGTTGGGCGCTTTGGCGCCAATAGCGAAGGACGGCATGATGGATTGGAGTTACTACAGTGTGTTATTGTCTGTAGAAGTAAGTGATCCTTCCAAGATGTGTCGACTTGGATCAGGGTGGGCCTGCGTTCATCATGTAGTATTTATGCTCAGCACAAACCATTCGGGAAGTAGTTCCAGGATAGTGACTGAACATGACAGGCGATTTGTCGTGGACGGCCCGCCATGTGAAGGTTGCCAGGGATGCTCGTGAGGATTGTCAGGGCTAAGGCCGAATCTCACCAATGAATTCGTACCAAGACTGTCCCTCTAAGCCACCCGTTGGCACCAGGCCCGACAAACCCGCGCCAAGAACGAATGTTTCATTGGTTGTAAACGTTGGAGTCTCCGCAAATGGCTACTGATACTAACCACGTTGACGGTTTGCGTTCCGCATATCGCGACTCCATACTGAAACCTGGAGGAACAGGGGAGCTTTACCGACAGCTTGAGCGTGTGAGCATGCAAGGCCACGAGACAAGAAGGCTGGACCCAGATCAGATCCTATTTATTGGCCCCAGAGTATTGGTGGGGTATTTACCCTTGACCGATGCAACGAAAATGGGTGGGGTCTGGTCGAGTCGGTCAGTGCTGTTGTGCATCCCGAACACATTGTTGCGCTTACCATTGGCCAGGTAATGCATCTATATCTCTTCAATTCCTAAGTTGAGAGTGGCAAGTACGCTCGGCCAGTCCAAGCGGTGCTTGCTTTGAATCTGCGCCGGTACTTGCTGCATGCTATTCAGGGCTGTGGCTTTCCGGTAGATTATAGCATCAGCCTGAAATGGGTTGTGATCCAGTGTAGTAGAAGAGCTAACGAAGCAACAAGTTTGTTTCGTTTGGAACGCGTGCAACTGTCGATGTGAGTGAAGAATGAGTGATACCCAGAGAAGCACTGGTGCCTCCCAGCACGATACACGCTCATGGCGCAGCATTGGCAACATCCAGATCGCCCGGACTTTCCCAAGCGGCTGTACTGTTTGGCAGGCGATGTGCTCGTAGCAAGGCCACCGGAACCCGTCGATTACGAGAATCATGAACCACATCGGCACGTGAGGGGGTAATGGTGTGAAGTTATCCGCGGCGCGTGTCGCTAAGGCGTCTCGCTTGGTGAGGCGAAGATTCCCGTTTAACCGGTCATCGTGGTCAGGTTTATGCTGCAGCATCGATGAGCCTATGGCGGGATCACCAGATTCCCGCTCCCATTGGCGTGGCGTCCGTGTTCTGCTTGAAATCGATCCCGGCGTGGTTAAAATGGAGTTCGAGGCTTTCATGACTGCGCTTGACGATCTGTCAGGACTCAAGATCGTACTGTGGCGGACGCATGTTGGAGAGGGGTCAGGCGAGAGCTGAGGCTGATCGTGCTGTGGAAGCAGGCGGGCCTGCCTTCCGCGCGAGAATCATCTGGAACAGTCAGCTATTGGTTTGTTCGTACTCTTCTCGTCAGTTGAGGCCACAACTGGCTAAAGGGAACAACACCTGCTGCCTTCTCCGCCGACCCGGAAGGCACCATTGTGAACAAACATTGAAGGCTGGGCAGTGAACGATGGACACAACGCTAAAACCACTATTATGTACTACTTCTCTTCCGAACCCATCATTCGTCGTGTCATCATTAATCGTAAGAATAGAAACCAACTTCAGTCCAACTCACATATCCAAATCCATTACAACGCCCAACCTATCGCCAAATCTGCCACTTCTTCTTCGGCTTCGGCGGCACGAAGCTCTCCTGGCTTATCTCCTGTTCCCCACCACTATAACTCCTCTCTTCGTCATCGAGGCTATCGTACTCATCGTCCTCGTACCGTCCATCGCCGAGATATCTTGCCCCAACACCGGCGTTGCCGTTACGGTTGGGGTACGCAGGGTAGGAGGTGCGATCATATCCGCCCCGCTCAGTGTATACAGCTCTCTCGGGTGCAGGTGCAGGTGCTGGTGCTGCACGCTCAGGTGCTGGAGGTGCGTAGTGGCCATTGGATACAGGTCGGACTTGACTGGTGGTTCGCGGTTGACGACCGCCGCTGCTGAAGTAGTCGCCTCCTGTGGTGTCGTCTCGGGCTTGCATGCCACCTCGATAGTTGTAGGGTGAGTCCGGACCAGCACCTACGATGGCGGGGTGTGGTGGGTAGGACTTGCGTTTGTGTGAGTCGCGTTTCGACTTTGAAGGCGTGTGAGCAAGGGTGTGGGCGTCGTCGTGCTCGGACTTCTCGCTGCCGTCTTGGTTGAGAATGCCACCCATGGAACGTCTGTGTATCTCGGGAGATTGGGGGTCAGGCAGTTGTGACCTGTGTGAAGAGTTGTGTGTAGGCGTCTTGCGTAGGGAGCCAGAACGCATCGGCGGTAGTGCTGCAGTCTGGGGTGCAGGCTGAGGTCGAGGAGCGCTACTGTGTCTTCGTCCTCCAACGGACTCCCATGCTGAGCCACTACGGCCATGGTCGGTGGGTCCAATGTCGACGCTTTGTCTTCGATCTGCCACCCTGTCGCGCGAACTGTCCGTGTGTGCTTGGCCTGCCAAAGCTTCATTAGCATGGAAGCCTGAACTCATTCGATTGTCAGGTGGAGGAGCTTGGTCCGCGGAAGTGGTACGCTTGTTCCGGGACCCAAAGCTAGGGATCAGAATCCTGGGCCCGACTTTGTACCTTTGGCGAGCACGCTCTTCCTCATCGTCTTCGGACAGCTCTCCCAGATCGCTGCCGCTTCCGCTCTCACTGCCACTTTGTGAGTAGCCATCATCGCCAATGGTCCTTCTCTTGTGCCTGCCTCCACCGAACATGCCCAAGAAGCTTCCCTTCCGCGGCTTCTTCTCGACCATGCCAGGCTCGGGAGCTGTATAGTTGAGTGCAGGTACCAAAAGACGGTAGGGTGTTGTGATGCCAGCCGGGTCGTGCTGCGAAACTTCCATATTCAGACAAATATCAAGACCGCCTTCGATGTTGATAAAGTCTCCCTTCTGCTTTTGTTGCAGCCCCTTCTTCGTCAGAACGCTGGGTCTACGACGGAACTCGGACGGATGCTCAAAAGCGGCATCGTTGCGGGCCTGTGTTGGCGGCAGGCTTTGTGTAGAGTCACGGCGATCTACACTGTCAACTGAAGCGCGACGGCGGAACAGCGAAGCCAGTGAATTACGGCGAGACCGAGTAGGTCTTTCACTCTCAGATCTGTCCGGCGAGAACGAAGACTGTGGCTGATTGTGGACGTTGGTCTGGAGTTCATCGGCAGTGGCGTTCTGGGGGTTGTTGTAGTACGATAGAGGCGGGCCACGTCCTCGCGCGCTTGGTCGTCGCGCTTGATCACTACTAAACCTTCTGACCATCTGGCGAGGGTTGAAAGTGTCTGAAAGCCTCCTACCAGGCTGCGGCCTTCCTTCTGGCTCAGGTGTGCCCGGTGGCGAGGATCCAGGCTTGTATTCGCGAATGCTGCACCAGTTCCGGTGGGGGAGGAGGTGGTTGTTGTTTCTCTTCTTTCCATCCACGTCATGGGTAAAGATTGGAATCATGTCTTCGTCCGTGTTAGGGTCGAGGTGATGTACCTTGTTGCGCTTGTTCAGGATATCGGCCATCATGTCTGGCGGGGGCGTGTTGACGATGGCGGACGAGATGACGTTCGGCATGTACCTGGCATCCTTGTCCTTTTGTATTTTGAGCTTTTTGTTGGAGTAGAATTGGCCGACAGCACCGAGATGCACATCACCTCCGAGAATGGTGACACGGACAGACTTTGTCTCTGCAATGTGCTGCAGCTCCTTGATAAACCAGTTCCGTTCTTCCTTGTGGTGCTTGGCCGTCCAGTGATCATCGAGATCGTCAAGGATCTCAACACCGCCGTCGAATTTGTTGACAAAGCCACCAAGCAGACCGGCCCGACCCATAGCCTTGATAGGATCCATCATCCTGCTGGTCAGGAGATTCTCGAGGAAGTTCAACCTTGGATATGCAATCGGCACGCCTAGGAGAACGATTAGATGTTTGGTCTTGCCTTTGATGATCTCGTCCTCGAGACGATCGAAGATGATGTCGTACGAGTCCTCGGTCAAGATCTCGTCACGCTGTCGTTCCGTTCGACAATCCAAACCAAGGAAGGCTAGCTGTTGGCCAAGATGCATGAAGACGCTTCGAGAACGCTCTTTGATGTACGGGCCGGGACTCTTGCCGAGCACCCACGACGGCTCTGTCTGTTCGGTCTCGGAGGGCACAGACTGATGCTGGAAGAGCATGTAGTACTTGAAGGCTACAGCACCAATACCAGTGAAGACGGGCGTCTGCATGAAGTGGTGAGGGTAAGATCCGTAACCCTGTATGCATTAGTATTTTGAAAAAAAAAAAATAAAAATAAAGAAAAAAAAGAGAAAAAAAAAAGTCGAGAAAGTTGTCAAGGTCAACATACGTCAATAATATCATGGTCGTCCCAGATGTTGACCATTGGAATCTGGGAGTTGGCCATCCCGAAGAGGCCTTGCGAGAACCACATCGAGTATCGGTCCAGATAGAACTGTTCCAATTCGTTCTGCATCTCTTCAGAGAATGGTGTGTGGTGCTTGTCCAGTGGGTTTCTGTTCTCAGTCCATTGTCTGAACAGTGTCGTTTGCTTCATAGCTGCATCGTTGTAGATCTGATCGCCTCCACCAAGCATGACGTGAAACGGTCGGCTCTGATGTGAGTTCAGCACGTCGCGCCACATTGGATCTGGGCCGCAAAACTCCTTCGAGTCTACGCTCAGTGAGAAACCGTTGCAGCTGTGGAACATGATGTTCATGGAATCGCCCTTGGCTGGCACCCAAAAGCCGATTGCAGGGCCATTGTTGATCCTGTAGGCAACACGTGCCTGCGTGCTGCCAAGTTCGACCTCGAGGTTGAAGCGCCAGAACGTTACCCCTCGCTCAGCATGAAGGCGGACGCCAGAGATCTCGCGAACCTTGCCAAGCTTTTCACCGTCCTTCTTGTGGATGCGCAATGACTTGACACCTGTGCCATTGGTACCGCGGACGAAAGAGAAGAGACCAGTGTCGTCCTCGACTCGCGACAGGTCCTCGTTCTCCGCTATTTCGTCCACTGGTTTCACGTACATGGTCTGGCCAGTTCTCGAAACCTTGAACTGTCCCTCAACGGGATCAACGTAAGCAGGGTTGAGATCGTCGCCATCCAGCTCTTGCGGTGGTGGCAGAAGGACGTCCATTGCTTGCTTAAACAAGCGTAGAGTCGGTGGTCTTTGATACGATGACTCTGAGTCAGTGGTGACGATCATGACACTGCCCCTCCAAATCTCTCGTTCCTTGCCTGCGCGACTTTGGTCTCTTCGGAGGCCAGTGTAGCGGAGCAGTGGTCCACACTTGAGGTAGAGTGGCGGGTTGAAGCTCGTCTGAGACGTGGGTTCATCGGCGTAGCCATCGTAGGTAGGCTCGACATAGGTACTTGATCGCCGACGCCGGCCAGCCTGGCTTTCTTCCCACCAGGTCTTGTTGTTCGCGGTACTGGGTGTGCTCGCAGGAGCATTCAAGTCAAGGTCTTCGGAGACGAGGGTAGCGATTGGCGCTTGTCTCCACTCTTCCAGCATGGGCGGCTTGACATAAGTCCGCTCATGACCTTGATGGCGCGAAGCGTGATGAGAGTCATGCGGTGCCTGTGGATGAATCTCCGAGTCGACGTCAGAGAAGCCAACGCTCTTGCGAGCTACTGGCGGCACTGGAGAGTCGTAGGGGTGTACTTGGAATTGGCTGTTGCTTTGAGGGAGCCCTTTCTGGTCGATCTGCTGCTGCTGCTGCTGCTGCTGCTGCTGTTGCATTTCCGTTCGCGCAGCCCTGATGCCTCTGCTGTCTCTTTGGCTTCCATGTCTAGTCGGCTGTTGGACCAGAGGGGCATTCTTTGAAAGCGTCCTGCTATCAGAGCGGATGACCTCGGCCCCTCCGAATGCGTCGTTGATACCCGCATCCTCTAAGCCAAGCCCAGAAAGGGGCGTAAGACTTCCAATGGGGTGCTCGACTGGCTTCCGACGGATCTGTTGTACGGCAGGTGCAGCTGGTGCGGCTGCGCGGTCTCGGAAGCTGCCTGCTCCTGGCGAGACACCAGCTGGCTCTTTGCCCTTGACGCTAGCATTGCGCGCAAGGGAGGCCTCTGTGTGGGGGACCTTTTGTATCGAGGTGAGGCGTGGCTGTTTCTGGGACGGTACCCGATGAGGCGCTGGAACTGCAACTGCTTGAGCCGCGGACGGGTCCCAGGGTTCCGTCAAGTCGTAGGCATAGCCATCCTCTGATGCCAAGTCGCTGATGTCGGGGGATCGGGGGTTGCTAGTGAGTGGCGCAGAAACGTGGCGCTTGTTGTTTCCTGTGCGCTGGGTTGTGTCAGGGACCATTTCGTGGGTTGGCACAGGCTGTGATACGACCCGCTTCTCTTTCTCAGCGGCCTCGCGTGCCCGGCGAGCACGCATCTCGGCCTCGACTCGTTCCTGCACTGCCAGCTCCGCCTCGAGGATCCGTGCGCGTCTCTCCTCTTTGCTGATATCATCGAGCTTGCCCTCGAGCTTCTGGAGAGGCGACCGATCGGGGACAGAGGGCTTCCGCTGGGAATTGCGACGTTCGACGGATCCAGAGAGCGGCTCGACTGGCGCGTATGGCGGCGACCGCAGCTCGTACAGTCTGCCAGCAGCTGTCTGGATGGTAGGTTGCTGTCTGCTGGCGTTGACTTGGATGGGGGGGTCGCGCGAGGAGCGTGAAGGGCCCTTGGAGGCCAGCTTTTGCGCATATGGGTCCTTGTAAGACGTCGGTGGTGCGCGAGGGACGTCTGGCGCAGCAGGCATCGGTTCAGCCAGTGCACCCGTCGTTGGTGGAACCCGTTGGCTCTGTCGTCGTCTGTGAGAGGAGCCGCGAGGGACGCCGTTCGCAGCTGGAGGGGCGACTGGCCTGGCGGTGTTGCTGGGAACGACGGTGGCCATGGTGGGATCCTGGGGCTGCGGTCGCGCGTCCACTGGCCGACGGTATGAGTTGCGCTTCTGAGGAAAGGTTTCGTAATGCTGCTGCGATGTTGGAGGGCTCGAGATCCGGGTGGCATACGTGCCGCTGGCCCTACTGTTCTCCATACTGCTGCGAGATCATGGAGCTGGTCTGGAGCTGGTCTGGAGCTGGTCTGGGGCTGAGCGAGTGGAGCACCGCAACCCCCAGCTGTGGTCAGGGTCCGGTCGTGATGCAGATGATTTGTGCGAGGTCGGAGTGCACCCGGAGTTACACTGTCACCGCAGGTCACTTAGGAGAGGCTCAATTGGCACGACTTGCATGATAGCTACCTAAGGATACGGCGCTGCAGAGGCGCTGCGGAGGCGCTGCGGAGATGCTGCGGAGGATGTGCTGTATGATGCTGGGACGGCCTAGGAACAGGGAAAAGTGACGGCGGCGGAAAGCAAGCGCAAGACGCAGCAAGGAGAGGACGGCTATGTACAGGGAAGATGGAGAAAGGGAGAATGGGAGAACGGGAGAAAGGGAGCGATGCAGGGGACTCGAGGTGTTGAACTGCGCCGCCAGCTCAGCATCCCTCGATGCCAGCCATCGATGCCAGCCATCACTGCAAGCCACTCACTCCAGCCTCCTCCCCTCCATGTCCTTGGAAGGGACAGCGGCAAGGCCCACCCGGCTGCCGTATTTGCGCCGGGCCCCCCGTTGACGCGGCTAACCGCTTGCAGCTAGCGCTGGACGGGGATCGTGGCGGTGATCTGGCGCGGCGGACGGGCATGGGTTCAGCGACGTGGAGCGTTTCACCGAGACTTCCACTGTGCCGGCGTTGCTGTCCTCGACACTCGCAGCGCTCACAGCGTCTTCTCGCGCCAGTCGTTGTATACCTCCAGTCGTCTCCAGTCGTCGTATACCTCCTAGACACTGCATAGTCCTGCCGTCTTCCCGGCCGCAGACCCCTGGCTCGGCGCTCTCGTCGCCCTCGTCGCCCTAGCACTGGCCAGTCGTCGGTCGTCGTAATCGGCCTCCTTCCCCAGCAGGCCGACGCTACACGGCCACCTTGCGCTCTACACCACCTTTCGCTCTACCCCACTCGTTGGCAAAGACTCGCGCTCCCCGTGTCGCGCGCCGCCCTCGCCCGTGCAAACACGCTCCGCCTCTCTCTCACACGACCGCAGCCGGCTGCGCATACAGTTTGTAGGCGTCTTCGCCATGCGCATCCTCGACATCTGCTGTCTGCTGTCGGCGGCGTCGCTCGCAGCAGCAGGAGGCCACCACCTGCCCAAGCGCAGTTACGCAACCAACGACTACTACGCTATCCACCTCTCCCCGTCCGCATCGCCGTCGGAACTCGCAGCGCATCTCGGCCTGACATACGAAGGCCCCTTCGGCTCCCTCGACGACCACCACGTCTTCAAAGCGCCGAAGCATGACACGGATATCGTCAAGGACGCCAGGCAGGAGCTCAAGCGGCGGCGGCGCAAGCGGGAAGTCGGGCTAGAGTACCACCCCCTCGACAGCATACACTTCACACAGAAGCAGAAGCTCAAGCCCAGGCATTGGAAGCGCAGTGCGATACCTCCGCGCCAAAACGTCAACGATGCCATCAACGCGCAGCGGGAGGTCGCCAAGTCGTTGAGCATCCAGGATCCCATCTTCAACGAGCAATGGCACATCTTCAACGTCAAGACTCCAGGCAACGACATCAACGTCACCGACGTATGGATGCAGGGCATCACCGGCAAAGACGTGACGGCCTGTGTCGTCGACGACGGACTCGACTATGATAGCGGCGACTTGAAGGACAACTTTTTCGCCGAGGGGTCGCACGACTTCAACGATAACGCAGACCTGCCCACGCCGAAGCTTTCCGACGATAGGCACGGCACACGATGCGCCGGCGAGATTGCAGCTGGGAAGAACAACGTCTGCGGTGTGGGCCTGGCATACGACGCCAAGATCTCAGGTGTGCGTATCCTCTCCGGACAGATCACGGACATGGACGAGGCGCTGGCTATCAACTATGAGATGCAGAAGAACGACATCTACTCCTGCTCGTGGGGCCCTCCAGATGACGGCAAGACTATGCAGGCGCCGGGAATCCTGATTGAGAAGGCCATGGTCACAGCGGTTCAGCAAGGACGTGGCGGCAAGGGCTCCGTGTACGTGTTTGCGGCTGGCAACGGTGCCGCGAGCGACGACAACTGTAACTTCGATGGCTACACCAACAGCATCTACAGCATCACCGTGGGCGCCATCGACATGAACAACCAGCACCCGTACTACTCAGAGGCCTGCTCCGCGCAGCTGGTGGTCACTTACAGCAGTGGGGGTGGCGATGCGATTCACACTACAGATGTGGGCGCAAACAAGTGTACAAGCCAGCACGGAGGTACTTCGGCTGCGGGGCCTATTGGTGTCGGGGTGTATGCTCTGGTGCTGCAGGCTCGCCCTGACCTCACCTGGCGCGACGTACAGTGGCTTACCGTGTTGACAGCTGTGCCTTTCGACACGCCCAGCGATTGGACCAAAACCACTCTCGGCCGCCTGTACAGTCACCAGTTTGGATACGGCAAACTCGATGCATGGGCTATCGTGGAGAGAGCCAAGGACTGGCAGCTCGTCAAACCTCAAGCCTGGTTCTACTCTCCTTGGATGCACGTCAAGAAGCCGATCCCAGAAGGCAAGGAGGGTCTGGCAAGCGTGTTCGAAGTCACAGCAGACATGCTGAAGGAGGCCAACTTCGAGCGCGTCGAACACATCACCCTCACCATGAACGTCAAGCACCAGCGCCGTGGCGACCTAAGCGTCGAGCTCATCTCCCCCACCGGCATGAGCTCCCATCTCTCCACCGCCCGCCGAGATGACGACGACATACGCGGCTACGAAGACTGGACTTTCATGTCGGTCGCGCACTGGGGCGAATCCGGCGTCGGAAATTGGACAGTCATCGTCAAAGACACCGTCGCCAACAACAAGAAAACTGGCAGCTTGACAGACTGGAAACTGCGTCTCTGGGGTGAATGCATCGACTCGTCCAAAGCCAAGCTCCTCCCCATCCCCACCGAGCACGATGATGACGACCACGACATCATCGACGACCACCCCGCACACACCACCTCCATCACACTACCCAGCCACACACCAACCGTCACAGCCAATCCCTCAGACCACCCTGACCGCCCTGTCAACCAGAAGCCGACGGCGACCAACGGCGCGTCCGCAACTGCCTCGGCCACTACAGCGCCCTCAGCATCCGCCACCGCGACGCCAGAAAACGAGAACCTCCTTCCTTCCATCTTCCCCACCTTCGGCGTCTCGCGCCGCACGCAAATCTGGATCTACGGCTCGCTCGCCCTGATCCTCGTCTTCGTCTCCGGACTTGGCGCTTACTTCTACATCGCGCGCCGGAAGCAACAGAAATCGTCGCGGGACGCGTACGAATTCGAGGTCCTTGACGACGTCGAGGATCGCGAGGAGACCGGCATGCTTAGCGGCGCGGCGGCGGCGGCGGCGGCGAAGAAGAAGGGTCGTGCGAGGAGGGGCGGAGAGCTGTACGATGCGTTTGCGGGTGAGAGTGACGAGGATTTGCTGAGTGATAGTGATGGAGGCGATGAGGGGCCGTATCGGGACCAGGAGAGGTATAATGAGAAGTATGGGAAGGGGGAGGATGATGATGATGATGATGATGATGAGGGGAGTGGGTTGAGTGGAAGTGAGTTGAGTGGGAGGAGGAAAGAGTAGATGATGATTTGGTTTGGGGGGTTGAATGTGTTTGTACAAAGGGTGTATGTAGGATGAGCATTGGGCGGCGTTGCTTTCGGATTGCACTTGCACACGTCACACTTACACCAGAGCAAATCACTCATCAAGAGAGCTCGTTCGCAGTATGCGTACAGCATTGAAATGGGTATCGTTGTTCTACAAGCTTTTCCAACCCCGAACGCCGTATTATGCAAACACTCCTGGACGGCTCTACGCAACCTTCCTACCCACGTTTCCCACTCCCCTGCCTACCACACTGACCACAATCTCTCCTCGGTCCTCCTCGCCTCCGTTTTCTCGGAACCCCCATCCGCTCCCACCGAACACTTTCGAGTCCCGCGCCAACGAGATGATCTCCTCGCTGGCTAGAACGTCCTTCCCTAAAGCTACTCTGCCAACGTCTTCTGAACCCATGGCCATGAGCATGAGCACTGTCGGCGCGGCAACACTCTCCACCGCACCGCCCTGCGAAATCTTCTCTAATAGCTGGTACGCGCACTGCTTGCCAATCTCATCTGCCGGCACGCCGCCTTCGGGTGGGGAGCATACGTCTGCGCTGTATATACACCCCGTGCTACTCTCCGCCACCAGACTCAATCCGAAGCCCACCGCACCCTTCACCTTGCCGCTTCCATGGCCCTTTTGAACCGTCGGTATTAATGGTGCAGGGGAGGCGTCAGAGAAGATGTACGTATCCGGCACGAACTTGTTCAGAATGCCGCGCGCTTCGTGGATCATGCGCTCATTGTTGCTCTTCGGGACTTCGACGCAGTACGCCACGCCGCGGATCTTCTTCACGCGGCCGGGGTTCAGCAGGTGCAGGGTCTTGGGCAGCCGGACTTGGTGGTTGAACACGAGTTGGACTTCGCCGCCCGCGCTCTTGCCGGTTGCCGGGGCGCAGCTGCGCTTCAAGATCCGTAACTCGATGTTGCGCTCGATGCCGAAGGATTTGTACAGCGGCAGGATCGCGGTGCGCACTGTGTCGGCGCTGATGTCACCGCTGGTGGTCGAGGATGTGACGCAGCCCTCGCCGTGCAGGATGACGTTGACGTTGCCTTTGCTGAAAGGCGAGAGGATGCAGAGTGGGACAAGCCACCATGATACTCCTCTCCTTGCGCACTCGCGGGGGATCTCGTGTCTGATCACGCCGCCGTGGGCGCCAAGACCTTCTGCGGAGCCGGTGATCAGGCCGGGGCGGTACACGAGTGTTGTGCCGGTCATGCTGAACTGGACTTGGCCACCGTTGGTGACGGCGTCGAGGAGGCGCACGAAATTCGTTTCATAGCGTGTGAGACCTGGGTTTGTGGAGGTGGAGCGGATTTGTGATATGCGGACCGGTCGGCCGGTGAGAGTTGCGAGGAGGAGGCGCGAGATCAGGTGACGATGGCCTGTGAAGTTCAGGGGTTGCTGAAGGGCTTCGTCGACGGCCATGGTGGAGGTGGTGAGCGGGGAGTCGTCTCGTGCGTTGTGGGAGTGAATGTGAGCTTCCATGCGGGAACTTTTTCTCTAATCGATAAGCCAGGAACGCTAGTTTAGCGCCAACGCGGGCGGGTGTCCGTCGCGTCGCGTTGAACCCTCGTCAATATCAAGGTGTTCGACTTGAAGCCTCGTGGTTACCGGGCTTTATTCTTCCACTTTCGCTGGAGTCGGTGGTAGTCCTGGGTTGGCGCTCGTTTCCAATGGCAGCAAGACCTCGGCGACTAGGGCAGACAAAAGATGGAGCAACACCACTGCTGCGAACAGTAGGCGGGAAGCCGCATGCTCGAGAAGAGGATCGTGAAGAAATGCAGAAGAAGAAAAGCACAACTCAAGAGGGGCTCATCACCGAAGAATGGGACGAATTAAACCTCAATGCTGATCCTGTAGACCCGGATGAGGTCTTGAGAGCCCCACCAAAATCCTCGAAGCCAACACCAGACTCGGACGCACTCAGAAAACCGCCGGGCTCCAGTCGAAAGCGGAAAGCAGAGCTGTCGCTACCAGAACGAGAACCAGAACCCGGGTTGAGAAAGCCCGCGCCGAAGAAGACTCGCCCTTCTGCACCGCGAGTACCTGGGAAAGGACAGTACGAGCAGAGTCGTGCAGTGAAGGAGGACCTCGATGGAGACAAGGAGAACGCGAACAGCAAGCAAACACCTCCTGTCTCGTCAGCGGATATCTGGGGCTTTGGAATCCACTCCAGCCAAACCTCACAGAAGGGGCCGAAGAAGACGTTTGGGGGTGGAAACAAGACCAAAAACATACATGCTGCGCCACCAGCCACGAAGGAAACGAACCGCAGGCTAGCCAAATCCGGTCCGAAATCCAACCAGAAGCCAGAGCCATCGTCAGAGGTCAGGTCAGAGGGAAATGAGAGGGATGATCTGTCTTCCATGGGCGAGGAAGAGATAGATAACTTGCTTGATTCGTCAGATCTGGATTCAGGGGATGAGAGGCACAGGAGGATTCCAGAAGATCCAGAGCTGCGGAAGGTTCCAGCAAAGAAGAAGAAACCCGCTCGGATCAACGGCGATGCTTTTGACTCGACCGCCCTTAACGGTCAAGGACTCGACAACTTACTGAAGCCTACGTTACGCGAGCAGCTTGGGCTGACGGACACACAAGACTCGTCTCTGCCACCCTCAAGCGCACCACAAGAAGATATGGACAACATCGACTCGTACGTACGCGAACTGCCCGCCGAAGCAGAAGAAGGCACCGCCTGCCCAATCTGCAACGAGCCAGTCGACCAAGACTATTACTGGGACTTCTGGAAAGACCGCAACAAGACCGTCAAGAACCAAGCCGCCTTCTGCCACACCCACAGAAAATCGACCGCACAGAAAGAGTACCTAGCCGAAGGCTATCCAGCAAAGGACGGCGTGCCAGCACTCAATTGGAGCAGGATCCCAGAACGCATTAAGAAGCACCGCATGGTCCTCCACGCCATTCTCGCAGGCGAGAAGCCCTCCATCTACCGCACCCGCTACGAACCCCTCGCGCTCACAGGCAAAGCCGCCGCCGTGCCCTCAAAACGCACCGACCTCTCCCCCTCAAAACAAGCCGAACTCGCCTCCTACGCCCTCGATGACAACACCGTATACCCAGGCTACTACGGCCCCCGCGGTCGCCGTCTAATCACCGAATCCGTCATGTCCCTCCTCAACACGGAAATAAAGCGGTCTACCGACCCTGTGGTGCAAACGTCCGGGCCCGCGACGTTTGTACAGGCCGTGCTTGTGCCGGAGGTGAGTGTGCGGCTGATTATGGAGGATTTGAAGGTCGATTGGGATGGGGCGGAGGAGGTGAGGGAGAGGACGTTTGAAATGGGCGTGCTGCTGAATGAGGAGATTGAGGATGAGGTGGTGGTGGATGAGGAGGAGGGGGAGAATGAGTATCATCATTAACGTGGGAGGGGATATTGATATGTGGGGGGATTGGGTCTGTGGTTCTGTTGACAGCGTTTGGTGAGGAGCGTTGTACGCTGAAGCGCTTTGATACCCTGGCATTTTTAGCGGTATGCACATCTGTTTTCGTGTTGCCACAGCTCTCTCGTGTCACATGTGTTTGTGTGTTGTCGAATTGCCTGACAATAGCGGGAAGTTGATTGCCTGGATATTGTAAACCTTTGTCATATTCATGTATCTCATGTCGTTGAAAACTGTACATATTTACAACTCATCCCTCTTCCTCTGCCCCCCTTCATGCTGCTGCTGTGCTTGCTCAAACTTCTCCCTCTCAACATCCTCCTCCCACATCTTCTTCTTCGGATTCCGCGGCTTATCGCTCTCCTTCAACACCGTACCATCACCTCTAACCACCGGCCCCTCCCCGTCCGGCTGCTGCCTCTGTTCCCTCAGCTGAGGATGTACTTCCTCTTCCTGCTGCTGCTGCTGCTGTGCCTGCTCCGCCATCTTACCAACTTCCTGACTCACTGAGCCGAGGGGACTAGGATCACCCTGATAATACCCTCTTCCTCCGCCACCAACACGGATATAATTTTGCGGCGGTGGAGCGTTGGGATCGCTATTCCGTCTCGGCGCGCCTGCTGTAGCACTAGGCTTCACAATCAGACTTGTGCTTGCTTCTGAGGGCACAGTGAGCGACGACGATTTCCCAGACGCGGCTGCTGCGGTGCCGAATCCGACGATGCCGAAGACGATGCCGAAGACGAGCTTAAGCGGCCAGATTAGGAACCAGGTTAATGGTCCGTATAGCCAGCGGCGGAAGATCAGCCAGATAATGGTTGTGATGAGAATGTAGAATGTGGTTTCGAGGTACCAGGTATCGCTCTTTGTGCTTTTCAGTAGTGTTGTGACGAGTGTCCTGCTGTTGGCGAGGAGGGTGTTGAGGTCGGAGTACTTCTCTCCTAAGTCTGCGAGTGCGGCAGTGGATTGTTCGAGGGTTTCTTGAGCGAAGCGAGAGCGTGACAGCTCGTTTTGCATCAACTGGTGTGTTCGTCGTAGAGCGGCTGTTACGTCCGAGGAGGCTTGGACGACGATTTCTTCTTCGGCGAGACCTTTGTTTTGTTTGCGTTGGCGATACGTGGATGATGGTGTTGAGGCGCCGGATTGGAGGTTCGAGAAGAGGAGCTCGCGTTCCTTGAGCCTTGCGCGTTCGGCGTTTTGTTTGGCGGTGAGTTGAGCCTTGCGGTATTGGGATCTTGATCTGGTGATTAAAGTCAGCATCTTGCTACCGAAGGCAAGACTCTTGGTGCATTGCACTTACGACTTCAAGTCTTCTGTTAACCGTGCAAGCAGAACTGCAAGTCTGGATCGTTCGTTCTCTTTCGTACTATCCCTTCTCTTTCCAACTACTCCAGAGCCCTGCTGTAGTATGTCTTCAACCTCTTGTCTCAGCAGTTCGAGTTCCTCCTCAATACCCTTCAAGGTTTCATGTATCTCGGCACTCAGTTCCAAGCGCACATCCCCCTCTTCACCATTCAGCGGTTGTGACCCAGGTTGGAAGTCTAATTTGGCAAGACGTTGTATGAGTTGTCCAACAGACTTGTTAGACTCTGTCAGAGCGGTCAGACGAGTGGCAAGCGTATGGGTGGTGGGAGGTAGAGGCGCCATTGTGCAGCATAATAGGTGTTCGAATGCGAATGCTATGACGGAGGGGAGCGGTCCAGCTGGCCGTTCAGACCTACAACGCCAATCGAAAAGCCGCGGGCGCACGGACTTCTATTCGAAAGTGAGGATCGGTCACTTGAACGGTCATTTGAGGTGTTGTCGCCGCATTCAAGTCGTAAGTTGATCTCGGTATGGTAGTGACAACTGTCGCTGATTGATCGCATAGATCTATCTGTCATCCGTGTATCGTCGCCCGCCACGCCGTCCACCTCACAACCGCCAACATGATCACCCGATTCCTCACAGAAGTCCGCGTTGCGTTCAACCCCTTCAGTCCTCGTTCGAAGCCTGCGAGGTTATTCCTTTCGCTCATCCCCGCCGATGCGCGCGCCAATGGCATGACTGTTCAATCGAAGATGTTGCCTCGGACAAGCAAGGAGAGTGCGACATTAGGTGTAAAGTTCAGTACGTACACCCCTCTCCGGAAACATTGTGGTCGCAAGAACAAGTGACTAAATTGTTTTTGGGTGTTGGCTTGAAGGATCGTACAAGAAGCTCTCCTGCAATATTCAACTGGTCGTTCAAGGATGAGGCTAACGTATTTTCACAGAGGACGGCAAGGAGATGAACCTCGACCTGAGCAACATGCGGATAACAGAAGTTATGGAGCAGGTGGACCGACACTCGCGAATGCTGGCACGAAAGGAGGAATTGTCAGGCAACTAAGGCATTTGGCAGATACCACCCACAGCTGTACGAACATGTATATCAGAAGCATCATATGGAGTCACGGTACAGGCTGGAGGTATTCGATGTGAGGATGATGATCACTTTTGGATGAATCTATGTCATTTGGCCAACAACAGGCTTTTACCAACCACGGTTCAAGGGTTCGCGATATGATACACGATCGTCTTCCAGTTGAGCCGTCCACGCTGACCGTGAAGGTCTTCACTGATTCCAGACGTCTAGCTGGAGGGGGCACCAGAGATGTAGAACCACTTGTCGATGCTGGGGTCGATAGGAGCAGGAGACTTGTCCTCACCGGAGGGAATATTCAACGAGCTGGTATCGGTCTTGTCGGCAGAGTGAGAGACAGTAGCATTGGCAAGAGAGATGTCGTTCTTGGCGGTCTTGCCAGCGACGAGCTTCTCCCAAGCCTCAGCGCACTCACGGACGATGTCCATGGCGTACTTCTTGTTCTTGCACTCTCCGGAGAAGGCGAACTGGTTCTCGGGCTTGCCATCGGGGATCTTGTAGATACGGAACCACTCGTTGGTGGCACGCAGAAGACCGGGCAGGTGGCGCTCGACGTCCTCAACGTCGTTCAGCTTGGGAGCCAAGGGATCGTTGACGTTGACGACAATGATCTTCCAATCAGTCTCGCCCTCGTCGAGCAGAGCCATGACACCGAGGACCTTGACCTGGATAACATCACCAGGCTTGTTGACAAGCTCACCAATCTCGCAGACATCGAGCGGGTCGTTGTCACCGTTGGCCTTAGTCTCAGGATGTGTGACGTTGGGGTCCTCCCATGTCTACAGCGACCGTCAGTCAGTGTCTTGTCCGATATCGGGCTGGGCGTCATCGTACCTGGGGGAAGGCACCGTAGTTCCAGAGGTAGCCCTTGTGGGGGAAGCAGTTGCGGACGAAGCGGAGCTTGCCCTTCTTGGTGTCCTGCTTGATGGGGTTCAGGGTCTCCTCCTTGGAGATCTGTTGGGGTTGTCAGTGACATGTCGCCATCGCGGGGGTAGCAGAGCAGCGAAGACTGCGCTCAATGACGCTCAATTGGAGGGCACGCACCTCCATCTTGGCGTTGGTCCAGCGGGGGACCTCGACGACCATGTTAAGGATGGTCTGCTGCTCGTTGGCGTAGAGCGGGATGTCGTGCCAGGCGGAGATGGGCTGGCCATCCTTCTCGATGTAGACACGGTGCTCGAGGGTGTTCGCCGCAGCGACCTTGCGGGTGGTGTAAGCCATGGTGGTGAGCGGTGACTTGTTTGTTGTGGAGGGGTTGGTGGAGGAAGAGAAGTGCTGCTGGATTTTGTCGAGGCGCTGGAGGGGTCTAGTGGGGCTGGCAGGCACAGGCGGGCGGTGTTGGTTAGCCAGTGTGACGAAAGTATGTCTGCATGGGGCAGACCTAGGACTGAAGAAGGACAATTGCAGTTGGGGGTCTACTCGCTTGGCTATGTTGAGCCTCAGCAGCGATCGCGGACAGTACATGCAGATGGGATTTATCAGATAATCGGCTAGATCGATGGCCGACAGCGCTCCTCTTGATCAAACCGAGGTGTGAAAGCTGCGGGCGAATGTTTTCCACGCACATCACGCACGGACGGCTCTTGCCTCACTGACGTGCGTGGGGAAGCCACAGTCCAAGTCTGTAGGATTTTGGGCGGGGCAACATTCAGTATAATCTATTTGGCCGCCAGAAACCTGGAGCCACGATATTCGTGTGCTCAGGTTCTTGCATCTGTTCGACACCGTCCCCTACATAATCCAATCCTCCCATGTCGTCGTCAAAACCATTCATCATTGCGCACGACACTGGCTCGCCTGGCAGACCCTCGAAGTCCTCCTGGTCCAACAAGTCGGCCGCACCTATGTACTCCTTGTCGACAATATCTGGATGCTGATAGCCACTGTCTTCCTCGAGATTAAAGTGTACCGGCAAATGCTGCCGGTGTTCTTGCTGCGCGTAGAAACTGGGACCAGAAAAGTTTGGCAGCCTTGATGGCTGAGCCTCTGGAGCCAGGAATCGTACCGTGGGCGCTGGTGTAGTCCTCTGATACGAAGTCCGTCCGGTCTGCTGGATTATGTCATAGGGTGCAGGAGAGAAAGGGGCTTCGGCATGACGACTTCTGCGTGACGTAGCCTGCCGACACTCTACTTGGTGTGCATCGTTGCAGTGTTGCAAGACTCCAGCTAAGCTCGAGGGCTGTTGCCGACTCTCGTAAGAGACGAGTCTCCTTGCGACATCTGTAGAGGTCCGTCCCTGGCCCAATACCGCATTTTCGCTTGCGTAAGACGTCCTGATTGTCCTCCCACTCCTCGAACCCTCAGTTATGGGAATCGCTGGGTATTCAGCGTTGACACCGGCCTGCAACACCGGCAGCGTTGACGACGGTGAAGTAACATGTTCAGTCATGCGGCGATGCAAGGCTCGATCAACGAGATTCGGTCGCCGGGGAGAGGAAGAGTGTTGGGGTAACGATTGCGACCTTGAAAGTCCTGATGGTATTGGAGCTGTCGATGACACCCTGAATCGTTCGGCAGTAGCGGTTGGAGGTTCACGCATGACTGAAGAGAGTATTGATTGGCGAACTGCCGTATGTCTGCCATGCAGATCCTCTGCGACGTCCTGATTCGAAGAATCGAGACGCTTCTTCTGGACGGTTGACATTGTCTTCGGGCGTACTGGCGTGATACTGGGCGCGCGGATGGACTCCGACCACGAAAAGTAGCTGGTGCTCTCATGGCGCAGTCCTCTAATACCAAACCCCAAGTACGATACTTTGCCCTTCGACTCGACTGTGGGAACGGCAGTATCAGGCACATTCGATGGTTCTCGCGTTCGACCAGGACGATCCGCCTTCGTTGCGACAAAAGTGTTTGTCGTCGGGTGCCCACTCTTTGCCAGAATGTTCTCGTCTGTGTCTGCTAACGCGGGTCGTATAGACGTGAAGAATGCAGAGATGTCTTCTTCCTTCGTTCGTGCGTGGTCCTTCTTGCGCTTTTTCTTGGCATCTGAAGCTTGCGTGGTGTGGTCATTCGCACCATGGTCGGTTCGCAAAGATTTCATCTCAGAGAAGACAAGGTCTGGTACTGTGCACGTGTCAGCCACGATCTGTACTGTGTAAAGCGTTGCAGGGCAAAGGACTTACGACCACAACGCTTGACTGAAGTGGAAGTTCTGCCCTTACTGAAGAGACCCATCTTCTCCAGCGGCTTCAGCTAGACCAGTCAACAGCATGTCCAGTACACTATCGTATATGTAACACGCTTACAGTCAACCGATCTTTGGAAACGTTTCTGGCCTTCAAATCCTGCCCGATGCCATTGTGGGTCATATCGTCCTTTCTTCGCTTAGACTTGCGTTTCGACTTTCTCGACTCGTTCTTTCGGCTGGGGCGATGACTCTTATCCTGCTCCTTGACCCTCTTCGATCCAGCTCCATACTTGTCTGGGCGTGTCTTGCGGCGAGGTTTCCGCGCATAACGTTGACTTGCGGTACTGCTGTTCGTAGATTCACTAGTCGTGGAACAAGACGCATCGCTATGAGCCCTGTCGAACGCATCTCGGACATCGCGGTGGTCTCGCTCGATCGCTGGGACGCCCTTACGCCGAGGCTGAGGAGAAGAAGCTTTGAGCAGTGAGCTGTCCGATGAGCTGCGCTTCCGTCTTCGCCTCACATTAGGGACGTGATCAGGCTGTCTCGGCAGGAGGAAATGTTCAACGCCCGGTTGCTTGGAAGGGACTGGACTCTCAGTCTCAGCAAGCCACTTTCGAATGTCCATGCTAAGGCCCGATTATTGCATTCCACTACGTTTGCAGTAGCGCCAATGGCCCTAAGCAAGCCGTGCCGTTGGTGTGGTCAGTCGAGTACTTGAAGCCGGAATGATCAACGGAGGTCGTACAGCAGTACGCTGGTGGTAGCTGCGATGGTTGGTCTCAAGCCCTACGAGGGCTGGGCTTGTGTAACGTGAAGGAGGGTATGAGCAGACATCCTGCCGTTCTGCCAGGTCGATGTTGGAGTGAGAATTAAACAACTTCAGAGAGTTAGGAAGGTACAGTGGAGGCGACTATCGAAGCCACCTGCCACCAGTGCAGTACTTGAGGCAGGCACCCCAGGTCTGACACATTTAGTCGAGCCCATCTCGAGTTCAATCAGTTGCGAAGGAGGTCCAACTTTCAGCTCGCAGCTGTCGTGCTTCACTACTGCAGACGTCTAAGAGACAACAACCATCGCTGGCAAGGACCCGCGAATGGCTACCCGTTTCTCTTAATTCATCGGCCTGAACTTCTCGAGCTGTGGTGAGTGCTCTCTGTCATTCCATACTATACCTGAGACGACGCAGCTGCCTGTCCATGGTCACAGCCTGTCTATCTTGAGCCGTTAGCTATTACTTCACCGGGTCGAGGGCGCCACGACGGCAGCTTGGGATAAGCCCGCGTAAACAATCGATGTATTTGATCGTGAAAGGTTTGCGACTCGAGTGTAACTTTTTGCAACGATGGACGGTGTCCTGCATCCGGTACGGCGAGGTTTGAGCTAGCAGTGCTATCTCCTTAGTCTGGATCCCTGCAACTGGAGCCCGATCGCCCTCACATAGTGCTGATGAAGTCAAGTTCAAAGTGGTCGCCGTTCTACGCACGCATGGGTCCAGCGAGGTTTAAAGCGGCATGTCGAGATTTGCGCGAAAACGCGCTCCTGGACACGGATCTGCGATTGCTCGCGCAGATTTCGCGCGCCGCAAAAGGAGTGAATGCCAGGAACGCACGGACTTTCCATTCGATCATGCCAGGTCTAACCGTCAACCCCTCCAAGTTATTTGGGTCGTGACCATGATAAGCGGCCTGGGCCCACCTGTCAATTGACCAATCCCACGAGTTACACGCCATATCTACGGTGATGCCTCTGGTTTGGCTGCATCCGAGTGCGCTCCTCTTCTCCCAAGCACGCAAGCCGCTGTCTGCAAGGCCCTTCAAGGGGCGCGCCGTTCACGACAGTCCAATAGCGTGCCTGCGCCTGTGCCGGCATCTCGAGAAGTCGAATCAGACAATTCGATCTGTCTCTTTTTGCTGGCCGTCTGCCTTGTTATTGGACTCGACCAGTCCTGAGCTAGCTGTGGGCTGCATAATTCCGGCATGAGGAAACGCACACGGGACGAGCTAGCCTGGCTGAAGCAGAGGTGCGAGAGCCGTGTGGGAGAGCTGGTGTTCTTTGATCAGGCGTTGGGCCCAGCAGAGTGAATTCACGCGCGCAGCAGCCCTACTCTCCTGACCGCAACTGCGATATTCCCAGCACAAATCATTTAAAGCTCTCAACAATCAGTCAATTGATCAAAGCCCAGCTCTTTTCGACTGTCAATCTGTCACCATCGATCCAGGTTCCTGCTCTTGCGGGAGCGCCAACCCTACACCAACACAGCTAGCGTTCGTTCACCTGGAGGGGTCTTAGTTCTATCTGCCCCGCCAACCCAAGCCCTCCACCTCGCTTTCTCTGCCTCATCATCACGACCTTGCAGAGGACTTCTTCCTTCATCCACACATATCATCGATTGCGTGTGCCATCGATACCGAAACAGCCTGGTGCTTAAGACAAAATGTTCGTTCCGTCACGTTGCTTGTTATGACCTGCAGAGGATGCCGCGATGTTCTTCCCGCGCATGTGTCCTCCCAACTTCCTTCTCTCTAGTACCCTTCTCATCCACCTGTTGTGAGGCTATTTGTATCGCGCGCGTGTCTTTCTTGCTCGAGATCCGGTATTGAGACAGTTCAGTGCTCCTTTAGATCACCATGTCGAAGCTCTTCGTAGGGTAAGTCAAACCTCACTATTACTACAAGCCTGCGACTGACATCACCTTAGAGGTCTTGCGTGGCATACCGATGACGCGACTCTGCGCCAGAAGTTCGAGGAGTTTGGCCAGGTCGAAGAGGCCGTAAGTAACAGGTCACGGGCATGGCTTGCTCGAACAGATAGAACGAGTTGCTCACTTCACTACAGGTAGTCGTCAAGGACCGCGACACTGGTCGCAGCAGGGGCTTCGGTTTCGTCCGCTTCGCCACTGATGCCGAGGCCGACACTGCTATGCAGAACATGAACAACGTCGAGTTAGTGCTCCTCTTCTTTAGCTCCATCGACTATATGCGAGGCGTTTCGACTACAGCTCGTACTCGGAGCTTCGCCATGTCTTTGTCGCACAAGGCCTTCCTCGCTTGAATGCGCTGACAATACTAGGTTCGATGGACGTACTGTCCGCGTCGACAAGGCCTCTGACCGCGCCGCCGGCGGCGGTGGTGGTGGTGCTGGTCGCGGTGGATTTGGAGGCGGCTACGGCCGTGGAGGAGGTGGTGGCTACAGCGGCGGTGGTGAGTCTGCAATCTCCAATACTCAGTGTTCGTGTGGCTGACTTTCACCAGGCTACGGCGGCGGTGGTCGTGGTTCGTGATCACAACACAACTTGAGCTCTACGATGTACTGACTATGATCGTAGGCTATGGTGGCCAGGGCGGAGGCCAATGGGGTCCATCCGGTGGTCAGGGCGGTGGCTACCAAGGTCAAGGCGGCTATGGCGGCCAGCGTCAAGGCTACGGCGACCAGCAGCAGGGCGGTGGCGGCGGCCAGTGGTAAATCCCTTCACGAAACCCCCTTCACGACTTACAGCGCTGTGTGCCACAACATAATGCGATGTGGACTCGATGTTGGGGGTCTCAGCAGGAGAGTCTGTTGCGTCTGGTCTGCGATGGAAGTGATCGTTCGAGCTCTGGTAGACACCGTTTCTGACTAGGATGGGTGCTGGTGACCCAATGTGCTTCTTAAGCTTCATGTATGAGGAAGCCTGAAGGTTGCGATTGAGTCGCACTGACGAGATGATTGATACCCATTGAATCAGAACTTGCTTGTCTGGGGTCGTGGTTCTGGTTGCTTTACTCAACCTTGCTTACGGTTTCTTCATATTTATGCTCGAGATTCATGCTTAAAAAGTTGCTGCTGCTTGCATTGACACGCGATTTCCATAGTAATCATCACAACAACGTGAGATGACATCATCCGCTCAAGTTTGCTGAGTATGCCTACAGATACGGCTTTCTGGCCTACCATATACTCGGCACTGTCAGTCGGATTCTTAGGTTTTGAGGCTCTGCTACATGCCAACTCTCACAACGAAGGCAAAGTACTTGCCTGCAATCAAGCTCAAGACGACCAGGCTGTGGTCTCAGCATTCCGATGCCTGTGTAGCGCAACCCCACACATTTTGAGCAATGAACTGCAATGCCACCGTTATACGACTGATAGGCACAGCATCACACCAGTGCAATATTTTTCATTATGACAGCTCGCATCTTGTAATGAGAAACGGAACAAAGGCTGTCAGCTCAGCCAACGCATTGTGACAAACCCGCATGAAACGTACATAACCGCCTTGAGCTCGAAGCCTGGCTGCAGGCGAGTGCATGTAGAAAATGCAGATGCAAGTGATCGCCGCGAGTCAGGCGCTCCACCCGCGACAGCCATGTGGCCCGCAATGCTGCTGCCTTGTGGATTGGCACTCAGGCTTGAGAACCTGGGACTGGAAAGAACTCCGTTCCCCAAATCCCTGGAACATCAACACCGCCATTCTCAGCTGGACTGAAGGACATCATGAAGAATTGGAACGGGCACGGTGACGCACTTGTCGCGCCTCGGCGGACTCCCGCAGGCTCTCGCTTTCGGATCGCTGCCTTTGTTACATTTGTCCTGATCGCAGGATTGAACACAGTGTTTCCCAGCCTTAAGCATCAATTCATTCCAAAGCCTGGTAGTCAGCCACCAGCAAGGACCGGTTACGCCCCAGAATCGTTCCAATGGTCTCAGGTACGTGTTGAGCATTCCTGAGCATCAGCTATGTGGGGACAGCCGTACCGACCGCCTGCATCTACATCTTATCAGATCAAATTCATCCTTGCAACACGTAAAAGGCCAACGACACGAAGGCGGGCAAAAAGCTTCGTTATAATATGGCATCGCGACGCCTGGATAACGTTGCCATGGGCTTGTAAGAGTCTGACAAGGATTGGAGGCCTGAACAATGCAACGACCTTCCATTCAACCCTGGACGTTCCAGCATGCAGTATCACCTCGCTAATACAGCATCTTCCACCTGGATACATCACACGCTCTTAATGCCTGATCGTACTTGGGTCGGAGCAGGACATGAAGTATGCTGACCGCCAAATAGATTAAACCGAAGAAACATCTCGAGTTCCACAAATGCTTTGACGGGTTCGAGTGCGCGAAACTGAGTCTGCCGCTGGACTACTTCAATGGCACATACCCAGATGACACGGTCAGCGTTGCCATTGCAAAGCTGCCTGCCAAAGTAACAATCGACGATCCTCGTTATGGAGGTCCGATATTGCTCAATCCAGGTGGTCCAGGAGGCCCCGGGGCGCTATTTGCACTCAAGATAGCAAACTCGCTGCAGTGGGTTGTTGACTCATCTTCTGATCCTGCTTCAACAGGGAAGGATGCTCGATTTTTCGATATCATTGGTTTCGATCCTCGTGGAATTGGCGAGACTGAGCCGGCCGCCAACTGCATATCCGACCCTGCTGCAGCATGGTCTTGGACAATGAGAGAGACCGAAGAAGGTATCTTAGGCAGCTCAGATGCTGCGCTCGGGCGACTGTGGTCCATGACCCACGCATTTGGTTCTTCCTGCAAACTAGCTATGGACGAAGAGGATGGTCCAGACATCAAGCAGTATATGACCACTGCTTTCGTTGCTCGAGATATGCTCGAGATTGTGGAGAGACACGCCGAGTATAATGCCCATCAGGTTGCTCAAGCCACACGCAATAACGGAAAAAGATCTGGTTGTCGGAATACTGGACATCCAAAGTACACTCCAGGGGAGGCCAAGCTGCAGTACTGGGGTTTCTCCTACGGCACCATCCTTGGTTCCACATTTGCGTCTATGTTCCCTGATCGCGTTGGACGACTTGTCTTGGATGGTGTAGTCAATGATTACGACTACAACCACTCCTTAGGCAACGGCAGTCTGATAGACAACGAGAAGGCCATGGAATCTTTCTACTCATACTGCCTACTCTCTGGGTACGAAACTTGTCCACTGGGTGGAAACGCTACCACCACTGCCGAGATCAAAAGTAATACCGAGAGAATTCTGAAGTCTCTATATCACAATCCATTCATTCTCAGCTCAGCAGAAGGTCCGGAAGTGGTTACCTATTCCGACATCAAAATCACCATTTTCAGCAGCATTTACCAGCCGCAGATCAGCTTCGAGTCTCTTGGACATCTCCTCCGGCAGATCGAGGCTGGTAGCGGCGACTTGATCGACCTTCTTTCGAGGCCCTTTAGAGTAGCCCATACCCTGTCATGTGGTATCAACGGAACTGTACACTCCACAATCTCCGACACCGGTGACGTTCCCACATTCGCCATCCTTTGCGCTGACGGCGTCGATCAACAAGATGTTAGCATCGATGACTTCGTCGAGTACTGGCATCTCCTCCAAGGCATGTCCTCGGCGGCTGGTGACGTATGGGCATTGCTGAAGATGAAGTGCGCAGCCTGGAAGATCCGTGCAAGCTACAAGTTCGACGGCGAACTTGGCGGAAACACAAGCCACCCAATTCTCTTCGTCAGCAACACCGCGGATCCAGTTACGCCGCTGCGAAGTGGAAGAATTATGCACTCTAAGTTCCCCAACAGCGGGCTTTTGGTAAATGATCAGGCTGGACACTGCTCGTTCTCGGTCACAAATTTGTGCGCTTATGACAGGATCAAGGACTACTTCCAGACAGGGACGTTGCCTGCGATGAACACGCTTTGCATACCTCCACCAAGTGTGTTTTCTCTCAATTCGACGGACCCGAAGTCTCCGTTCTATGATCCGACGCTGGAAGTTGGCACTTCAATCTTCACGGACTCTCAGATCGGCACCGAGCAGCAGAAGATGCACAGTGCGGCAAAGACACTGCAACGTGTGATGGCGGACAGCGAAACTTTTGGCTTCAGTGGCTTGATTCGCAATGAGAAGGCAGCGAGCATCCAGAAGATGTCTGCTGCGAAGTACTTGGACTGAAAGGTCAAGTGCCGTATCTCGGATACTTGAAGAATGTGTAATGGTGAGGAGAGCTATCGTTTGTTTTTGTATTTCACCTGTCCACTACTCCACCATATCCTACATCTCCTAGTTGTACTTGACAGTAGCAGTCGAAGTGCGTACGAAGTATCAATCCACTCAATCCCATTACTACCTTAAGAAATGGATTTTGACCACACGATCGACCAAGGCACTCCACACTTTGCTCAAAGTATTGTAGTTCTACTCTAAGTGGAATTCCTGCTCCTCCCTCATGCAGGCAGGACGGATGCCTACGTAGCCGTCTTTCGTTAAGAATGGACACATGTTCCTCATATATCGCATGCGGTTACGATACTTCCCAGGCAGTCCTGTGGCTTCATTGGTGCCCCAACGATCTACTTCCTTTAGAAGCCTTGCAGCGGGCAGAACTTGACAATTCTGAAGGAGTTGGAAGTCGTGATCACACATAGTAAATGCGGAGGCGAAGGCACAAGAGGCGCATTCTTTATTGATGACCTTGTTGGGCTCGATATCGCCATATGGTACACGCCAGAGAGCCTCTGCTCGTCGTTCTTCATCCGGGTAGATAGGTTTGACGACCAGGGATAATTTCTTACAGAATGCCTTGATCTGCGCCAAATAATTTGCCAAGCCCTGGTGAGGGATGAAACACGTCGCAATTTGGTCTGAGTTACGATACCGTCTCTTTGGCCAAATACTTCCAGCAACTTGGTCATTGTGGATACGTTGAGTTTGGTCGCGACCCCATCATGGTTGTCAGCCTCGTACTGGCTTGCGTTGGCTCTCCAGACATCGTTGATCTCTGCCACTTCATCGACTATGTATCTTGTCAGGCCAAGCGTTAGTTCGTCGTCAACCCCCAGACTGCGGCCAGAGAAGCCATCGGATGCATTAAACATCCTACATGTGACCAAGTCTGTCGCAGCCTGTGCGGCAAACGATGACTAGATCTTGTTCGGGAAGTCCGGTACCCAGGTCGACAAGTCTTGAAGGAGCTTCGGGAACTGGACCTTTGCTAGAATCTCGCCGTTTGCAATGGTTCTATCTGCTATGAGCGCTTTCGTTGTCCGGGCAAAGATGAGGTCTACACGCTTCGCAATAGCATAATCCGCTCACAGTCCTAGGTCCTTGGGATCATAGGCAAGACCCAGTGCAGCGAATATCATATCACAGTCATGTGTAGCTTCCATATAGCGATCGGTGTAGAGCAAATCCAGCAGGTGGAACAGGGCATGTCCTTTCAGCCCAGCATTGAACCGCATCCTGATCTCCCTGACTACGAAGAAAATGTGCATTGGATCGTAGTACAGTGGAATGCACAAAGGGCCCAAATCAGGACTTAGTCGCTCCGTCAACTCGGTGAAAAGAAGGCGTGCGAGTTGCGCGGTTCTAGCAAGCATCGTCTTTTTGTCGGTCACAAATGTTGTTACTTTCCCCAGAGCATACTCTTGAACCACCCAAACCCGCGAAAACCACAACCTCATCCCCCATGCAGCTATGGCTCTCAGGACGTTCACATTTAATAGTTGGACAGTCTTATTCGTGATGCTCTGAAAATATATCGTTGCCGGGTCTTCTGGATCGATGTTACCCAGGATGCGCCCCAGAATGGGACGCCGTTCGGTAGTCAAATAGCCGACGAGATTGAACTCCAGGACCATCTTGCCGACTTGTTCCCATCTTTCCAGGAACTCGTCGAGCCACCTGTCGCTGGGTCAAGCTAAACGATGACTTTAGTTGCTGCGGGATAGATACGGTGCATGTTTGCGACTTGTTCATTCTTCTCGGCGTCATCGCGCTGATTTATGGAGATTTGGTCGATCCACATGGTAACACTTTCTGTCTCATGCCGGGCGTACTGCAAAGCTGTTTCTAGCGACGGTGGAATGAGGAGCTACTCGTGGTCAATGTAGATCTTACTGGACGATGGATTGATTCCCAGGTATATCTGGGAGCCTTGAAAGACGGATGATTGGCTAACAGTGCTCAAAAGACTCGACAACGCAAAGGCTCTAAAGGCGATTGGGGTCCTCCAGGCTGCAGTTCGATGAGACGGATGCAAAATATCTCGTCAGAGGCTGCAGGAATCCAAGGATTCGAAGAATACAAGTAAAGCATGCTCTCCTTATCCAGTTGCGAGGTCATGTTGAACATATTGGTTCCAGAATTCTGTCGAGCGATATGCTATCGTGCAGAAGGCGAACATGTCAGACTGCAGCTTCCATTCCCAATCAAGCAGGTACCTGCACGTGTCACTGCACGAGTCTGCATATGGCCATTGAGACTATCGAGGTCAGCCTGTGTATCACTCTTTCGAATTTCTTCAATTCAAATGAATACCGCCATTACATGGACAAGTCAGAGATCTCATCGATCCTGTCCCTATACCTTGCCCTTTTGCCCTTGAACTTCCCTGCAGTCCTCTTCCTGTCATCGGTCAGCGTAACAGAGTACGGCTGTCTGTTACGTTCCTCTCCAATCGTCATCCCTACTTGGTACTCCTGTACCACAACCTCTTTCTCAAACAAAACGTAAGGGTGATCTGTGTACAGCACCTCGAATCCTTCTTGCTGTGCGTCGACTTCCTCACACGTCTGAAGGGAAATGTCGGCCGACCATAACTTTTTCTGCTTCAGCGCCTGCCGCAGCTCACCTTGTAGCCTGATGACTACAGGCAAGAGCCACACATACGTCTCCGCGACGCCAGGCCAACATTGACGCGCTGTCACCAGCCAACCTAGTCTTCTCGACCTTCTGTTGATGGACACAATCTTTTTCTCTAGCGCTAACCGAGCGTCAACGAATTCGTGAATCCATGGCATATTCAATCCCGGGTCTTGAAGACGACGGAGGTTAGGTAGATTTGTATGTCAATGTGGCGAGTTTGGATCGGGCGAATGTTGGAGCTGATCTGTTCATTGGGTACGCCGGGTAGCTTGCCGACAGCGTCGACTTGCAAATCCAGGGCGTGCTTGAGCGAGGTGCATGTATGGACGAGCTGAACCGCTTCATCGTGTGCAAGTGCAACTCCAGCAATTTCGGTTGTTGGTAATCTGGGTGCGAAGAATTTGCTGAATGCATTGATCATTGTTGTAGGGAGTTGCGCAGTCATAAGTAGTAAAGTCGAAGGTCTAGCCGATAGAATCTTGGGTCTGAATGGTTGAAACTTACTCTTCGGCCAGTTCCGAGGCCGTCGTGGACGTTCGAGGTTTTGATATCGAGGATCTTGAATTTGCATATTGAGCTTAGAAATGTTTTCAAGGTTTCGCACTGACAAACAAAGGGCTCCTGTGCGGTGTTGTTCCCATGTTGAGTCAGTGAAACAATCCAAAGGGGATATCATACAACGGAGAAAGAAACGGTAGAAGCGATCGGCAGATATCTCTGAGCTCAGTGGCTTCACTGCGGTTGGTTTGCTCGAGCTGCATCGCCAAACGGGGCTGTTCGTAACAGATGTCCGAGACAATCATTCATGTCTCACTCGTTGACATGGCTGACCCGAAAACCATCACCGGAGGTCAATGAAAGGGGCTTGAGTATACAGATCGATCAGGATCGTCATTTGTGGGTCATGATCGGCAATAGCTGCGATGAGATGTCGATTTTGCACGGCCGTAAAGCCTTCTATAGGGTATCAGAAACGCAAGTAGGGAAATATGTCAGTAGCAAGCTTTTACGAAGCCAACACCGGGACGGCGCTCTCTTCGGAGGACTTATTCTCGTCCTCAACGGACTGCGTGGCCTGTGTGGCCTGAGTTGCTGCCACTGCCTCAACCTTGTTCTGCGCAAGACGCTATATCATGGTTAGTTTGGGATACACCAGGGCGTTGAATAAATACCTACGAGCAAGTTTCGCAACAGGACTGCGATAGTAACCTTGCCAATCGCAGGCACATAGATAGAAGCCTTCTCCTTCACATCAGGGTTGAAGTTGCGCTCACTCGAGAAGTTGATGCACACAGCGCCGTCCTTCAGGAGGTGCGCTGGCACCTTGTACTTTTCTCCAGGTACACCGCTGATGACCACATCACTGATGGGAAGGCAGTCCTTGAGTTCCCAGCCAGGCTTCTCCACAACATCGTGCTTCTTCTTCCTGATACCTTCACCTCGTGTGAACTCTTGCACATCTGCAATATCCACGCTGTATACAGTCGCACCGTCGTTGGCCAGCAAAGCAGCCAATGGTCGGCCCACAACCTCACTTCGGTTGATAACGGTGATGGTGCGCCCATGCAGTCTGTTTCCGTACGCGAGGATAGTGTTGTAGATCCTAAGGTACTCAAGGATTTTGATGACGGCGAGCGGTGTGCAGGGCAGGATGCTCTTCTTGGTGCCGGCAGGATCGAGGAAGCGAATGTTCTGGTACATGTTGAAGATGTACTGGTGGGACAAACCCTCAACATCCTTGTCGGCGGAGACAATTTGCTGCAGGTACTGGTCTTGCCTGTTGCCGAAGATTGGGTAGTAGACCATGATACCGTCGACCTTCGAGTCATTGTTGGCATCGATCAGAGCGTCTTCGAGCTCCTCGCGGTCGACTTCGCGCAATTCGTAGGCAAAGCCACTGTAACACATAAGCCTTGTGTCTTACTGTTCAGTGCAAACTGGAACAGCAGTGCAATGGGTAAGCTCACTTCTCACTGCACGTCTTGCCTGTCCATTCTGCATACACCCTCGCAGCGGGATCGCTGCTGGAGAGGAAGCCTACAAGAAGCGGCTTGCGCTCGAGTGTCTTCAGACCGTCCTGGATTTCCCCCAGAAGGCCTTTCGCGATGTTGTTCGCGAGGACCACCTTGCAGTTGGGCTTGTCGGCGGCCATGGTGGGGGTAGTGGGGGATGTGAGAGGAAAGGTAGAGGAATGCAAAACTGGAAAGGGAGGACCTCAGAGGCAATTGGCTACTTTACGCGTTTCCCTACGCGAAGGACAAGAAGACTTTTGGTTTGTGTCATCCTAAAACTTCCGTTCGTGAAAGTGCCGCGCTCGTCGTGGTGTTTTAACTTTTTTTCTGCCCCACCGAATTCGGCGGCCAATCAGCGAATCGGCGAAGTTGCGTCATAAGCCGTTGCTCTTTGGCTTTTGAAGCACGCGTGCAGGTCGCCGCTCCCTTCGATACACCGGAACAACCTTTGAGACGCGCCGCGAGTATGTCAGACATCCAGCAGTATCTGTTGGGCTATGACCGCAATAAGAAGGAAGCCAGTGCTACAGCGCAGCACAGCGCGAACCGTATGTGTGGGGACTTGGAGGGGCATGATGGGACGAAAGCTGATAGCGAGCAGGACTGCAGAGCGGCCAATTGAAGCTTCTGAGGCTTGTGGGGGACCTTGGAGACTATTTCAACAGCGAAGATGGCGCCATACGATCGAAGACGATCTCCTATCTCGCCGAAGTCCTGGCCGCGACGCCCCAGAAAGTGCTGTCCCTTCAGCAGCGCAACCTCCTCTGCGACTTTGTATTGTCCAGGACAGAAGATAGTGAGGGCCTCGGATCATGTGCGAAGGCGCTGCTGGCGCTGGAAGAGCTGGGTAAGTGGGACGATGGCAGGGTTGTGAGCATTGTGGAAGCTCTGCTCAGCAACACACACCCTCTGCGCCAGTACAAGCAGCAGACCGAACGATACCCGGTACTTCGACTGATCGATACGCTCATGGCTAAGTACCGCGAGGCTTTGCGAGCACACCATACAGAGACAGGCGACTTCTTGCCGCGCTTCATATCGTACTTCGATGGCGAGAAGGACCCGCGCAACCTGATGGTCGTCTTCTCTATCCTCAGGGTGCCTATGACTGAGTGGAACATTGGTGCAGACGCCCAGGAGCTCTTCGATGCCGTCTTCAACTATTTCCCTATCACGTTCCGACCGCCGCCTGATGACCCGTACGGCATCACCGCGCAAGATCTCAAGGACCGCCTAAGAGACTGCATATCCTCGACACCGGACTTTGCGCCCTACGCTTTCCCTGCTTTGTTAGATAAGCTCGACTCGACGTCAATGAACACAAAGCGTGACGTGCTTCAGACCATCACTGCTTCGGTCAATGAATACGGACCTCGAACGATCTCGCTCTACTCTATTACCCTGTGGGATGCCTTGAAGTTCGAAATCTTGAACGTGCAAGAGGAGGACATAGCCGAAGAGACTTTGAATGGTTTAGCTGCGATTGCACGAACTTTGTCGCAGGGAGCCAGTGGACCGCTCAACGCTTACCTCCGGCCCATCATCAAAGAATGTAACGAACATCTCGAGGACGCACCCACAAAACAGTCGCAAGCGTCTGCACGCATATTGCACAAGATTGCGCAAGTGTCTGCTGAGGTAACCAACATCCTATTAGCAGGTGTGCTACCGACTCTGTTTCTGCTGTTCCAGAATGCAGACACCATGGCGAAACGAAGAGGGCTACTTGAAGTTCTGATCCAACTGGTACGCGCCAACGTTGCTATATATGGCGACTGGCGGGCGCCAGGTGCTGCGGGAGACCAAGTAGGTGCCAATGCTTTAAAAGAGTTCAGAGGACAATCACTGGAGGTCCTCCTCCACGGTCTGGAGTCGGCGCCAGCTAAAGAGGTCTCCTTCCGGTTAGTGTGCCTGGATGGACTACTACAACTGTCAAAAGCACGACAACTCCTAAGCGACGATGACGTTGGTAAGACGATAGAAGTCTTGCAGAATGTCATCATTCACGAGTACTCGTATGGCAAAGACGAATTAAAAGAAGCTGCCGTCAATGGTATCGTGGACATCGCACACCAGAAGCCTCAAGTCGTGGTTGACAAAGCGTTCCCTGCCTTCTTAGCGCAGCTGCCGGACAGCGACGCTGATGGTTCCAGAAGCTATTCATCGGTACTGGAGGCATTTGCAAAGCTTGCCAGCGAGGAAAAGATCTTTGACACGGTCCTGCTACGATTGAAGAACAAATTTGGTACAGCAGTGCAACAAGGGTCTTCATCAACCTACCTTGTTGCCCTACTATCAGCAATGCTTTATGCTCTCAACAAGGGTGAGGCTAAGCTCTCGCAAAGCCCTGAAACTTCGACATATTACCATGACATCGCACTACCATTACTACAGCGAGCATCAAGCTCCGATTCATCACACCCGTCCGCTTTCAATGACGAAAGCACACTTGATCTAGTCGGACGGATATGCGGTCTCATCATTAGGTCGCAAACCGCAGAGTCGCAAAACGCGATATCCGCAGAACTATACACCCTCTTCCGTGGCACACCGCAATCAGACCTGCCTCCCTTCAATCTCAATGCTGCACCAGAAACGGACAAAACCATGGTGATCAGCACTCACCTCTTGGCCTCGGTCAGAAAAGAGACTGCTCTCCCTTGTGAGCTGCAACTTCTCACCACATTACTGGCCGAGTACGCACAACAACCGCGCCTTTCAATTCCTGTTCGATCAGCATCCTTACGCCAGCTCTCTCTGATCATCAACAAGTACTACTCTGCGTCTGGCCTCAAGACATGTATGGAGCCTTTAATTTCCAAGTTCGACCTCTTCAGCAGCGAGAAGCTTGACACGCAACGGATACGAGTTATCTTCGCCTGCTTGAAAGGTATCGTCCTAAGGAGCAGCCCGGTACTTAACACGTTATACCCTACGGTGCTCTCACTACTTTCACATCCACAGCACGGCAGTACAGTCGCGCATGGCTTCACGACGCTTTTGCAGCCGGATGACTTGTTGACAAAACAAAATCACTGCCAGATTTCGGGCTTACACAAGCAGAAGAGCTTTGCGCTGCTGGTTCCCAACATCACACAATCTTTCCGCGAGGCATCGGCTGAGACGAAACCAAACTACCTCATCGCACTGAGCGGTGTTCTCAGGTGGATGCCTTTTGACATTGTCGTTGAAGAGGCCGACCAGCTCGTCACTCTGCTCTTGCAGTCACTGGATCTGAAGGGCATTGACATCGTCAAGGAGGCCACAATCGGGACACTTGCATCGACGCTCGTCGAGAAACCGAAGATCCTCGAGGAGTACAGTGGCAGCTTGATCTCACGTCTCCTTGCCAATGCCACAGTGAGCAGGGACTCACCTTCGCCAGCCAGGGTGCGCGTAGCAGCGCTACGGTGCCTTACACTGGTGCCGGAGAAGTTCAGGCAAGAGACTGTTCTGCCGTACCGGAGACAGGTGGTCAAGAAGCTGACAATTGCATTGGATGACAAGAAGAGAGAAGTCAGGAGTGCAGCGGTCAAGTGCCGCGCCAAATGGTTGGAGATTGACGAGGCTGGCGATGATGATTAGATGACACGCAATATAACGACTGGCTGGAAAGCTGAACAGATAGATTCAAAGATATCCCACTATACATCTAACTACGATTGTTCGTGGACTCAGCACTTTGACATGCCCATTGCCGCGAAGGTGGTATAACCCCTCATGAACTCCCAAAATGCCGTAACGCCGCCCATGCAAATCTCTTCTTCCGCTCTCACTGATTCTTCGCCTTTTTCAGCAATGCCTGTTTCAACGCATCACTGTCGACCTCATCACCAGAGTCTGCGTCAGCCATCTGCGCATCGCCCTCAATGTCCTCGTCACGACTTCGCTTCAGACCCTTCATCTTCCTCGTCTGCAGCGTGTTGAAGTCCTGCTTGCCGGGGTGAATCTTCGCAACCTTGTCGCCCATAGCATCCGTCGAGACGTTCTTCTTTGTTCGTTCCTCGGTACCCTTGGGCTTCCTCATGGCTTCCTTGAGCATGTCTGCGTCGGGGAACTGCTCGCGGCCGAGCGTGAAGTCGATGCGTGGACCCATTTCCTCAACCTCTACACGCGGAAGCTTTTGCCCGCTGCGCTTGGTCCTGAGCAGGTAGAAGCGCAATTTGATCTCTGGGTTGGGACGCGAGTCGGTGGGCTCTTCGGCCGAAACGCTAATCAGGTATTGCAGGCCTTCGACGTCGACTTCGTCTGTGTCTTGGCCGCGGAAGAGGTCGACAAGGAGGCTCTTGGCGAGGGTGTATTTTGTCTCGTTGGGGTCTTCGAAGACGGTGCCGTGGAAGGAGATGAGCGGCTTCAGACCAATGCTGGGCTTCTTATTCTTGAATTGCTGCAGTGTGCGGAAGGTCTCTGGGTTGATGTACAGCTCCAGCATGTCAAGCAGCTTGTGGTCGAATGTACGAACGAGGGTCAGGCAGTGTGGGCGCTTCTTCGAGTGCAGAGAGAGGGCGAGGAGAGAGGTATCGTTCTTGAGAGAGAAGAACTCGAGCGAGGAGGCATCGTCGAAGGGATGGATGTCGTTCTTCTTGGTGAAGCGCTCGACAAAGGGTCGCTTGAGGGTAGCGAGGTCGGCGACGGCAAGCTTGAGGATCTGGGAGGTCTTCTGGCCCGTCACGAAGAGAGTCGTCTTAGGGTTCTCGTTCTGCTGAGGCTCACGTGCCTTCATGGCGCGCGCCGCGCGGGCATTCTTGGGTTTGCTGAATACAGTGTCAGTCACATGATATCGAGCTATGTTGTCCCAGCTTTTTGAACGTACACTGCCTTCAGCATGGTGGGTGGCTATTTGGGTTGTTCGGTGCAGCTCGAACTCTTGGCAGTCACTTTTTTTTTGAGAAGGTGACCCTGTGGACGCACGGACTGCATCTGAGCATCTGATAAGGCAGAATTGGACAAAATCCGAAGTCGCAATCTGGTGGGGCGTGGGCAGCAGTTAGCAAAAGCCGAGCACGTCAGAGCGGCAACTTGTGGTTTATCAGATCATACCATCCTTGTGCTCAGTTACTAATACTCACCCGCGTTTTCTCTTCTCCGTACATTCGCACACAAGATACCCACCATGGCCACCGTACGCGAAGTCCCCCACGAGTCCGCCTTCGAGTCCACCATCCAGAGCCTTCCCCCGTCCACACTCACAGTTGTCTACTTCCATGCGCCATGGGCCAAGCCATGCGAGCAGATGTCGGTCATTTTGAAGACACTCGCCAGCACATACCCCGCCGACGCCCCTATTGCTTTCCTCTCGCTGAACGCTGAAGAGCTGCCCGATGTCTCTGAGCAGTACGACGTGACCGCCGTGCCCTACATCGTCGTCCAGAAGGACGGCAAGACCCTCGAAACAGTCAGTGGCTCCGATGCCGCCAAGGTACGAGCTGCTGTAGAGAGGTACGCAGGTGCTGGATCAGGCACAACAGGATCGAGTCTGCCACCTGCGCAGACAGTGACACGGCCACCAGTCGAGAACGGCACCAACGGACTCAGCACGAAGAACCTAGCATCATATGCGCCCGACGCCAACGACCCGAAGACAGCGCCAGAGTACAGCTCAGGCGAGCAGGAGACAAATAAGGAGGAGTTGCACAAGCGCCTTAGCGAGCTCGTCAAAGCCGCGCCCGTTATGCTCTTCATGAAGGGTACACCGAGTGCACCGCAGTGCGGTTTCTCGAGGCAAACAGTCAGCGTGCTGCGCGAGAAGGGCGTACGATATGGTTTCTTCAACATTTTGGCAGACGACGAGGTCAGACAGGGGCTCAAGGAATTCGCAGACTGGCCGACTTTCCCCCAGCTCTGGGTAGATGGCGAGCTTGTCGGTGGTTTGGATATCGTAAGTCGCTTGGTCGAAACTTTAGGAGGTACGACTAACTTCGGACAGGTCAAGGAAGAATTCGAAAACGACCCCGAGTTCCTGGCTCAATACTCCGTCAACCAGCCAAAGCCAGCTTAGAAGGCTCGCTACGAGTGTAGAGATTCGCAGAAGAGAATCTGGATCAAAGAATCTTCAAGGATGAAAGATAATAGCGAGGAATGCGTCCCGATCCCGTGGCATCCTCATCAAAGAAGGCTTTATTCCGATAAGACAACGTGCGTCACGTCGGAATCTCGCTGGGGTGCTTATCGCCCCAGATGGATATATTGGCGATGCTGGACACCCTGTTTTGTTGATCGGAGTACGGAATGTGAACAGTACGGAGCCCTTGAGTTGATTGAAACGACGAGCTATCACTAAATACCTTCTTAAAACTATTTTCAACAAGCGCACATGCAAACGAAATTCCTGTTGAGCGTGCCCGTTTGTCAAGTTCAAAAGCCATTCTTGACATTAACATTTCAACTGTGCTTGCTGCACATACGACATGCAAATGTCTTCTCTCTCAAACACGCATGCATGAGACCTAAGCCAACCACACGGCCCTATACTCCCTGATGAATTCATCAAAGCTTTTCGGACGATGCTCAGTGACATGTTCGACCACGCTGTTCAAAGTTGTCTCGAGCCCTTCAGAAGGTCGGAGTTCGGACATTGGTGAAGAATCGCGCATAATACTCTGACAAACCAGCCTGGACCAGGTTCTCATACCGCCCCTGCTTGTCAAGCTTGACATGCTCGATAGGCCGATCCAGAGCCTCTGAGAACCTCGCTGCTACCTGTAATTGTCGTTTTAGTGTTGGTTCTTGAAGCATCCAAGACTAGCACTTACATCGTCATATGTGAGCAGCTCCGGCCCCAGAATCCTCAGATCGCAATCATACGAGATACTGTTGGTGAGAGCACGGGAAGCGACATCAGCGATGTCATCCGCAATGACAAATGGTATTTGGCCATCCTGACAAGCAGTAAAGATCCTGCCTAACTATGTGATTGTATACACGAGTCCTGGCTCGATCAGGTTCTCTATGCGAAGACATCAGCAGCCATACCATGTAACAACCCGTGTCGATCTTCAAGCTCTTGTAGAGTAGCACGTACCCATGAACCAACTCGGCCTTAACACACAGAATTCAACTTTCCGCTCGATGAAAGCATCCCACACCCTACCCATCCCATTCTTCCCTAGTTCGGCAGTTGTACCAGCGCAAAGAACAAATCGTTCGACACAATTGCTGACGGCGAAGTCGAAGAACTCGATCATAGGGGCCCAAGGTCGTGCAACTTGAGGCTCCATCATGTACCCTGCTTTGATGAGTTGGTGGGAGAATGCGGCGGGCCATGTTTTGGAGTCCGTCCAGTCAAACTTGACGTGAGGGTAGGGTGAGGTTGTGGAGGGGAAGGTTGCGGGATGCGAGGATGAATGGTCTGTCCCCTTTGTGCAAAAAGCTTGGCAATGCGGGTTGAGGTCTTGCCTGGGCCGCCTGTGAGGACGATTGCCATGATGTAAGGGAGGTGCTGGTTGCTACCTTTAGGTCGAGCCTGTGGCCCTGAGCTGTTTTATATGCAGATAAACCTGTTCTCTGATAGCAGTCAAGATGTTGCTCTGTCACTAGGCGGTGTTAGGAGATGCTATCTCCGCCGCTGCCTTCCCATTGCATGGCTTAAAGCGTCTCTAGGCGAAAGAGCTCCACCGATTGGATATCTATGTATATCTTGTGTTTATCACAAGCGCGTAAGCACATCTGGGGGGTTAGGAGGCTGTTGTTCGGCAAGCATGTGGAGCGCAGGCCATCACACTCACGCCTTTTGGTCAGGATGGGGAAGCTGCGATGTGAACTGATGGCCCTGAAGTCCTGGGAACAGAAGTCGTATTCGACTGAGGTATCATCCCCGCTACAACGCCCGACCGGAAGGAAGGAGCAACTGTTGCCTATGTAAGCTCAGACATACACAGTACGCTCTCTACATGCATACCACTTACCACCTGCCCTATGTACTGACTTCAACCCCTCTCCTGTCCTTACTGTCCGCAGCCTCTACTGCTTCCGCCGTAGGCTCATCCGGTATATCGACAATAACACCTGGATCTTTCGACCTACTCGCCAGGATAGCAGCGCGCTTCTGCCTCAAACATCAACACTCTTACCCAGTCACACTGTATGTCCGGCGACCTACCTCTCTCCCCAACTGACCCGCACCCTTTCCACCCTCACTCAGAAATTCTGCGTCGATGTCCTCATCTGCCGGGGTGAGCACTCTAGTCCCTCCCGTCTCACGGCGTTTCAGCTCCTGCTCTTGAGGACTCGTAGGTATCCCATCTAACTCTACAGGCTGCGCGTTGATCGCTGGCACAGATGTGTCTATCAAGGGGGTTTGTGTTGCGACGGCAGGGGAAGTCTTGTGTGGGAAGGCAGCGGTTCGTGAGATCGGTGAGATGGGGGTTTCGTTGGGCGGGGAGATGGGTGTGGGGTCTGTCATGGCTGCGCTCGTGAGAGTACGAGAAGAATATGTATTTGCGTGTGAAACAAGGGAATCTTCAGCAATGCTGGTAGTGTTCAAGATTCAGGAGTAGAAGGTTGTGCGGCCAAACAAAGAGCCGGCTGCCTCGTAAGCTCTCGCGATACGGTGACGTCTCCGGGGCTGATCCAGGGTTGCTGCAGGGTGGGGCAACGCCAGGGTTCAAGCTTAAATTAGCCAACCCTACCTTTCGGCTGGGGATGGTATTGGACAACGGTACGAATAAAATTTTGGAGTTGTGCGCCTCGACATTGTTTCTCTAATAATCAACAAAATGTGAGTGGCGTCTGTATCGATTAGGTATCACACCTCATACTTCGCTAAGCGTGGACATTGATTAGTCCTCGCCCAACATAACCCATTATTCGCGCGTTCCAAGTAGATATCCATAGGTGTACGATCATCAACATGTGTGAAACGAATAAGCCGATGCGTTTTGGCTTCCTGTGACCCATCGTGTGAGACCGATTTCAGTCGTCTAACTACCTCTCGAATATTACTCGGTCTTGGTGTTCATCATGAACCCCATTGCATAGTCTTCGTCATTACTTGTCTTTGAGTCAGCCTACACGATGTCAGGAGGTTGCTATATAAGACAGAAACTCAAGGTCCACTTACTCCCATGAACACAGGTTGCCCAAATGCGTTGGTCCGCTGGCTCTGCGGTTGCGCATTAGACACCGGTGGGTTCTGTAGTCCGGTCGCATCTGTCTGCACGGGCATCCCACTCAGATCCATGGGAAAGAAGTTGTTTTGAGCATCTGTACTTGGGCCTTGAATGTACGAGTCCCATGCATCCTGCCATCGTTAGCATTTGGCTTGCAGCATCCCCTAAGGTTATGTACATACCCAGTTGATGCTGTCTGTTGGCGGCAAATCCAGGTTTTGAAAAAGATTGGCACCGAAGAGATTTGAGAACGGACTAGGCGCATTCTCAACGGCTCCAAGCCCGGTCGTCGTGCTTCCTCCGTAGTTCGGTGCCAGACCGGTCGATTGCTGCGGCATTGGGTCGTTCAGCAGGTTTGCCATCGAAGCCGGATATCGTTGGTCGAACATGTTTGCTGAGTTGGGTGTCAGGCCACCAGTGCTAAGCATACCCAATGTCATAGCCGCAGAGTGCTCTGGGGCTACGTTCGCATCGTCCATTGGCGTATTCGTTGGGAATGTCGATGCTGAGGAGAAGCTTGATTGTGCCTGCCTGGTTGTGCGATCCTTTTTCAGTTGGCTCAACATGACACTGAGTGTGGTGTAGGCTTTGTAGGCCTCCATAGAATGGTCCTTCAAGCCCTCCCAGATACCAACCGCTGTGTCGATGGCGTCGAGCATCTCATCAAAGCGATCCGAGGCCCATGTGTATATGTCTCCCGAAGATGAACGGCTTTGACGTTCGGACTTGATGGTGTGGTAAAGATCAGATGAGATGACCATCGCCGCAAGGAGGAAGTCAACCGTTGTAAGAGACGAAATGAACCACTTGACATTCCGTAAGCGACCGCCCGGCTGGCATTCTCGATGCAGTGTTGCCTGGTGCCGTAACATAGTCATTGATGCGTCAATGACAGCCGTCCTGGAATAGCTGAATCTTGCATGAACGCGAGCATATGCAAGGTACTTCCTATGCAGTACACATATGATCTTGAGGTAGAGGAGCTCTAGGGTAAATCGTTGCATGATCAGAGTCGATGTATCCCTGGCAGACTCGTCCATGGAGCGCAGTTTCAGGTGCGGTGAAATGCTATCATGTAGTTCTCTGGCCTGCGCATCAAGCTTCATGACTTCTTCGTAAGACGAGCACGTCAAAGTATCCGTCAACTCAACGGCCTCGCCCAGCTTATAGATCAAGCGCGTGCGGTTGATGAGAAACAGCGTAGGAGTCGCCTCAGTCTCTGGTCTGGACGGTGGTAGAACCTTCATATCCTCAAACAGCTCGTCATCGTAGAGGTTGCGTGGAACATCGGTGTTGGTGTCCCGTGGTCGCATGATCGGTGGTAACCCAGCCTGCGCAGAAAACAGGAGATCGAAAGACCGAATGCAAGCCCAGATTCTGCGCCGCATCTCACCCTGGAACACGGAAATGCCAGGATAGGGCGCTGGATCTCGATGCATACCTTGTCGCATCGCCAGCCGTACGATAATACCCGTGCTAATGAAAATACCCACTTCTGCATCTCTACTGCGTGAGTACTCGGCGTGGACATGCAGAATCAACGTCTCGAGCATCCCTTGTGTCGGTTGTGTGATGTCGGCCATGACAAGGCATTGTGCAGTAAGATCTCGGTACTCCTTTGACATTGCCCAAGATTTACCGCTGTACTCCGGTGGCTCGTCGCCAGCTCTTGTATATGACTGTAGCGCTATGCACATCATGGAGTAGACCAGGCCTAGCCAGATGATCGGCGTGTCATCAGGGCTCAACCAATGCCTATCGTACTCTTTCTGGAACGTCGGCCCATGTATGATATGGATACCCGGATCATAAGTGTTGAAGAAGCGTGACACGAGGATGTCAGCTGTAGGTTTTGGTGGAAATCGGGAGAGCATCTCGGGTCTCGACATAGGCTTCATTTGACCATACAAGAAGCCAGTACCAGGCGGGCTTTCTTCGCTGTGGCTGGCTTTGTATCGCTTCAGCTGGTCATCGTACTGCTTTTTGTGCTCAGCAAAGTAGTTCTTGACTTCCGAAAGCTGCTTGACGTCAGATCGAACCATGTAGATGCGCACTTTAAATACATACCTCGCCAAGAATGGCATACCAATGTGCTTCAGATGCAAAGATGGTCTGGTTATTGTTGACTTTCATTACTCCAATCGATTTCGTTACGGTCTCCATCTCACTCTCCTCGCCTGCATCCTCCTCCGGTATCGACTCTGGCTGCCCGTTGCTCATACCACTGCTCATGTTACTAGTGTCGAACTGCTGGTCTGAGGAAGCACTGTTGAGGCTATTGGCGATAGCTGCCTGTGCAGCTGCAGGTCCAGCACTCTGCGCGCCATTGGTCATCAAGGAGAGAACAAGTCCTTCAAGTCGGTCGATTCGGTTTTGCATATCATCGGGAGAGGTCGTCGTGCCAGCGCCGACTGTGTTCTTCTTGCGGTTGCCCGGAGAAGCATATGTACATGATGCTGTGTCTCCACGCTTCGTACAGTTGTCGCAAGGCTGCGCTCGGTTGCATTTCAGCCTATGTGTATTAGCAGATAACTCCTTTCTCAAACCAGGTATTCGACGTACTTCCTATGTCTACATGGTCCACAAGACAAGGGTACTCGGTTCCTCTTGCGCACAACTCTGAATTGTGGATCTGGTGGCGATTGGCCCGCGCTGGAGGAAGTCGTAGAGGGTGGTGTGTGTTGCGACGGCATGTTGACACCTCGCTGTCGCCGTATCTTTTGTACTGAGGAACCGGAGGAAGCGGAGTTAACACTTTAAAGTCCGCCTGAGTGGATGCTGCTTCTACACGTCCCTGGTCGCCTGAGCAAGGAACACGGTCGCTACAGCTCTATCGGGTGGTCGTCCAGGTGTCGCCCGCTGGCAATTGGCGCGCGAACTGCAGAAAAGAGATCGCGTGGAGCAGGCTTTCGCGCTTTGAAATCTTTCGGCCTTGTGCCTATCTCCAGCAGCTGCCTGCTGCCACACGATTGAAAACCTAGCACCACCCTTGGGGTGTAGATGCTTCAATGTGCGCGTATTCCTTCTAACCACCGGTCACCGCTTGTAGCAGCGCTTGTTGCCGTTCAGGCTTCGAACCCGTAAGTCTGTCACGCTACCGTAAAGGTCCGTGTGCTCACGAACGAAGGTGGGAGTTCTGTTCGACAGCCGTTAAGTTGACGAAGGTCCAGAACAGTCGTCGTTGATTGTCGGAGAGAAGTGTGATATGGAGAACGTATGCGCGGAGTCTCGATCGTGTCGCAAGCAGCAAGCCTGTGTTTCAGGGCCACTTCGTGCCTGTCGTAAAGCTGTGGTCGGAACTGCGCGAACATGTCAGTCGCTGTTATCAACGTCGTTCCAATGAGTTGTACTGTACATCTCTCTACTCACAAGCCCCAGGAAGGCAGTATAGGGCCGAAGCGCGCGCACCAGTCTCAGTCGTCAACAAGACTTGGCCCGTATTGCGCTCAGCTTCGCGACACACAATAAGCGTATATCAATGTACAACGACGGCGTTGGTGGTGAATGTCTGCTGGAGGCAGGTGAGATCAAGGCGCAGCTGCCTCAACTATTAAGTCCGATGGGAGGCGCTTGGCATCAAGACTTCGTGCCGTCACTCATGGCATTCTCGACCTGACTAATCAATGTAGGTCTGACTCACACATGCGCGATACTACACTATTTGTGACTTGCAAAAGCTTCACCTTTTCTCATAAGTCTTCATTGTTCACAAGGCTCCTCCTATCCAGCCCTGGATGGCGGGGTCAATGTGAACGCACAGCCTCCGCCCTCTTAGCCCATTCCGGCGGCCGTTGTGGGACCCTTCGACTTTAGGAGCTGATCAGATCTTTTGATCTCTTGTTGTCTTTCTACACAATGCTGCCTGCTACGACTCAATCGCGAGACTTTGCGGAGACCTGCAAAGAACGAAGAGCATTTGGTTTTCGCAGCAACTTTGTAAGGATTCGAACATGAGTACCCGGTACGCTCCAGGCGTTCAGGTAGTCTCCTCTCCTTTGACCGCCTCGATACTCTTCGCTGCTCCCTGTTTCTCGCCCAAAACCATCTTTTCCTGCTTCGCATCCCATCTGTACACACCACCAGTACCAACATTGTACTGGTAGTAGTTTTCTGTACCGCCCCTGACAAGCGCTTTCCGAAAGGTGATGTTGATTCTCCCCTTGTTCGCATCTACACCAGCCCTTTTCGGTATGCTGTGCAACCACATGGACTGCGTCTTCCCTCTCATTAATACCATGTCCCCTGAAGCAAGCGGGAGCTTTATCTGCCCAGGATCCAGCGTCGTTTCGTCCTCTTTCGGCGCAATAGGCTTGTGCTTCATGAGGAAATCTCGCTTCGCACCGAGCGTGAATGACGCAATGGTTGGATTCGGACCAAGGAAGCGCTCATTGTCGGAGTGGTAAGAGATACTGTCTTTCCCATCTGCGTAATAGTTGACTAGGCAGAAGTTGAAGGTATCGCCCGTAGTGCCTTCAGTGATCTTGCGCAACTCATCCAAGCATTGTGGTATGGGACGAGGTTCGCATTTGAATTTTGAAGCTTCCACCTTCTTGCCTGTCTGAGCGTCCACGATGTCGCCACTTTGATCAAAGCGACAAGTATCATCGATTCCGAAAACTGTGGTGAAGCGTGGTGTGTTGATGTCGGTCTTTTTGCCAAAACGAGTGATCGTATATTGCACTCTATAGAACGGCAGTTCCTGGCGCAGAAACTCGAAGAGACCTGCAGTGATGGCTGGTGGGATATATGGTTGGTAGTAGACGAGGTCCAGGTCAAGAAAGTCGTTCATCGGCACGCCCTCCTCTGCTGGCACAAAGCCCAGTTGCTCCTTGAACGAGATGGGTAAGTGCGGTATTGGGAAGGGGTAAGATGTATGGCTCGAAGCATTGGCTGTAGTTTCGTACTTGACTTTCTTGGGGGTTATTGGCTTGAAGAACGTATCGAGAGCGCCGCGCTTCATTGAAAGACACAAATATTGTTTGCGACCGATCGAAAGAGTTTGTCGGGTGCGACTCGTTTGTCGAAGGGTACGGATACAATAGTGGTCCAGCTTGATTTCTGAGATCGTGATCTTCCTTGCAATCGTGAGACTATTAGCTTGGAATCTGAGACTTCCAGTATACAATCTTCGGCCCTTGTTCTAGGCGTATAGTCTTTAGGCAATGCACCGTACTTCTGCAGACACAAACACGAAGTTGGAAGCATCGAAAACGTGGATCATGTAGGAGTAACGGATATGAGGTGTGGCGCTAGACGGGTTCTTTTCGTGATTGGATGACGTCAATGAAATTGCGAACTAGAATAGCAGACACATCGTCTTCCATAGTCTTAGGTTCAGATAGGACATTAGACCAATCAATCAAACAGCAGACACATTGACACCAATCCACCTTTTTCCTGGACATCAAAGGAGCCTTTGACCATGTGGCCCAGAACCGGCTTTTGGCCATCCTGCAGCAGCTCAGACTGCCCTGCAGTCTCATCTCCTGGATCCACTCCTTCCTCACCCACAGACAACTCAGGCTCTCCTTTGATGGCCAGACTGAGCCCTTCTCCAGCATCTCAGCAGGCATCCCCCAGGGCAGCCCAGTCTCTCCCATCCTGTTCCTCATCTACATCAGGCCCCTGTT